AACACTAGACCATTGTTTTCAACACTAGACCAAGAGAGATCTTGTGATTCACAGGTTCTTTCTTTATCTCACCTAAATCTTTTCTTTGGAGTCGTGACAAAAACATTTTCCCCATGCAGGATTCGAACCACCAACGTACCAGTTGCTAAGCCATTGTCGTTACCCAGCGACTATACCCCTCTTTCGATAATGAATGGTGTTTTTTATTTTACTTTAATCTTTTTTTTTCAAGATGCTAATGAAAAACATTCCTTCAAGGCTGCATTCGAACCAACCCATAAACAGACACGAGAACACCAAACTGTCCCTCGAAACCCACCAAAAAAGTGGGTACCGATATCGGTGCCAGTGCAAGAGTCGACGGCTTGGTATATATGACATTGCTCAATGCGGTTATTGTGGAATTATTACTTGTTTACTGCGACTGCGTATGGTTTCCTAACACTGAATTTGGCTTTTTTTCGTTTTCCAATAGCGTTTAAGCATGTTTCATAAACGTAAAGTGTTCTTTTTCACTCACTGCATTTACTGCAACCTAAAACTGGTCGATTTCTTCAAGGAATGAAGTGAATTAAGAACATTTAAAATTTTCTTGACATCATGCAATAGTCCACACAGTGCACGAATGACCACATGCATACATCATATGCGTAGATAATTAAAGACAATACACTTACATGCAATTCCCATGTCTCTGAGTCAATTAACAAAATAATAAAAAAAACATCCCGATTCCCGTTTCGGACCACAGTCTGACGGTTTACAATACAGTTGTCTTTACCACTAGACCACCAGCGCTTGATGTTTAGAGCTACCTTTATTTAGTTCATCTCAATCCGTTTTTACGATCATAATGAAAAGAGACCATTGTTTTCAACACTAGACCACGAGAGATCTTGTGATTCACAGGTTCTTTCTTTATCTCACCTAAATCTTTTCTTTGGAGACGTGACAAAAACATTTTCCCCATGCAGGACTCGAACCACCAACTTACCAGTGCTAAGCCATTGTCGTTACCCAGCGACTATACCCCTCTTTCGATAATGATTGGTGTTTTTTATTTTACTTAAATCTTTTTTTTCGAGATGCTAATGAAAAACATTCCTTCCAGCATTCGAACCATCCCATACACAGACACGAGAACACCAACTTCTCCCTCGAAACCCAACAAAAAAGTGGGTACCGAATCGGTAAGCATCCAGGAGTTGACGGCTTAGTATATATGACATTGCTCAATGCGGTTATTGTGGAATTATTACTCGTTTACTGCGACTGCGTATGGTTTCTTAACACTGAATTTGGCTTTTTTTCGTTTTCCAATAGCGTTTAAGCATGTTTCATAAACGTAAAGTGTTCTTTTTCACTCACTGCATTTACTGCAACCTAAAACTGGTCGATTTCTTCAAGGAATGAAGTGAATTAAGGACATTTAAAATTTTCTTGACATCATGCAATAGTCCACACAGTGCACGAATGACCACATGCATACATCATATGCGTAGATAATTAAAGACAATACACTTACATGTAATTCCCATGTCTCAGAGTCAATTAACAAAATAATAAAAAAACCCATCCCGATTTCCGTTTCGGACCACAGTCTGACAGTTTACCATACAGTTGTCTTTACCACTAGACCACCAGCGCTTGATGTTTAGAGCTACCTTTATTTATTTCATGTCAAACCATTTTTACGATCATAATGAAAAGAGACCATTGTTTTCAACACTAGACCACGAGAGATCTTGTGATTCACAGGTTCTTTCTTTATCTCACCTAAATCTTTTCTTTCGAGTCGTGACAAAAACATTTTTCCCAAGGCAAGATTCGAACCACCATCTTACCAGTTACCAGCGAATTCTAATTCATATTTCAAAGACTTGTAAGGATAAGGTGTTTAGGTAAATTTTTCATAAATGAAAAAATTAATTTTTCTGGACCGACAAAAACTATTTTTTGTAAAAGTTTTAAAACTAACAGTGGTTCAGAAGCACTTAGACAAAAACAGTGAATTAAAATTTGTCCCATGCAGGGTTACCGCTAACCTAGCTTTGAACTGGCCTTTGAACTAAGAGACCGAACACTGATTTTATTCCAACAGGTTTTTTTTGTATATGCTCTCTAAAAGTCCATTAAATATATTCTGACCCCAATTAAATACAAACTTAATCGAACAGCATCAAAAGAACGGTTTATTTGTTCCTCTTGGAGGAATTGCCGTATCATGCGAGCGAAATCAAATCGCGCATTGGTAAATTAGAGAGATTTCGAGCTGTGCACCAACTCTTGGGAGACAAAACTGTAACGTAGATAAATACAGTCACATACACTTTCCAAATACTAGTATATTTCGCGCCAAAACACACTTGCGAGTTGCGACGACGAAAAATAATAAAAAAACCAAAAAAAAATCAAGGCGAATTTTCAACTCCGTCGCTCACGCTGGAGTGATAATTGAGAATGCTTTTTATTAAAAGCCTGTCTTTTAATAATAACAGCGTGATCGAGCGACCCATTTCCTGTTATTTTCCAAGAACCACAAGTAATTCCTGGGAAATACGTAACTACCGGTCGCTGGAATGTTGCTACAAACATTGTGTAATATTTAGTTTGAGATTCGCTGGTGAGTTTTAAAGCTACACACACAACCTTTAAACGGTACATGGAGTACGTATTATCATTTTGGATTATACAGTCAGGTGAGACTATAGATAGATATATACAGACTATAGATATATACATATAGATAGATACATATATTTATATAAATATATATAGACTCAGATGAGACTATATAGATATAGATATGTACGGACAGGTTACTGGCTTTATTTCAGGATTTTCATGCAGCTAATAGCGATATGCGAGGCCATATTCGTGTTCATTCACGTCAATACAGAAAGACAACTCATACGACCAAAAAAACCGTGCTATAGCTACTTTTTGTGTACCTAAACTAAAAGGCTGTTTACATGAGCCCGGTTACCCGAGTTCAACGAAACGTGAGATGATTTTGAGGTATTGAAATCAGCAGATAACATGATCCTGGTAGTGGAATAATCACCACAACAATAGCATGTGCTTACTTGGTGTCATAAAGACTTATTTCAATACCTCAAAGACCTTTCACACTTCATTGAATCTCGACCATGTTCGAGTTCGCCGGAAAACGACTAATTCGACCATGGTCGAGTTCGCCGGAAAACGACTAATTCGACCATGGTCGAGTTCGCCGGAAAACGACTAATTCGACCATGGTCGAGTTCGCCGGAAAACGACTAATTCGACCATGGTCGAGTTCGCCGGAAAACGACTAATTCGACCATGGTCGAGTTCGCCGGAAAACGACTAATTCGACCATGGTCGAGTTCGCCGGAAAACGACTAATTCGACCATGGTCGAGTTCGCCGGAAAACGACTAATTCGACCATGGTCGAGTTCGCCGGAAAATGGCAAATACGACCATGGTCATATTCGCCGGAAAACGGCAAATACGACCATGGTCATATTCGCCGGAAAATGGCAAATACGACCATGGTCATATTCGCCGGAAAATGGTAAATACGGCCATTGTTATAATCGTAGGAAAATGGCAAATACGACCATGGTCATATTCGCCGGAAAATGGCAAATACAACCATGGTCATATTCGCCGGAAAATGGCAAATACGACCATGGTCATATTCGCCGGAAAATGGTAAATACGACCATTGTTATAATCGTAGGAAAATGGCCGCAAATACGACCATGGTCATATTCGCCGGAAAATGGCAATTACGACCATGGTCATATTCGCCGGAAAATGGCAAATACGACCATGGTCATATTCGCCTGAAAATGGCAAATACGACCATGGTCATATTCGCCGGAAAACGGCAAATACGACCATGGTCATATTCGCCGGAAAACGGCAAATAATACGACCATGGTCATATTCGCCGGAAAACGGCAAATACGACCATGGTCATATTCGCCGGAAAATGGCAAATACGACCATGGTCATATTCGCCTGAAAATGGCAAATACGACCATGGTCATATTCGCCGGAAAATGGTAAATACGACCATTGTTATAATCGTAGGAAAATGGCAAATACGACCATGGTCATATTCGCCGGAAAATGGCAAATACGACCATGGTCATATTCGCCGGAAAATGGCAAATACGACCATGGTCATATTCGCCGGAAAATGGCAAATACGACCATGGTCATATTCGCCTGAAAATGGCAAATACGACCATGGTCATATTCGCCGGAAAACGGCAAATACGACCATGGTCATATTCGCCGGAAAACGGCAAATACGACCATGGTCATATTCGCCGGAAAATGGCAAATACGACCATGGTCATATTCGCTGGAAAATGGCAAATACGACCATGGTCATATAAGGATCATCTCTTATTGATCCAGTGTTACTACATAAGGAAACCTAAACTAAACTAACTTTATTTATACTGGCTCTATCAGTTCTAAACTGTTCTTCGCAGAGGTCCAGTAAGGATCATCTCTTATTGATCCAGTGTTACAACAGGAGGAAACCTAAACTAAACTAACTTTATTTATACTGGATATCTCTATCAGTTCTAAACTGTTCTTCCTAGAGGTCCAGCAAGGATAATCTCTTATTGATCCAGTGTTACTACAGGAGGAAACCTGAACTAAATTAACTTTTTTTACAGTGGATATCTCTATCAGTTCTAAACTGTTCTTCCTAGAGGTCCAGCAAGGATAATCTCTTATTGATCCAGTGTTACTACAGGAGGAAACCTAAACTAAATTAACTTTTTTTACAGTGGATAGCTCTATCAGTTCTTAACTGTTCTTCCTAGAGGTCCAGTAAGGATCATCTCTTATTGATCCAGTGTAACTACAGGAGGGAACCTAAACAAAATTAGCTTTATTTATACTAAATAGCTAATACAGTGAAAAAAGACCTAAGTTGGACAATCTTATAAAACCAAACTGTAAGCAATCTTCTTCACCATAGTTAAAGACAATGGAGCCACCGAAAAAGAAACGGAGAAAAGAGAGAAAGAAAAGAAAAAAGACGGAATGGCGCAAGGGCACATTATGTCCAATCAAGAACGAGAGACTTCTATTTATAAAACCCTTAAATGATTTACCAAAGGATTATAATCAGAGCAAAGATGTGTTCATGCACTGCGATGGTGTATCGAAATACGCACTGCCTGTGAAAGAAGGGGATTCCCTGAAATTTGTTCTTGGTGACAGAGACAAAGAAAGGCCAATGGCATGGAAAGTAAAGCTGCAGCAATACTCCAAGCGAAGCTGTCAAGAACTACTGGATTACATTGCGAAATATACGCAAGATTTGAATTCACAAGACTGTAAGAAAGTGCTTATGGAAACCTTATCCCATACTGTTATGTGGAGTGTCCTTGGTTCACCTGTTTTTGCGAGAGATGAAGGTTTGTATGGCATGGTTCTCGTTGATCACCGACAGTCAGCAATGTATTGTTTGTCGCAGGTGAAGAAGAAAAATTGTACAAAGCAAAGGACATTTTTTCAATCGCTTTAAAATCGCCCGTTGATTGCTACAACTTCGATTAACTCTTACGTCTGTATTCTAAAAGCTCATCACACTCAAACTCCTTGGGTGGGAGATCTCAATCTTCTCATAACGTTTCCATACGGTATTTTCAGTCGAATAGGGGCTTGATTTTCAGTGTTTTACTATAAATCTTTCCACTTATTCAGAAAGAACTTTCTCATTGACCAGCATTAACAAAGTATTTATGTCACACTCAATGAGTGTGAGTGTGAGTGAGCTTTTTAAATACAGGTGTTAGCGTTCCTAAATCGAGGATTTTTTAATAATTTTTGTTCCAAAGATGAAATTTTATCGCTTTTCAACCATTTTTTAAACGGTTGTGGAAAAAATCACTATCCGGTGGATAGCGCTATCCAGCCTTCGTACAAGCAGTCCCAGGTATGTACTAACTAAAAGCTTCTTCAGCTTTGTCACTTGTGTTTTCACAGGTGATCTGGAAGCTGTGCGTTTCGTTGAGGAACTCCTTCGTTTGTTGAAGTTAATTTTGCGTGTTAACAAAGGTTCCAAAACTCTTCTCGAAGAAATGATTAAGACGGTGGTTCAAGGAACGTTGTTTAAGGCATCCAACGATAAAAGCCTCCCCATGATGATCAAATCAAGCCACTATATTCCAGACGAAGATGTGTTTTACCTCCAGGATGGGAAAACTCCGTTATCAGCAGAACTCATTCGGAGTTTTTGCCGCGAGGTTATACGCCAAGTTCCGTCTGTTTCTCGCCGTCTGTTGCCTGTAGTTGGTGCAATCAATGAAAAGATACCAAACCCATCAAGTTTCCTATTTGATTTCATGTCGATTACTCTATCTGGAGAAGACAATATGATTGTTGATAAAGGTGTGTATTTAAATCTTTTACCTATTCTTTATTCTATTTACTAGTGTTTGTGATGAAATACGAGCTAACAGGTACTAATCTATGCCTTAGAAGCCTGGCAGGAGCTACCGTTTATTCCAACTGATCACGAGTTAGCTGGCAATCTGGTTGAAGCAGACACGCATCTTTCCCCAGTGAAGAATTCCTACCTTGATCCAGAGTCTTACATGGATACGTACTTCAGGCTGCTTCGTGCCGAGACCTTTTCGGCCATACAACATGGAATCAAAGAGCTCAAAGATTGTGAACTTGACGAAAGAGATATGAACGTGTATTATAATATCCATTTAGCTGGTTTTCAGCTCAAATATGGAGGATTCTCTCTCGCCGTTCACTTCACTCCATTTAGGCCTGTCAAGAAATGGCAAGCCTCGTCTCAACTCATGTTTGGAAATTTGGTGTGCATCTCACTGAACCGAAAGTTTGATGATGTCATATGGGCCGTGGTGTCCAATAGAGACAAAGCACTCCTCAACGAAGAGCAAATCATCATTTTAGAGTTGATAGAAGAAAACACGAAGAAGATGAGTCAGATAATAAGTTCCCTTCAAGCTTACGCAGGTAATTGATATTCACACTTTGTCGCTCTGCATTTTAACACATCGCTCATGCCGTCACTCTTTCTGTTTTAATAAGTTCTCATTTACAATACCATTCTTCGATCAACCTTCCAATGCATTAAAAATAAGCGTTTTACATGCCCTTTTTCACTGCCGCAGACAACAAGTGAATGCTGTCTTCAACTGGATTATTTTCTTCGAATACAGGTTCTGGAGTCATGGTCGAATCACCGACCTACTACCACTCCCTGAGTCCTATCCTGCGAAGTTTAAAAGAATTCGACATGGAAAATTTCCCACTTCAGGCAGAAGTTGTTTTCGCCGACAAGACATCACAACAGCCAAATTACCTCCAGCAAGCGAATACAGTGGATACTAGTCCTATATACAAAGAGAGTCCATCAACAGATGGAATGGAAGCCTCATCTCTCAATGAAATATCTAAAGGGACAATGGAGTTTGCCCGATTTTTAGAAGTCTTTAATGCGCAGTCTAGTACATCTTTGGAAGCAAGTCAGTCCGAGGCTTTGAAACAGGCTCTCACGAATAGACTGGCTATTATACAAGGTAAAAAAACACAATATCGTACCTCGCCTGCGATTTGATTTGTAAATCTTCATTACTCGGTAAGATTAAGAAATTTTCATCCATTTTAGACTTAAAAGTTAACTTTTCATTTCCATAGGTCCACCTGGTTGTGGTAAAACATACATCGGAGTCAAAATCGTTCAGCTGTTGTTAACCCTTTCGCCGAAGCTGGAAAAACCAATCTTATTGTTGACCTACAAGAACCATGCCTTGGACGAGTTCTTGAAACACATGTTGGATTTCTGTTCGATAAATGATCTGGTGAGAATTGGGGGCAGGTCCAAAGAGCCAGAGTTGGAGCCTTGTAATCTACAGGAAATCATGAGGTCATCACCGATAATTCCCGGCAAAGCACAGAGCAAAGCAATGCTTACAGAGATCCAAGAAACGAGAAATGAGATTGATAAAGTGCAAGAACGGATCACAGAGCTGTCATCTCAAGTTAATGCGAGCAGTTATTTGACAAAGGAGAGTTTCATTGCTGGTCTTAATGAAGAGCAATTGCAATCACTTCTCGTTGAAGCCGCGTGGGAAAGCAGTAGCCGCTTAATATACCCAGTGAGCAGCAGGAGGTACGCCAATAGGTCTTCAACTAAAAGACTGGTCACCGAAGTTGTGCGGCAATTTGGGTCTTTAAAAAATCTCCTGGAAACCGGAAATGCTGTGAACGACGAAGGTGTTCCTGTGACATCTTCAACCAGGCAGTCCGCGTCAGATTGTGTTAAAATGATCGACATGGCGTTTGAAGCGTGGCTGCCAGACAGACATATGAAAGAGGTCCTTCGGCAGGTAAAGTATTTCCATGCCCAATCCGTTCTTCAGGTTCTCGGCAAGCGCAAAGAGAAAGGTGCTTCAAACATGGCCGACGATGGCGACGACCAAGATGAGAGTGGTGATGAAGAGTACGTAAATGAACTCCTTGAAACAAGAATGATTGCTGGCTTTAAACAAGACGAGACATCAAACTATGGCGTGATTCTTTTCAAATCCTGTGAAAACAACGACAAAAAAGATATCTTATTTCAGATGTCGGACTATCCCGACGATATGCAAGTCAGTCAACCAATTCGTTCAGTAAAGAATCTGTGGAATTTGAACGAGGTTCAAAAATTGCATTTTCTTTATAGTCTTCTGAAGGAGAAAAGATCAAAAGCGACGGAAGAATTTGACGAGCTCATAAAAAAACTTAGGACGCTGAAGAAACGAAAAGAAGAAATAGAAATGAGTGAAAAGGTTGAAGTGCTGTCGCAGAAAAAGATCATCGGTGTGACTATCACTGGAGCATCAATCAATCATGATCTTCTTCATCAAATCGGTCCCAGTGTTGTGATTGTCGAAGAAGCCGCCGAAATCCTGGAACCAAGTCTTCTGGCTGCGCTGACGCCATCTTTAGAGCATCTCATTTTAATTGGCGATCACAAACAACTCAGACCACAAGTGGACACCTATGATCTGCGCAGAAACTTCCAGTTTGACAAGTCCATGATGGAGAGATTAATTGATTCTGGATTCCCTTTCAAATCGCTAACGAAGCAGAACCGGATGCGACCTGAATTTTCAGCCTTGTTGCTCGATATCTACCCAAATCTTGAGGATAATCTGGAAATGGTTTCCCTAAATCAGCCTTTGAAGTGTATTAAAAAGTCGATGTATTTCTGGTCGCATGAATCTCCTGAAAAGCACGAACGCACCTACACGAATGCCGAAGAAGCCGACCGCATCATAGCTCTGGTTTTGTATCTTTTGTGGAATGGCTGCCGCCCGTCAGAAATAACGGTTCTTTCCGCCTATCTCGGACAGACTAAACTTCTGAGAAACAAATTAAAGCAAATTAAAGTCGATTATGAGAAGCTATTCCAAGAAACCGCTCATGGATTGAAAAAAAGAAACAATGATAGAGCAAAAGACGGATTCGTGCAAGTCCAAACAATCGATGGGTATCAAGGTGATGAGAATAAATACATTCTTGTTTCGCTCGTGCGATCGAACGATAAAGAGATAATTGGTTTTCTGAAGGAGACGAATCGTCGTTGCGTAGCGCAGTCAAGGGCAAAATGTGGTATGTACTTCGTCGGAAATCTAAACCTCCTGAGAAACGCAAAGAATTCTCCCTGGAATAGGATGTTAAATTCAATGATCGAACAAGATTGTGCTGGGGACACGATCCCTCTTCGATGCTCCAAGCACGAGTCATCAATATACGAAGCCATCGATGCTGATATGGTTTTGGACGTCATTAAAGATCCTCAAAAACTTTGTCAGGCGAAGTGTGGTGCCTTTTATTCCTGTGGCATTCATAGATGCAAGAATTATTGTTTTCGCAAACATCATCACCGGTTTTGCATAGAAAACGTGGAAGATCGTTTCTCGAGCTGTGGCCATTCCGTAACACGTAGGTGCGATACACCTCTTTCTAAGATGCGTTGTAAGACAGAAGTGAAAGTTTCTTTGCCATGTGGACACGAGGCGAAAAAGAAATGCTATCAAGAGATTTGTGATATTGATTGCGATGAACCTGTTGCTTTTGTCTTTCCAAAATGTGGTCATGAAACCAAAACGATATGCCACCTCAAGTCTGAAGACATTTTTTGCTATGAACCGGTTGCTTTTGTCTTTCCAAAATGTGGTCATGAAACCAAAAAGATATGCCACCTCAAGATTGAAGACATTTTTTGTGACCATCGGTGTACAAAAATGAATTCCTGTGGTGTTCATCAATGTGTCAATAAGTGTGGCAAGGCTCATCGTCATGACAGTTGCCAGGAGATGATTGATTACAGTTTTCCTGTTTGCGAACATCCCTCGCCGAAAAGGAAGAGGTGTTCGGAAGATATCGCTTGGAACTGCACTGAAACTGTCTACTTCACCGGAATATGTAAACATGAAATCAGAAAGGAATGCTATGAGAAAGAAAGTGAAGTCAAATGCCCTATTAAACCGTGTGGAAAAATTCGACCAAAATGTGGTCATCCTTGCAGGAATGCTTGCGGAGACGATTGTGACAAAGGGGACTGCAAGGATTGCCGTCGTATACATGAAGAAAAGATGAAGAAGTTTAGAAACGATGCAAGAAAGAAAGTGAAAGAACTCGAAAATAAATTGAAAATAAGAACGGCAACTAGAACTATTTCAATCCATGAGGTTCACCCGAGTGGCTCATCTGCTGCAGAATATCAGATGGTTAACGACCTGGTCGTTAAGTTTACCCAACAAATGCACAACTGGTTTCCAAAAGTCATCAAGATTGAGAAAGTCACCAATCTTATTTTGGAAAAGAAATTTGAAGAAGCGAAGTGCAAAGCTTTTGGTGATTATATCGCTCAAAAATTCCATGGTACTGATGATAATGGTGTGAAGGGTATAACGCGAAATGGATTCAGAATGCCAGATCCTAATCCACCTGCTTCCAAAGGAGGTATGTATGGTCAAGGAATATACTTTGCGACGGATTCCTCCAAAAGCGCTCAAAGCATTTACACCAAAGGTTCCCAGAAACTTCTACTTTGTCAAGTTATTCTCGGAAAGTCAAAAACTGTTCAGCAATCGGACTATAGTTTAAACAAGCAGAAGTTACGATCTCATGGATACGACTCCGTTTACGCCCCACGTGGAACAGCTGTGAAGAACGATGAGTTTGTGATCTTCGATCCAGACCAAGCTCTTCCTCAGTACATCATCCATTTCTCTGACCTTAATACTGTTCTCCCACCCTCTCCGTCAAATCTCGCACCACAACAGCCACTTACCATAAAAAAAATGCTGCCAACAAGAACAGTGAATTTCCAGGACCCGTTCGAAATGTATTACAGCTTCGCCGAGTCCCATTTCAGAAGAATGGCAGCTAAGGGTAATCCACCGTTGACCGCGCAACAAGCTAAGATTTCCTCCATCGACATCGTCATTAACAACGTTCTTGAGACAAAGTTCCAAGCAACTAAAAGAAAATTTCAAGCTCAAGGCATCCCCGACCGAGAAATTCTTGCTTATCATGGGACCGCACCGAGCAATATACAGAGTATTTTGCAAAAAAACCTTCTGCTAAGTTTCGCCCGCAGACAGCTTTATGGTAGAGGGAATTATTTCTCAGAATTCCCAGGTATCAGTTTAGGTTATGGACATGGTCTCCTTCTGTGTCGTATTCTTCCCGGAAGAGAATTCGTAGATACCAGTGGATCTAACATTCCTTCTGGATACAACTCAAAGAAAGTTCTGTTGACTGGTCAACCCGCAGGTGCTGCAGCGAACGCTAATGGGGAAATGATCATTATTGACAATTCTGATCAAATCTTGCCTTTCTACGTTATTCATCGTTGAACAAACATTGATCGAATGAAACTTAATATACATTATATACTTTGACAAGTTTGTCTCACAATTATTACCTATTCTATAAATATAGGAAGATTTGAAGCTTCACATTGCATGCCAAATAGCGCGTGTATATATAACCAGTGAACTCATTTGAACAAAACATGCTACAAGTGATGACGTCAGTGCTACGTCATTTGAAACAAGAAGATCTTATCATGACGTCACCGATTTTTAACCGGAGTCATGCGTGGGCCTCGCGAGAGCTGCCAAAATTTGGTTAGACATAATTAATAAATGTTTAGACTTTTTCTAGTTTCTACCTTTGTAATCTATGTAAGATGATTGATTACAGTTTTCCTGTTTGCGAACATCCCTCGCCGAAAAAGAAGAGGTGTTCGGAAGATATCGCTTGGAACTGCACTAAAACTGTCTACTTCACCGGATTATGTCAACATGAAATCAAAAAGAAATGCTATCAGAAAGAAAGCGAAGTCAAATGCCCTGTTAAACCATGTGGAAAAATTCGACCAAAATGTGGTCATCCTTGTAGGAATGCTTGCGGAGACGATTGTGACAAAGGTGAGTGCAAGGATTGCCGTCTTATACACGAGGAAAAGATGAGGAAGTTTAAAAAAGATGCATCGAACAGAGTGAAAGAGCTCGAAAATAAATTGAAAAGAAGAACGGCAACTAGAATTTCAATCCATGAGGTTCACCCGAGTGGCTCATCCGCTGCGGAATATCAGATGGTTAGCGACCTGGTCGTTAAGTTTACCCAACGAATGCACAACTGGTTTCCAAAAGTCATCAAGATTGAGAAAGTCACCAATCTTATTCTGGAAAAGAAATTTGAAGAAGCGAAGTCCAAAGCTTTTGGTGATTATATCGCTCCAAAATTCCACGGCACGTCAAACACTGCATTGGGAAAAATTATCCGAAAGGGCTTCAAAATACCAGAGGCCAATCCCCGCCCTCCAAAAAAACCAGGCATGTATGGCCAAGGCATCTACTTTGCTACGGACTCTTCGAAAAGCGCCCGAGAGATTTACACCAAAGGTTCCCAAAAACTTTTGTTGTGTCAAGTTATTCTTGGTAAGTCCATGACTGTCGAGAAAGCGGATAGCAGCTTAAATAGGGAGAAACTTCGCTCTAAAAAATTCGATTCTGTGTATGCCCCACGAGGTACAGAAGTGATCAATGATGAGTTTGTCATCTTTAATCCAGACCAAGCGCTTCCTCAGTACATCATCCATTTCTCCGACAGAAAAACACTGGTACCTCCCTCACCGTCCATACATACAAAAGAGGCTTGTATCGTAAAGAAGATGAAAGCATCGAGATCAGTGAACTTTCAAGATCCTTTTGAAATGTACTACAACTATGCGGAATCTCACTTCAGAAGAATGGCAACTACGAGTTCCCTCCTACGCCAAGCTACTATTTCATCCATTGATATCGTAATCAACAAAGACCTCGAGGACAAGTTTGAAGCAACCAAGAAGTCGTTCAAAAGCCAAGGAATTCCTGACACGGAAATTCTTGCTTATCACGGAACCGACAAGAAGAACATCGATAGTATCCTCCAGAGCAACTTGCAGTTAAGTTACGCGAAAAGACAAGCTTATGGCAAAGGTAACTACTTCTCAGAATTCCCTGCTGTGAGTCTGGGTTATGGCGATGGTGGTCTTCTCTTGTGTCGCATTCTTCCTGGAAAAGAATTCGTCGACTCCACTGCCTGTGATATCCCACCAGACTACAATTCCAAAAAAGTAATCGGAGATCAGTCTACACGAGTTATGGGACCTGGGGCAGTCAGTAGGGCCAACGCAAGTGGTGATATGATCATTATTGAAAATTCTGATCAGATTTTGCCCTTCTTTGTTATCCATCGTTGAACTACTATTAAACATTTTAATTAAATAAAACATGCTACGAATGATAACGTCATTTGAAACAACTAACAGGTAAATCTCACCATGTCGTCACCAGTATTCAACCAAAATAGCGAGATCAGAGATCTGTCAAAATCAACTTAAACGCCTTCAATAAATGCTTAGACAGTTCTCTCGTTTGTAACCTGTACATGCACCACTCGAACCACAGAGAATATATTTCATATTACAACAATTCTATAGCGCTTTGACGTATTTTGCAAGTCGAAATGGAGGAATTTGTAAAAAATCACTTATGGATTAGGATTATTTTAAGCAGAGAATTAATGTTCTTAATAAGAAGAATTCTTATTAACTTAGGTTGAGATCGCTTATTTTTGGCTGCTGTGTAAGTTCACACGAGAAACATATAGTTCTTTAGCTGGGCTGCTATGCTTTGTCGGTTCTCTACTTCTCTATAATAGATTGCCTTCTCACACAGTAGCTATGTACCTGATGTTTTGTATTTCCTATTTTCCTATGTTTCAGCTGCTGATTGTTCAGTTAGTTCGTATAATTATTTTGTTTCTCATTTGTTTGTTTTGATATTTTCGCTTATGAAATATTTTGAGCTTCACTGTGATGTTTATGGACGTTATCTGCTTGATTTAATTTTGACTTATCCGCCGTTTTACTTCAAGCTAAACGGGCTTGATACAACCGGCCCCTGATATATAAGCGCCCTGCTATTCGTAAACATTATAACTGATTTATTATTAAGATTCACACAGTTGCATACTACACAAAGTTACATACAATATTACAAAAAGTTAAATATCAGAGGAAGGAAAAAAGGATTATAATTATTATGATGGTGTTAATTGTGCGCAGCGATCAAAGTAGCCTAGGCTGTGATTATACATCGTCACAGTTTATCGTCACTACTCCCACTGACGCCATTTCCTGTTTTCTTCCAGGAACCACAACCACGAATTCCAAGTAATGGCACACCTCACACCTGCCAGTAATATGACCCTATTTTGCAATATTCGGTTCAACATTCGTGAATTGAAGTTAAAACTGACTAATTCGACTATGGAAAACCTCAATTGAATTTGGATTATATAGTCCAGGTGAGTATTTTAATACATTCAAAATATGATTTCTATAAACATACTAGAAATATTATTTCTAGTATTTCTATAAACCATTATTTCTCATATTTTTATCCCATATAAGCCTTATTCAATCTATTCTTCACTATAAATTACATATATGTCCAAATGTATGTACTGATTTTGAAAATTATATCGGATATAGTGCTAAATGCCAATTCTAAGCACGACATTAGTATATTCAAAGTTTCCGAAGCCTTTCTTTGCCTATAAAATTATCTTATTTGTTATGTATCTATGTTTATATATGCGCCAGCGTGACCGCAGCTTGTTTAAACAATCGCAAAGCATTTTTCTCCACATCGCCTGCTGTGAGGTTAAGAATATATAATGATTTATTACGATTTATACTGAATAGTTCTAAACTGTTCTTCCTAGATGCCTAGCAAGGATCATCTATTATTGACCCAGTTTTACTATAGAAGCCGTTAGAAGAAGTCTGAACTTTTTTAAACTTTTTTTAGAAAGTAACTTTTTTTATACTGGATAGCCCAATCAGTTCCAAATAGTTCTTCTTAGAGGCCAGTAAGGATCGTCTCTTATTGATTCAGACATTCAGTATTAAGGTCTGGTCACACGATGCAATTTTATTGGTTCCAATTCACTTCTGATGGATGTTTTATAGTTTGTTGTCTAACGATGTTTACGGGCACTAAATAACAGACTACATTCCATACGTCAGAAGTGAATTGGATCCAACAAAATTGGATCGTGTGAACAGACCTTTAGTTAGCCGAAGTAAGCTAGCTGAAATGATGGGCAGTTGTGTAAAACAAAATTATGTGAAATCTTCTATAGTTAAGGACAATGAAACCACAGAAGAAAAAACGGAAAACTGTCGGCCTGAAACAAAAAGAAAACACGCAATGGCACAAGGGCACACTATGTCCAATCAGAAACGAGAAATCTATCTTTATAAAACCCCGGAATGTCTTACCAGAGGAATATAATCAAAACAAAGATGTGTTCATGCATCCTGACAACGTATCAAAATACGTGCTGCCTTTAAAAGGTGGGGATTCGGTGGAATTTGTGCTAGGAGAGAGGGATAAAGAAAGGCCAATGGCACGGAAAGTAAAGCTGCAGCAATATTCCAAGCGAAGCTGTCAAGAACTACTGGATTACATTGCGAAATATACGCAGGATTTACAATCACCAGACTGTAAAAAAGTTCTTATGGAAACTTTATCCAATACAATCATGTGGAATTTCCTCGCTTCGCCTGCTTTTGCGGAAGATAGAGGTTAGTGACTTAGTGTGATGCTGGTCAATTGGGCTCTATTCTCACTCTATTTTAGACTTAAAAAATGATGATGATTGTAAAGAAGGAAAATTAGGTATTGATCATACGTAAAATTGTATGTATTTGCTACAGATCCTCTTCATTGGTGTCACTTGTTCTTTTCCAGATGATCCGGAAGCTGTACATTACGTTGAAGAACTTCTTCGTCTGCTGAAATTGATTTTGCGTGTTGGGAAGGGTTCGAAAAATCTTGTCGAAGAGGCTATTAAGACGGTGGTTCAAGGAACATTGTTTAAGGCATCCAACGATAAAAGTCTCCCTAAGATGGTCAAATCAAGCCGCTATATTCCAGAGCGGGATGTATTTTACCTCCGAGATGAGCAAATTCTTTTATCAGCAGAGCTCATTCGAGGTTTTTGCCACGAGGTTATTCGCCAAGTCCCGACTGTTTCACGCTGTCTGTTGCCCGTAGTTAGTGCTATCAATGAAAGGATACCAAACCCATCAAGTTTTCTATTTGAGTTCCTATCTCTTGCTTTATCTGGAGAAAGCAGTATGATTGCTGATGAAGGTGCGTTCTTAATTTCTTATCGTAGTGTTTGCTCACAATGGTAAACATATCGCGTTTCCTGGCTTACCCAGGGCTCTATGTTTACAATAGTACTATTACAGCTTGTCTATACTTTCAGGAGTATGGCAAGAACTACCGTTTATTCCAACTGATCATGAGTTAGCTGGCAATCTGGTTGAAGCAGACAAACATCTTTCCCCAGTGAAGAATTCCTACCTCGATCCAGAGTCTTACATGGATACATACTTCAGGCTGCTTCGTGCCGAGACCTTCTCGGCCATACAACATGGAATCAAAGAGCTCAAAGATTGTGAACTGGACGAAAGAGATATGAACGTGTATCATAATATCCACCTGGCTGGTTTTGAGATCCAACATGGCCGTTTCTCTCTTGCCGTTCACTTCTCTCCAGCTAGAGATGTCAAGAAATGGGAAGCCTCGCCTCAACTCATGTTTGGAAATTTGGTGTGCATCTCACTGAACCGAAAGTTTGATGATGTCATATGGGCCGTGGTGTCCAATAGAGACACAGATATCTTGAACAAACACAAGATCATCATGTTAGAGTTGATAGACGAAAACACCAAGAAAATGAGTCAGATAATAAGTTCCCTTCAAGCTCATGCAGGTAGTTGATCTTTGAAATTTTATTATTCATTATATCCTCAAGTCACTGATTAATTTTTAATTACTCATTAATTTAATAATTAATTACTAATCCATTACTAATAGATTAATTTACTAATGAAAAAATTTATTACTAATTAACTCATAAATTGATTCTCAGTCAAGGATTCAGTCATGATTCAGTCCATTCCTATTATATTTTGATGAATCTCTAAACGTATTTCAAATACGCGTTTCTACCACTGGCTTGATTTCAAGTTTCCTTCTCTTGATTCTTTCTTCGAATATTTACAGGTTCTGGAGTCATGGTCGAATCACCGACCTACTACCACTCCCTGAGTCCTATCCTGCGAAGTTTAAAAGAATTCGACATGGAAAGTTTCCCACTTCAGGCAGAAGTTGTTTACGCCGACAAGACATCTCAACAGCCAAATTACCTCCGGCACGCGAATACAGTGGATACTAGTCCTATATACAAAGAGAGTCCATCAAAAAGAGGATTTTTTGCCTCGTGGATGTCTCCCAACGATATCTCCAACGGGACAATGGACTTTGCACGATTTTTAGAAGTCTTCAATGCGCATTCCAGCACATCCTTGGAGGCAAGCCAGACCGAGGCTTTGAAACAGGCTCTCACGAATAGACTGGCTATTATACAAGGTAAAAAAGCAGAGACTATATATCTCCTCTTTTCTGTTCCACAATTTTCTAGTTTGTCAACGTGGATTTGTTTGAAATTCGATCAGTGCTGTCTGTCTATTCCAGACTTGCAAAATGGATCAGGGATTAGGGATTAGGCGATTTTAGCTTAGTTGTTTTCATTTCTATTTTCTCCAGGTCCACCTGGCTGTGGTAAAACTTTCATTGGAGTGAAAATCGTTCAGCTGTTGTTATCCCTTTCTCCGAAACTTGGGAAACCAATCTTATTGCTGACCTACAAAAACCACGCCCTAGACGAGTTCCTGAAACACATGTTGCAATTCTGTTCGATAGATGATCTGGTGAGAATTGGCAGCAGGTCCAAAGAGCCAGAGTTGGAGCCTTGTAATCTACAGGAAATCATGAGATCACTGATGAGGGACAAGAGTTACAGCAAAGCAATGTTCGCTGAAATCCAAGATACGAGGAATGAGATTGATGAAGTGCAACAACGGATCAAAGAGCTGTCATCTCAAGTTGATGCAAGCAGTCATTTGACAAAGAAAAGTTTCATTGATGATCTTAGTGAGGAGCAGTTGCGTTCACTTCTCGTCGAGGCCGCCTGGGGAAGGAGTGGTCGACTAAAATACCGTGTGAACTCTAATACGTTTGTCGATAGGGCGTGGGCTAATAAACTGGTCGACGAAATCGGGCTGTGTTTTGGGTCAATAAAAAATCTCTTCCAAATGGGAGGTGCAGTCAAAGACGAAACCACCACACATTGCTTTAAAATGTTCGAGATAGCGTTTGAAGCGTGGCTACCGAACAGGCAGGATCTTCGACGTATGAAAGAGTTTCATGCTCAATTTGTTCTGCAAGTTCGCAGCGAGCGCAGAGAAGAGGACGATGCTTCCAACGTGACTGACGATGGTGACGATCAAGATAGTGGTGATGAAGAACACGTGAAAGAGTTACTTGAAACAAGAATGATTGCTGGCTTCAAGCAAGGTGAGCGGTCAAAAGACGGTGTGGTCCTTTTCAAGTCCGTTAAAAACAACGACAAAAAGGGCGTCTTGATCGAGATCTCCGATTATCCCAACGATATGCAAGTCAATCCACAAATTCGCCTTGTGAAGAATCTTTGGAACTTAAACGAGATTGAAAAACTACAGTTCCTTCATTGTATTCTGAACGAAAAAACATCCGGCGCTTCGGAAGAATTTGACGAGCTCATTGAAAAGCTAGAACTGCTGAAGAAACGAAAGGAAGAAATGGAAATGAATAAAAAGGTTGAAATGCTGTTACAGAAAAAGATCATCGGTGTGACCATCACTGGAGCATCAATCAATCATGATCTTCTTCATCAGATCGGTCCCAGTGTTGTGATTGTCGAGGAAGCCGCTGAAATCCTGGAACCAAGTCTTCTGGCTGCGCTGACGTCATCTTTAGAGCATCTCATTTTAATTGGCGACCACAAACAACTTAAACCTCAAGTGGACACCTATGAGTTGCGCAGAGACTTCCAGTTTAACAAGTCCATGATGGAGAGATTAATCGATTCTGGATTCCCTTTCAAATCGCTAACGAAGCAGAACCGGATGCGACCCGAATTTTCAGCTTTGCTGCACGATATCTACCCAAATCTTGAAGATAACTTGGAAATGGTTTCCCTGAATCAGCCTTTGAAGTGCATTAAAAAGTCGATGTATTTCTGGTCGCATGAATCTCCTGAAAAGCACGAACGCACCTACACGAATGTCGAGGAAGCCGACCGCATCATAGCTCTGGTTTTGTATCTTTTGTGGAATGGCTGCCGCCCGTCAGAAATAACGGTTCTTTCCGCCTATCTCGGACAGACTAAACTTCTCAGAAACCAGTTGAAGAAAGCTAAAGCCAAACATCAGGAATTATTCCAAGAAACCGCCGCCGATGATAATGTTGCCGATGATGAAGACGGTGGATTGAAAGACGGATTCGTGCAAGTCCAAACAATCGACATGTATCAAGGAGATGAGAATAAATACATTCTTGTTTCGCTCGTGCGATCGAACAAGAATAATAAAATTGGGTTTCTGAAGGAGTGGAATCGTCGTTGTGTAGCACAGTCAAGGGCAAAGTGCGGCATGTACTTTGTCGGAAATCTAAACGTCCTAAGAGACGCAAGGAATTCTCCCTGGTACAGGATGATAAATTCAATGATTGGACAAGAATGCGCTGGGTACACGATCCCTCTTCGATGCTCCAAACACGCGACATCAATATACGAAGCCATCGATGCTGACGGGGTGAAAGAAGTCATGACAAATCCTAAAAGCCTGTGCAAAGAGAGATGCGGTGTTGTTTATCCCTGTGGCATTCATTGCTGCAAGCGATCCTGTCTTCCCAGTCATTCCCACGCGTCTTGCGTTGAAATTGTTGATGACTGGTTTCCCGGCTGCGGCCATCCGGTTAAACGCAAATGCGTGCAACCTCTTTCCCAGATGCTTTGTAGGACAGAAGTCAAAGTTTGCCTTCCGTGTGGACACGAGGCGAAGAAGGAATGCCATCAACGAACGTGTGACATTCTCTGCCATGAACCTGTCGTCGATACCTTTCCAAAATGTGGCCATAAAACAGAGAGGAAATGCTACGTGAAGATTGAATTTCTCTCGTGTGAACATCCGTGTACAAAAATGAATTCCTGTGGTGTTCATCGATGTGTCGATAAGTGTGGCAAGGCTCATCGCCATGACAGTTGCCAGAAGATGATAGACTACACTTTTCCTGTTTGCAAACATCCCTCGCCGAAAAGGAAAAAGTGTTCGGAAGATATCGCTTGGAACTGCACTAAAACGGTCTACTTCACCGGAATATGTCAACACCCTATCGCGAAGCAATGCTATCAACAAGATGGCGAAGTCAAATGCCCTGTCAAACCGTGTGGAAAGAAACGAAAGTGTGGTCATCCTTGTACGAATACTTGCGGGGACGATTGCGAGAAAGGTGACTGCAGGAATTGCCATGATATACACAAAGAAAAGATGAGAAAATTCCACGAAGATGCAAAGAAGAGAGTGAAAGATCTTGAAGATAAGATAACAAGGAAAACGGTGTCAACGTTTTCAATCGATGAGGTTCACTCGAGAGGCTCATCAGCTGCGGAATATCAGATGGTTAACGACCTGGTCGTTAAATTTACTCAAAAAATGCACAACTGGTTCCCAAAAATCACCAAGATTGAGAAAGTCACCAATCTTGTTTTGGAAAAGAAATTTGAAGAAGCGAAGTCGAAGGCATTTGGTGATTATATCGCTCAAAAATTCCATGGTACTGATGATAATGGCGTAAGGGGTATAACGCAAAATGGATTCAGAATGCCAGATCCTAATCCACCAGCCAACAAACGAGGTATGTATGGTCAAGGAATATACTTTGCGACAGATTCCTCCAAAAGCGCTCAAAACATTTACACCAAAGGTTCCCAGAAACTTCTACTTTGTCTGGTTATTCTCGGAAAGTCAAAAACCGTTCAGCAATCGGACTATAATTTAAACAAGCAGAAGTTGCGATCTCATGGATACGACTCCGTTTTTGCCCCACGTGGAACAGCTGTGAAGAACGATGAGTTTGTGATCTTCGATCCAGACCAAGCTCTTCCTCAGTACATCATCCATTTCTCTGACCTTAATACTGTTCTCCCACCCTCTCCGTCAAATCTTGCCGCACCACAACAGCCACTTACCATAAGAAATATGCTGCCAACAAGAACAGTGAATTTCCAGGACCCGTTCGAAATGTATTACAGCTTCGCCGAGTCCCATTTCAGAAGAATGGCAGCTAAGGGTAATCCACCGTTGACCGCGCAACAAGCTAAGATTTCCTCCATCGACATCGTCATTAACAACGTTCTTGAGACAAAGTTCCAAGCAACTAAAAGAAAATTTCAAGCTCAAGGCATCCCCGACCGAGAAATTCTAGCTTATCATGGGACCGCGCCGAACAATATACAGAGTATTTTGCAAAACAACCTTCAACTAAGTTTCGCCCGTAGACAGGCCTACGGTAGAGGGAATTATTTCTCAGAATTCCCAGGTATCAGTTTAGGTTATGGACATGGTCTCCTTCTGTGTCGTATTCTGCCCGGAAAAGAATTCGTAAATACCAGTAGCTCTAACATTCCTGTTGGATACAACTCAAAGAAAGTTTTGTTAACTGGTCAACCCGCAGGTGCCGCAGCGAACGCTAATGGGGAAATGATTATTATTGACAATTCTGATCAAATCTTGCCTTTCTACGTTATTCATCGTTGAACAAACATTGATCGAATGAAACTTAATATACATTATATACTTTGACAAGTTTGCCTCACAATTATTACCCTAGTCTATAAAAATAAGAAGATTTGAAGCTTCACATTGCATGCCAAATAGCGCGTGTATATATAACCAGTGAACTCATTTGAACAAAACATGCTACAAGTGATGACGTCAGTGCTACGTCATTTGAAACAAGAAGATCTTAACATGACGTCACCGATTTTTAACCGGAGTCATGCGTGGGCCTCGCGAGAGCTGCCAAAATTTGGTTGGACATCATTAATAAATGTTTAGACTTTTTCTAGTTTCTACGTTTGTAATCTATAAACCACTAGAACCTGACGGAGAAAATATATATTTCATATCATAACAATTTATAGCGCCTTTTTTCAGCACATTTCGACGCCTACTTGTAAGAAATCCCTTATGTAAAGTTATTCTTTCGCGTTACCATTTTTATCATGCCATACCACTTGTTAATTGTTATACAAACTGCGTGCGTATGTAAATTCATTTACAATTCAAATTGCACAGAATAGCAAATTCCTGACACAAAAACGCTTATGACTTTCGCCTTGAGGTTACATCCGTTTCCGCAATTAAACGCGGTCGCATGTCTTTGTCAAAACTCACCGTGACCTGCCAGATAATCGGAAACGCTTAATGCACTGGACTAGTCACATTTCAAAACGTTTAACTTTTAATAACACGAGTCAAGTTTTCTCGAATATTAAAAGAAATAGCCAGAGAGGGTAAGAGAACCCGCTCAGGACGAACAATTTTTTTGTCGTCGATAAAAATTAAACTATGGGCAAAGAGATGCCTCTATGTACAGAGCAAAATGGACGTTATATTGATCGCGGTTTGGCTAAATTGCGGCTGTCTCAAGAAAAGGTATGGTGATTGTTTTTATTGTTCATTGTGAAACTGTTTTAGTGGCTGGTCGCGAAGTCACGAAAATATGCGCAGGTTGATTATGGATGTATGTAAGGGTAACTTATTTGAGAATACAAATGATTTACTTTTTGTCCCAGGAATCTAATATCAAAGCACTTGGGTTATATTTGTATAATTACAGAGTGTATGTAGTAAAACACCGCGTATCTTAAGCTTGTAACCAGCAACGTTATTCGTAAATGGCGTGAATTACTTGTGAAACATAATTTATGTAATGTTACATAAGTTATTTTCATGTATGATTCAATTATATTTAAGGCAGGTACCTAATAAGTAATAATCGATTGGGTTATTCCCATATGTCATCGATTGTAAGGCCGGGGAAACTAAGTCTAAGTTGATATGAGTAACTCTACACGTTCACGAGAGTGATAGTGTCAACAGCTTTTGTGAGTAAATGTTTCAAAATATTACGAAATCTCACTCACAATATCCAATACTCTGGCAATGAAGATTAAAATTGTCAGAGGTCAGACAGAGTAGGTATCAAAGCAGATGCAATTGCAGGTATCGCTAGGCTAATGCCTTAATGGGTTCAATTACGTGTTTAAATTACACGAACGATTCATTTGTAGTCATTACATTAGACTTCAGAAACCCCCCTGAACGTGCACTAATGAGGTCCAATAACAGATAAACTATCCGGAAAATATTCAAAATGATTAACTCAACGTGTTCACACACAACACATGACGAACACGAATCTTCGCCATAACATTTCAATCAATTGAGGTGCATTCAACCGCGTGTATGTCGCGTGCAGTATATACTACATCACCAACTCTGCATGCCGCAGTTCGTGTGGAAAGTCTATAGTGGCTTCAATGTATCATGTATGTATGTAAGACGAAAACATTCATGCTAAAAGCGTTGACAATACTACGTGTGTTGTAGTGTAGGAACTGATTTCATTTACGTCAAGACAGTTCTGTGACTGTGAGGGTTGAGACGAGATAACGATAACTGTTATTGTCGGATAAAATACTACACAGAACATGTGTTATGTCATCCATTGTGTCATTGTCCTGCCACCCACTTCCGTTGGGGGAAAACGCACCCCGTCTAAAGGTCTGTTCACATGATCCAATTTTGATGGATCCAATTCACTTCTGATGGATGTTTTATAGTCTGTTGACTTGCAATGTTTATGGGCGGCAAATCCACTGAAGCCAATTCAGTATTGGCTGTATTGCTTTATCGATAATACACTACATCCCATACATTAGAAGTGAATTGGATTCAACAAAATTGGATCGTGGGAACAGACCTTAACAATGCTATCAAGTTCCCCTATGGTTCCACATGCATTCCGCATTGTTCGCATACGACGCGTGGTAACCCTAGCACTCCACTCCTTTCCTTTCCTCTATACGTGGGTTATTTTGTTTTTATAGCCTGGTTTTCATATATCGTAATTCATCGCCGATTGTCGGTGGTCATAGATACACATAAAGCTTCGTCCATGGAAAGAAATTATCTACTTCGTTGGTCACCGAACAATGCATCGTAGAGCATCGTAGAACACCGTAGAACACCGATGAATTACGATATACGAGAACCAGGTTTTATATGAGCTGGCTGTTCATATGTAACCATGCAATCTTGACATAATGTTATATATATATACCACTCGAAGAGGTGGTTCCCGTTGGATTTGATGTGGGCCAATATTGATATAATGTTCTCACCAAACGGGGGAGGTGGTTCCCGTTGCATAAGATGAATTGGTGTGCGGAGGAGGGTTATTCACGTTGGATAAAGTGTGTTTCAATGTAGGCTTGGAAGAATAACTTTTTCTCTCATAAGACTCACCGAATGGGAGGGTGGTGCCCCCGAGGGGGGGGGGGTATTCCAGTTGGATAAAGTGCTTCACAAGGTTTAGGTCATTATTTCCATGATCTTTGGTTTTTTTGTTTCAGTGACAAAGCTGTACATAATATTTGGCTTGTCCATTCAGTGATTTGGTAAACGGGTACCCATTTTAGGCATTTAGCTATGCCGTACCGATTGAGTGTAGTGTAGACAGGGCTTCAATATAACGTCGGTAGTTCAGAATTATTTTTATCGAGTTCGTTGTAATATTCTTCCTTATTCGTAATATTCTTCCTTATTCTCTATTTTCATCACTATTTTTTGCTGTATGTACATCTTGCACTGCTGATCACAGTAATTTGACGTTTCCTGTTTAAAATTTCGACACTCCTGTCATCGAGAAGGAATTGGACCGAATTTCACGCCCGGGTTTTCTCCGGTTACTCCTGTTTCCATGTAACAGTATCTCTCTCCTCTTCCCGTATCGTTTCCACCAAATATTGTTTTTTAGATTCGATTTCCTTAGAAGGGTCTGTTCAAATGACCCTGCCCTGTCGGGTAAATCGTCCTGTCGGGTATATTGCCCTGGCGGCAGGGCGTGGACAAAAACTTTGCCGAAATGAGGTGTTTATATGGGAATTTTTCATTCTGCTTGGATTAAAACTTGGCATAAGATACTGGTTGGCGGCCGGTTGTACGAAAGCTGGATAGCGCTATCCACCGGATAGTGTTTTTTTTAACTGATTCCGCCTTCTGAATTCCTAACAATGCTTAGATTTGCTGTTCAGAGAAGGTCAATTAGACAATTACAGTTTAGGGCGCGCGCGAGTTCCCTCCTATTTCAGCGTTTATAGGACTTCGTCTCCTTATGGGATCCCGTAGGGCTGGTTGTAAGAAAGCTGGATAGCGCTATCCACCGAATAGGGTTTTTTCAATCGCACTAAAATTACCCGTTGCTCGTCATAACCTGGATTAAACTTTAGTATTCTGAAATTGGGGGGCTCTCTTTAATCGCTGTCAGCTGCGAATCTGTAATTTCATTGGCTTTTAGGCATGTTTACAGAAATTGAAAAAATATCACTATCCGGTGATTAGCGCTATTCAGCTTTCGTACAAGCGGTCCCAGGATCCCATAGGGAGACGAAGTCCTAGAAAAGGTGAAATAGGAGGGATCTCGCGCGCGCCCCAAACTGTAATTGACCTTCTCTGAACGGCACATCTAAGCATTGTTAGGAATTCAGAAGGCGGAATCTTAATAAATTAAAGCAGTCAAAATATTTTCTTTATTCGTCATCAGCTGAGTTGATATTTGAGAGAGCAACATGTACATCAGCAATTAAGTTTTTTTTAATCTATATTTGAATATCTTCTTCCGAAACGTGACCGTTTGTGTTGCCAATGATTTCGACTATGTATCGAAGTTTTGAAACAACAAAATGAGTCGATATATCAAAATTCAGGTCATCATTCTCATTTCTCGAAATGAAAACTCGAAAGGTATATTGTTTTAGTTTCTCTTTTAAAACTGTTTCCGATGACGTGCGTATTTTCTAATGTATTCATTCAAAGAAAGCTTCCCGTGGGGTGTCGCCTCAGTAGGCGTGGCTTACGAGTCCGACGACTAACTCATTCCCAATCTCGATCTTCCACCGCGCGGCCAGCTCGTCGAGTCGTAGTGTATAGTCCACTCGAAAGGGTTCCTCTGAACCGCATTTGTAAAAAATATATAGTATATTTCGTGTCCTTTTTGCTTTGTTTGAAGCACAATGCCTCTCGCACAGCTTGCGGACCCTTGGCGGAAGATGAATACGACTCCTATATCGGAGGTTCGTTCAAATTCCTTTGCACTACAGACCCTGTTAACTAACGGGGCCAATTGATGTTGCTTGGCCTAGTTATAAAAATGGATTCATTTTGACCGGGTTTTATAATATTATCTTATAGGCGGGGGACGATACGGTAGCGGATGAGTGCAACAATGAAGTAAGTCGATTTTACTATGTGTCTTGCGATAATAAACTCGGATTATTCTTGTGCTTTAATGAAAACAATCCTGTACAAATTTGGTACAAGTACGCTTGTGTGTACATTATATGATTCCATGGCCCTCTCATTTATCGTTTTTAACGTAGGTGAAAATGGACGATGAACCGTCCTCAGAATTGGATATCTCATCGGTGTTGGCAAAGACGAAGACTTGCCCCAAAGCAGAGCGATCTCATTTTGAACTGTTAAAAGTTCTGGGGCAAGGTTCCTTCGGCAAGGTTGGTATTGATATCAGCACTTTGAATAAGTTATGATGAGTCAAGTATGGATCCGTTTGTGTTTTGACTTCGCGTGTAATAGATCTAATGGGCAATAATCTTCGCCTTGTTTCACACTACAGCTGTGGTTAACCCTCTGATAAAATATCCCCATTCAGGGATGCTTTTTGTGGCCAAATTTACGCTCAAAATCTCACAATGATGTGTGTTTCTATACAAAGGTCTTTCTTGTACGAAAAATTGCTGGCACGGACGCCGGAACCCTATACGCGATGAAGGTGTTGAAAAAGGCTACTTTAAAAGGTTTGTATTCACCTGTCATAGACTAAAACAAAAGCAATTTGTGTGATAAGACTCTATATTATTTATATATGTCTAACGGCGGTGTTTTGTTTGCCTGTACCAACATTATATTTATCCGCCACTCGTGATACCGTCTCACAGTGCCGAATATTTTCAATATCTTTATAATACTCGAGTTTCTCTTCCTATATATTGCTGCGCTCTTTAAAATCGGCTAAACATGCGTCATTTCGAATCGTAACTTTACGATTGCAGTGAATAATTGCCTAAATTTTTAATAGCGTATAATTTAGCAAGCGTAATTGTTTACCATGAATAATATGGATATCCAGCGCATCTTCTGTTAGAAAATGTTTGAATTTTTGCCCAGTGTGAAATCGTAATTTCCCTCTTAGAGAAATTGAATTTATCTACATCGTAACGACCATTTTTTAAAGTACACTTGGTATAAAAAGATACGCGTGCTTTGAGTAGTATAAATTTGTTTCTAAATTTTACAAATGCTACAATTTGGAAGCGAATGGAATGTCCAAATGTTGCAATTACAGCATTATGGAATGTTTTTATAAATATTTTCCCACCGATCAACGGTTTCTAATAATTTGCGTACAGAATTTTTCATCACCGTGTTTTTTAGTTTGCGATTAGAATCCCATGATAATATCTGCAGATATATTGGCAATGTATCGCATGACTCGTTTATAGATATTGGATTCAGCGTTTGGAGGAAGGAACAATGAACTTAGGTCCTATCAGATCACGGGCATTATGTTAAATGTAAAGCATTGTCCTTGAGAAGCATACTTTGTTTTTACCTTCAATTTTTTTTCTACAAAGGATTAAAAAATTGCGATTAACTGATGTAACAGATGTCTTGTGCCTTTAAACCTTGTTTCGAAATACGAACACATGGAATAAAGTGGAAATGCGAATTCATTGTTAATATTCATTTGCATACTTAGTTCCATAAAAAAGTGTCTACTTCAGATATTTCCTAGATCTCAGTTTAAGAGAACATTTCACATTGACAATTTAAAAAATTCTAAAAATATTCCAATGTCTGCTTGCAACATTAAGAGTCCCCCAGACACCCTTGAAGGTGAAATGGTCTGATGTGCCTTTGCCTGTCAGTGGGACATATGCTTTTAATTTTTCAATTAATATTGAAAACTTTCACCTCAATCCTGTTAACATGACAGGTTTTTTACAACCGTCTTCAAGTGTATTTTTATTTCTATTCCAGTGCGAGATAGAGTGAGGACGAAAATGGAACGAGATATATTGGTTGATGTTCAACATCCATTCATAGTCCATCTTCATTATGGTATGTCATAGCAATATGCATTGTCCATCTGAAATATGTACACCTTGGTGTATCTATGTAAGACCTAACTTTTTTCACCCTCTCTGATTGCATCATTGCAATATGGTCATTTTCAACTTTCCTGGCTAAAACTCATAAACTGGATGTAGTCCTCCAGTGATAATTAAATTTGTCTTAGTGCCCTGTGTTAAACAAATGAAGTATGAACTATAAGCTAATGGGGTTAACAGGGGATACTTGTTAACCCATTAACTTGTTAACCCATCAACTGGATGGTTGATGAGTAAAACCATCTGGCATTTGACTGAGTAAAAGGTGTACTATAAATACAACAGGTTGCCAGCTAATGGGTTAAAAGCTTTCTATTCTGCAATATTGTTTAGCATTCCAAACAGAAGGCAAGCTCTACTTGATCTTAGAGTTTCTAAGGGGTGGTGACTTATTTACAAGGTTATCAAAAGAGGTATACAAATATTTCTATCTCTACAACTATAACAAATATCTCAACAAATATCTCTATAACTATAACAAATCAGAGCTATGTATGCATTATACACTGAAAAATGCTTTTAAAGGTTGAGGACTTTTGTATTTAAGTGAATATGTAGCTACATATATGCAAGTGTTTGCATGAGTAGAGATGCTACTCACCCATTTGCAATGGATGGCTGAAATAGTTATTACAAATCAGTAAGGCAGCCTTTGCTGAAAGAACTTAATGTGCAGAGACTCATACAAGGCAATTGCCAAGGAATAACTTCTGACCTTTGCCTGGGGTTGATTACTATCACATACATATTAATTAATTAACACAGGTCTGCAGCTAAGATCACTAAGATCAAGACCACTTAGAGTGTCTCAGGAAGTTCTTTTATGACATCCTTATATATAAAGCATCCTCTAATTATAATCTTTGAATAAAACATTTCTACTCTTAAGTTCATAATGAATGTCTTTTCAGGTCATGTTCACAGAGGAAGATGTTAAATTTTACTTGGCTGAATTGGCTATTGCACTTGACCATCTCCATAAAGTTGGAATCATTTATCGTGATTTGAAGCCTGAGAAGTAAGATTTCTAGTAGCATTTTGAAATGGCTGTAGAATCCTTGATGTAGAAATGGGTGTAGACATTTAAAGTTGAAAATTTTTGTGTTACAGCATATTGTTGGATAGTGAAGGACATATCCAACTGACTGGTGAGTTGAATCAATGCTATGATAGTTTTGCAAAATTCTCTTCTTTTAATATGCCCAAAGAAGATTCCTGAATTTCCTTTTACAGAGCACCAGCCTATGCATTCATTGATACACATAATGAATTCTAATTGTTTTAATTGCTCTGTTTTTTTTCAATTGTCAGATTTCGGATTATGCAAAGACTCTGTTTATGACAAGAAGACCTATTCATTTTGTGGAACTGTTGAGTACATGGCACCTGAGGTACGTTCCCTAGACATGGCTTTTAAGAGTTCACTACTGAATAAATCTTTCAACAACTGCAACTTTCCTTAGGTTGTGAACAGGAGGGGCCACACACAAGCTGCTGACTGGTGGTCATATGGTGTTTTGATGGTATAAAAATTGTGACCTTCATGTTCTTTGGCTGTATAATTTTCATTAGAATGTTGTGAATTAAGATGATCGCATCTTTTGCAGTTTGAAATGTTGACTGGATCACTCCCATTCCAAGGGAAAGATAGAAAAGACACTATGACAATGATTCTGAAGTAAGAGGAAGTTAATCTCTTAGGGATGTTTACTCAGTGATGATATATATATACACACTCAAAGTTGTTGTTTCCTAATTTGGAAATTATGTAATTTAACATTTACATCCTGTCTTTGTCAGAGCTAAGCTTGGAATGCCACAGTTTCTGAGTCCAGATGCCCAAAGCTTATTGAGAATGTTGTTCAAAAGAAATCCAGCCAACAGACTAGGCAAGTGCTAAAGTTTACACACTTTGTTGACCTGTGATATAGCTGTCATCATCAGGGAGAGTGTCTGATGGGAAACTGGTCAGATTAGTGCATAGTTGCTACTGTAGAAGGGAGTGGAATTTTGCTTTGAATATCCCGACATATTCTTCTCTTCTGCAGGGGCTGCTGAAAATGGAATTGAGGACATAAAGAAGCATCAATTCTTTGCTTCAATAAACTGGGAAGTAAGTTATCTCAACAGCCATTATTTTGAGTTTGTCTCTAATCTACAATATGCCTTAAAACTGAAAAGTGTCAACAATGGAATAAAGGAAAGAAATGCCCCTGCAAATATTCTGTTTATGAAACATTTCAGAAACTTATAAGAAAAGAATGTAAACCACCTTTCAAACCAGCTGTAAGAAGAACTGACGACGCTTATTACTTTGATAAAGAATTTACCTCAAAAACACCCAAAGGTAATGACATATATGTGCTTCGTGTACGAGCTTTTGCAACAGACTTCATTACTTAGATACGTCCATATTTCCTCTCAGATTCGCCAGCAATTCCCCCAAGTGCCAACTGCCATCAACTCTTCCGCGGATTTAGTTTTGTCAGTCCGACATTGATAGAGGTACTCTAAATGTGGTTTTCCTATCGAATTACATTGAATGTAGTTTCACGACCACCTCAATAGTGCGAAGTATTGAATCTCAGTTGGCTTACTCGTGAACGAGAGCTGAATTGTTCATATATTTATTTCCAGGAAAGTGATAAAAATGGCAGTGAAAGCATGGACGTTGATAGCGCGGTAAGTTGTACGTATTATCACTTAGGGTCTGTATTTCTTTGAAGTCAAGTTAATTGGGTAGAATTGTCAGCTTATTGGTTAAATATAAAACCATCTGGTGGTAGATATTTAAATGCTAAAGTCAGAAAACGCATTTGAATGCTTTGTCAGTTAGTGCGTCACGAGGAAAGCGATCGCCGAGAGACTGAGTAAAATTGCATATCACTTACAAAGTCGCGCGCAGTGACTAGATTCCTAAACTCATCGTTAACGATTTATGTTCCTCTAATATTTTAGTATAGCAGCTTAGCATCACAATTTCCAGCTGTTGCCACGTCCTTCTTTGACGATTACGAAATGAAAGAGGTACAGTGGACTGAGTACAACCCTGATATTGTATAGCATAATATTTCCTCTGTGATACATTATGATGTACCATATAATTTGCTCTATCATTTGCTTTATGATACATTATGCACCATAACATTTGCTGTATGATACATTATGTACCATATCATTTTCTGTATGATACATTATGGACCATAATACCATATCATTTGCTGTATGATACAGTATGTACCATGACATTTGCTCTGTGATACATTATGTACCATATCATTTGCTGTATGATACAGTATATACCACATCTTTTGCTCTATGATACAGTATGTACCATGACATTTGCCCTATACTATGTAGCAAAGCTTTACCTCATGCCTCATAGCCATGGAATGTGTACCACCAGTTGAACCACACAACCAAATTTGTTCTACTGAACTTCAGCTTCGTCCAAGCGTTTATCCTCCATTATCTTCCCGGTCACAATCTTATATCTGTTTTTGTTCTGCTCAGGAAATTGCCATCGGCTCGTACTCCGTGTGTAAGAAATGTGTAAGCAAATCTACGGGGAAAGAATATGCCGTAAAAGTAAGTACATTACGGTTACAATAAGTTATCTTTGAGGTGTTGGATTTTTGAAAAGAATGGTGAAGATTCTGTGAAAGCTAAGCAGTTACCGGCGCAGGAATTCTGAGAAAGCTACAACTACATTGTCTGAGAAAGCTACATTTTCTTCTTTTGATAGATGTAAACGAGCAGTCAGTTATGAATGCTCTGATGTATAAACGGCTTTATTTTACACACCTGTAACTTATTCACTCGTTCACATCTATCTAAAGAGAAAAATCGCATGCAGAAAAGTGTAAGCGTGTCTTTATACAACCGACCGGCAGCGTAAATTTCCAAAAATTAGGTACACGTAATTACAGGAAATTTTGTACGTATTTACAGGAAACGTTTTTGGTATTTTGTAGATAATCGACAAACTAAAGAAGGATCCTCGTGAAGAGGTTGAGGTAAGTCAGCGAGGCGAAGTGTAGAGTACAAGTTGTGGTCCAGGAAATTGTGAGATTTCGTGTTATCTTTGTGTTATCTTAATTCGTGTTATCTTTGTGTTAAGTTCAAAATATTTGTTTAGATTCTACTGAGGTTTGGTGGAAAACACAACATCATGGGAATACGTGATGTAAGTGATGCTTCCATGAATCATGGTACCGTCCGATCTCTTGCGCGAGATGATCGGAATTACTTGATTGTTTTTGAGATCCAAAAATCGTCTGGTTTTAGCCAGAGTAAAGCGCTGCGTTGACAGAGATACTGGTTGTAATGAAAACCATCCAATCTCCTTCAGGTCTACGAGGATGTAAAGAATGTGTTCATTGTTGCCGAGCTGATGAGAGGTGGCGAATTATTGGACAGAATTGTGAAGCAAAAGAACTTATCCGAACGAGAAGCAGCAAATATAATGCACACGTTAAGCGGTGCTCTGGCGTATCTGCACAACGAGGGGGTGAGTGGGTAGCTGCAGTTATAACACTCATTATTTAATCTACCTAACCACGTCTCTTACATGCATGCATGGATGTCTATACTAAATGTCGGATCAACCTGCACTCTTTAGCCCTAATCTAAATCCTCTCAATCTCTTTGATCTTCTAATCTGAGCTAATCTGACCTTATCTTACTCAGGTGGTTCATCGTGATCTTAAACCAAGCAACATCATGTATCTGGATGATAGTGGTTCATACGATGCTCTGAGGATTATTGACTTTGGTTTTGCCAAACAACTCAGAGCTGATAACGGATTGTTAATGACGCCATGTTACACAGCTAATTACGTTGCACCTGAGGTAATGAATATTAGAATTGAAGTGAACGTCAAGTAAGAAACATGTCAAACTTACTAGAACACTTGGGTTATATTGATTTTCATTTGCTCTTAAAAAAACATGTCTTGACCATTAATAGTTACTTGACAATGTTTAATATGCACGCCTGTTATATGTCTCACTGACCATAACAGAGGTTCTCCATAACCATATTACATAGGTTAAACTGGTTGCATAGGTTGTCAAGAAACATGTTGACCATTACTATAGATGCATGGTGATGTCTCCCTGGTATTCTGTCATTTGTCTCGGATCATAGTGAAGGTTTTCTCGTGGCCATATATCATAGATTATATACTCATTTTTTAGGTTCTCAAGAAGCAAGGCTATGACGTTGCCTGTGATATCTGGAGCTTGGGCGTCTTACTCTATACCATGCTTGCCGGGTAAGTATCGTATTGCAAATATTGCTCAATGAATGCCCGAGTTTAGATACCTAATTTTCAGGATGTGATCTTTTTCAGGTATACGCCATTTGCTCATGGTGCTGACGACAATTCAAGTCAGATTCTTAAAAGAATCGGGGAAGGGAAGCTGGTTTTATCGGGAGGAAACTGGGACACAGTCTCGGAAAGCGCAAAGAATTTGGTTCGAAATATGCTTCATATTAATCCTGGTAAACGATGCACCGCGCAACAGGTACTGAAGAATTTTAGTTTTCTCTTTATTGCTGGATCAGTTCAACAGTGTTGATCAGGAGGAAACCTGAACTAACTCTATATCTTCCTGCTTTTAGACCCAGTAAAGATTATCTCGTATTAAAATAGTGTTACTACCGGCGGAAACCTAGACCTAATCTTAATTTCTTCTCGGTTCTCTTTTAGATTTTATCGCACTCATGGATTGCAAACAGAAATTCTTTACCACAAAATAAACTTACTCTATCAAGCAGCGTGACAAAAATTAAGGTGACTATTTTTCACATTCATTTAAAATTCAACTAGGAATTGCGATTCAAGTTGTGGGTCTCAACAGACTCTGTTCACCCGATCCAATTTTGTCGGATTGAATTCACTTCTGATGAATGTTTTATAGTCTGTCGACTTACAAAGTATATGGCAGTAAATTAACTAAAGCCAATGCAGTGCTGCTTTATCAATAATAAACTACATTCCATACGTCAGACGTGAATCATCGTGAACCCTAACATGAATGCATTTCATGTTTTTTTAGGATGCATTCAAAGCCACATTTTCAGCGCTCAACTCGAGTCCGGAATCAAGAAAATTGAAACCTGTTCAAACTTCATCACTCGCGCAACGAAGGACCGGGAATAAAATGAAACCAGTTGTCAAACAATCTAATGTATGACCTCAGAAACGTTGGATACCCATGTGTGTACCTTATGATACTACAAGAATCCCTTTGAGACCCATATGAATCATTTATGACCCTTAAACTATTCAATAAAGATATATGTACAGTATTTTCCTATTCGAAGTAACGTTTGTCGCACAGAGCGTAATCTATAAATACATCACAAATAAAAATTACGTCACTAGTATGTTTGTATATGACGTTATAATTTAAACTAGTAAAAACTTAGTCGAGTACAAATGTTGCTTTGTGATTGGCTACGCTAGTCGCTATCGGTATTAGCCAATAGATGGCGAGTAGCGAGAGTCGGCCACAGTCTTTTGGAAATATTATTTTCCTACTAGTTTTTACTATAACATTACTCTAGATTTCTATGAAATAATAGTTCATTTGGGTTTGGTACTCATCAGCTATCATTTCTTAGAAATCTCAAGCTCATTAATCGATATCCAAGTTTCACAGATTATTTGTAAAAGGCAACTGTTTTGTAATTTTTCAGAATACGTACGCTTATAATATCTGGTAGTGATTTAATACGTCGATTGTAGTAATTATAATAGACCTGTGATAATTGATGATTACCAGTATTTTTACTTTGAAATATTTGTACTGTGAATTTGTGCCAATGAGGCCTAAAAAGTGTGTATAAAAATTGAAATAAAATCTTTTTGGCAGACATTTTCTTTGGTCAAATACAATAGCGGTATCCTGCATGTATACAGTAACATGATCTCCCAAGAAATCAAAGAAAGGATACCTAAAGGCAGTGTTACACTATGCAACTTGCAATGCAATTCTACCCCTGAGGCATGTAAAGTTGTCAAATACGAACATTTCTCACAATCTGCTAACGTTTTCTTAGCATTTCGAACACTTGTTACTAATTAACATCCCTCGAAATTATAATTGCATTGCAAGTTGCAAGGAAAATTGCATAGTGTAACACCGCCTTAAATATGACTTTGAGCAGCATGAATCTACTTATGGTGTATCTATTGGAAAGTGCGCGTGTTCACGTACTTTTTCCACTCATTCCCGCGTGTAATCTCTCACGGCCACGCGTGGGGCGTACACCTGACGTCATGAAAAAATTTGCGCAAGTGCGCGGTTCCCAAGTTCTCTTCCGTTCTGTCTTCACAACAATTCGTCAACAAGAGTGATTCGAAAAACGTGATCGATATATTGAACTTCAGAGGAAAGAAAAGGCCAGTTCAAAATGCCCAAGAATAAAGGTATGGTATTACTTAAACTCTCTGTTATACCTAGAATACGAATTGCTTAATATGACAGTCTTTTTCATCAAGGAAAGGGAGGAAAAAACAGACGAAGAGGAAAGAATGAAAATGAATCTGAGAAACGTGAACTTGTGTTCAAAGAGGACGGCCAAGGTACTTAGAATTGATCAAAACTCGATGTTTTTACGGTTATGGTCGTATCAGGGTAAATTTTGTCTTTTTTTATCGATAGAATATGCACAAGTGACAAAGATGTTGGGAAATGGTAGGCTGGAAGCGCTGTGTTTTGATGGAACAACGAGACTGTGTCATATCCGTGGAAAGCTACGTAAAAAGGTGAACATATTATTTGTAAATGGATCGTTAAGCAATTATATAAATCACCAGGTTTGCCTTTCATGGACTACATCATATCTATATTTCTGTTTGATGAAGTAATATTATAAATGTACGTACTATGCCTATGGCTGTCTAGCTTGGCTGATGTAACAATTCAAGGGAAAGTTTACATCTGATGATGTAATATTCCTCCCTCAATAAGATTGTCTGCTGTTAGACAAAAATGCTGAGGAAGGTGTTGCATCTGAATGCCTGCGAATGGGATGAGTCGGGACTATTTTCTGCCCTGGTATATTTGCAATGTCCTCTCATTTTACTATTAAAAGTTGATGCAAAGCACTTTTTTGAAAGTCTGCTCGAGGTTTTTCCAGAAGATTCAGCTTTAAATATTCATTTTTATTCATTGATGTCCATGAATAACACATTTTAAATTAACACAGAACTTTGACCATTTCTGTAGGTATGGATTAATGCTGGTGACATCATTCTTCTGGGCCTTAGAGATTTCCAGGTAATAAATTATAGTCTCTAGGCTTGAAATAATTTATGATGCCACAAAAAATAGCTATTTTCCTCAACATTAAGGATAATAAAGCTGATGTAATTTTACGATACAACCCAGACGAAGCAATGAGCTTGCGAGCTTATGGGGAACTTCCTGATGATGGTATGTATTGCTTCAGATGAATATGAGGACACATGCACATAGTTATATTTATTTGATATATTTATTTTTTTACCAGTGAGAATTGATGACACAGTTGAGTGGCACGATGATGATATTGGATTTGGTTTTGATGAAGAAGATGACAAAGATGACGATGAATCATGGTGGGTAGATAACTAAAATAATACTCATTCATAATTTGATTCATAAACTAAAAGTTAATGTGGGATATAGATATGTGAATAGATCCTGAATCAAATGATTATGATTTTCCTAATGATTTTTTTTCATGTTTTACTTAGATGAGCTCTTAAAATATCCGCAAATATATTGGAGACAAACTCTGGGTAATGGCCATCGTCCAAGGGTTTAACAAATGTTGCATTAAAACACTGTATAAAGGTCATCAGAACAATCACTAAGGGGAAATATTTCTTATAGTCAATGTATTGAATGTCAATGCTTTCCCAGGATAAATATGAGATTTTCATTTTGGAAAGAAAGTAGTAACAGGATTACTTAATGTCACATTATTAAACATGACAAAAAGATGTTATATTTTGTTTCTAGACTTTTGTTTGTTTGTTTTTTACTTGAATCTTGATTTTGTCAATAAGATATAATATTTCATGAACTAATATTATGTTTTTTTTCTTATATTGTAAACCTCTTTGTCACTTCTGAAACATTTGTCAATAAATTTGTCCTCATTAACCTGTCAGTAATATTTTTAGAAAGTAAATTTGACAAATAAGTAAATTAGCTTGTAGGTACACCACATAAGTATTCAATACTGTAATTAATATGTGGTGTACCTACCTACAAACTAATTTACTTATTTGATGTCACCATGCAAACTACCTTCTCCCAGGGGGTATCACTGCTGGGACTGCCCAGCATATTTGCCTGGAAAAGGGCTTGCAGAGGAGGTAGATATATAAATAAATCAATGATGATTTCATTTTTTTTTATTGTTTTTGTAATCTTTTCATTGAACATTTGTTGCAACATTGATAAAAACAACATTGTCATCCAGAGTCTTATAAGATCAGTGATCTGCCCGATTTTGCAGGCTGAAAAAGATTGATAATATTGGTTTGAGTAATAATTAGAAATTGACGTTTTTCGACATTTACTCGTAGAAAAACATACCCGGATTTGTGATGATTAAAAACGATGAAATTGCAAAGGAAGAGAAAAAAATAAAAATACTGGCAGCGGTGGGATTCGAACCCACGCCATCGAAATGACTGGTGCCTAAAACCAGCGCCTTAGACCACTCGGCCACGCTACCTATACGGCAACAAAACCGAAATTTATAAATAATATCCATTTCCCACAAAAGTACAGCATTACTTCATTACTATTACTATTAGTAACTTAACTATTTTTTATACAGAATTGCAAAGACGTTTTAAAATTCCTATATCAATCTGCTATAATATTTATTTTCAATCTACTCATGATGATATTTGTTACAATGCTATTCTTGACACAAAATTGACACAATCTATTAACTGCAACAAAATTAGTATTGATGGACCTTGTCTATTCTTTTACTTGCTCTTATAACATTGACACTATACATTTTTAACATTTCACTTCTTCATCAGCTATTTACATTATATAAATAGTCAATACTTTTTTTAATAAAGGACTCAATTTCATTCGGATATGTGCCCCAAGTTTAACATTATGGTTTCCAGCTCTTGACATCCTGCACACAATTCACAAGATGTATCTGATTTCTGTACTCCGACCCTTGTGAAAGAACCATTTGATGTCTGTTTCTTCTTCAATTGAAAACAACCTAACATATAAGATAATAAAATTAAATAATATGAACCATTTGGTTAGAGCAATTTTTGCATTGTAATTCTAATATATGTTGTTGTCTTTTGGGTGCTCTTTATTGTTTTGAGTTCTTGATGTCTTGTCCATGTGCAATGCTCAGTAGTGCAATGAGAAATCATCCATCAGGTCTTGGATCTCTCAAGACAATTTAGTACAGTAATTATGATCATACAGATACAGTAATACTGTATCCATATGACCATAATTACTGTACTACTTGTACTAAGTCGTGAGGGAAACAGAAATTGCATAAGATTATGTTTATGTGCAAATGGAAACTGTCCTGGCAGTCCTGCAAACTGCATTTGAGATACACTGCACATTTCAGGTGTTGTGACTGCTAAACTCAGCTATACCTTTTTCAATTCATACGCTGACTTTCCAATGATACCAATGGCTGTAACACCACTGACTGATATAAGGGTGCCCCAGCCAAATGCTCTCATTGCCAGCTTCGCTCCTTCATCGTGAACGTGGCCAGAAAACGACGTTGGTGAACGCTTTCGTGCAACGCCAAGAGCCAAACCAAATCCCCCGATAACGGATGCAAACGTAACTCCAAAAAGAAAAGCTAATTTCGCTTTAAATAATTTGTTGTCGTCCGGTTCGTGTTGAGTTTTATCACCATTTGACTCCGCCATATTTGTTTCATGTTTGCCTCCTTGTCGGAAAGTGCCGTCAATTGTCGGATTCCGATACAGCCCGCAGAGCGCGCGGGAAGCACAAAATTTTGTGAATTTGAAAATATTTTTCACTCGAGAGATTCAAAGGTGCTCTTTTTATTCATTTAGGTTTCATTTAACCAAAGCACCTTTAACATTCAAACAATTATTTGACTCCACTTTGCTCAACATTCAACAACCATATCAACACCCTAAATTTCAGCCCGAGCTTCTACGAATCTGAGCTATTCATATTATATTTGACTGAACTGGAGTTGAAAGTTCAAAATGGCGACGAGCGCAACAGTGCACTATGTTGGTCAAAAGGTTTCTAAGGTTAGATGGAGACCTTCGACCCATCTTAAACGGTCAACTGTTTTCGCCAGTGGTGGTTGGGACAACAATGTAAGTGATATACTTATTACAAGGCAATACAGTCATGTTTCCATAGATTTGAGTCATTTGACTAAAGCACTTAAATTGCAGTGGCTCAAATATTAAATACAAACACAAATGCAACTGATAGTACTAGTGGGATACTGGTAATAATGTTGAAAAACAATCATGTTTATTGGTTCCAACAACAGGTGAATAATTTGTGTTTATGGAGTACAGAAGATCTACAAAGTGATGGTAATGCAATGTCAATCGACAGCAACCTGGCTGATGAACCCCAGTTGATTTGTGCAGTTGAACATGAAGGGAGTGTCACAGATATTAAGGTGGGCAAGACTACATAGTCTGGTGGTAGACCAAGCATTAATTTTTTGAAAAGTACACCAAATTAGTGTACCTTTTTTTTATTATTTGCAGTATACGGATAGTGAGAGGATATTAACGGCATCCTCAAATGGCAATGTTACGTTGCACAAACATGACAGTGCAAGAGGGGTATGTATGAACAGACAAAACAACAAAGAAATTAAATTTAACTAAAAAGAAATTTAGAGTATGTACCTCAATGGGTAGATGAATCATGATTAAACTTTTGTTAGAGCTTGTCACAGTTCCATAGTTGGCATGGGATTCATCATTACAACGAAACATCAAGTTGTTCATGTACATCTTTGGCCACCAACACAAATCTGCCTGATTTTGTGAGTGTCGGAGAGGATGGTAGAATTGTTGTATTGAGGATGGACCATCAGAAACCTGTCAGGAATATAGGTATATACAGCACGTTTACTTTATACCAAGCTTTATCATGTTAAATATATTTTGTGTTCTTTAATTTTTAAATGAAAATGTCTAAAAATGCTGACATTGGTTTTCTCAGAGTCTGCTGATTGTACAACCATATCTGCGGTCACCTTTGTGAAATCATATGAAATTGCAACAGTGAACTTTATTGGGCAACTCAAGGTTTGGGATCTGAGGCAAAAGGAAGTGAAACCTGTCCGTGCCATGCTTCTGTATGTCTGTGCTAATTTTCTTATATAATTTATTGTCATATTCAGTGTAACTTCTGTTTGGATAACTTTTGTAAACACTTTGATTTTACAGAAGTGGGGACCGTGTTCCTTTGTTGTGCATTGATAAACACCCAACACAACCACATTTGATTGTCACTGGAGGTCAAGATGGTGTCCTTGGGCTATGGGACATGAGACAAGAAAGATATCCAGTCACACTATTAGAAGCACACTCTGCTGAAAGTATGTTAAGAGATTTGTTTTATATAAAGAAAACAGCTCTGGTAAAGCTGATCTTTGCACAACTGATCCTTGCCATGCAATTGTTAAAAGGTCAAAAGTTATAACACAGTTAGTTTATTTGTTTTTAGTTTGGGAAGTAAAGTTCTATACTTCCAACCCAGACCATTTGTTCACATGCTCTCAAGACGGTGCTGTGTGGCAATGGAATGGCTCATCCATGAAGACCCCGTCATTGAATATCAGTCGAATACTCAAACCAAATGCCCCAGATGTAGAGGATGGTGTAGATTCAAGCAATACGCCCACGCCGTGGTTGTCGGCAGATGCGAGCAAACATAAAATTGAAACTTTTTCCCTGTTGCCTTACAATCGTTCAGCAGTGAACTCTTTAGATGTAACAGGGCAGAACTTAGTTTGTGGGACAGACGGAGAAGCTGTGTATGTTCTTGAGAATTTAGATTTAGATGCGTGATATAGTTTACAAACTTATTAAAGGTGCAAAATTTTTGCATGGATGAAAATGAACCTGGGTGGTCACCTTCGCTCTTCAAACACGTGTTATTTAAATGCTAAAAAAAATAGGAAGCGATGCACCGTAGGGGACGAAAACTAGTAAAGAAATAAAAACTATACTTGCCTGGTTTTGTAAAGGCTTTTACTGGCTTGGAACAGGTGCGTTTGATCATCAAATGGGTGATAAAAGTTCACCAAAAACACACACCTTTCTTGACGCCCACCATTGTAACGAAAATACGTTACAATGGTTTAAAGGTCCCGACGAGAGACAAATTTCGAAATTCTAAAAGTGCTGTGTGTGAGTGTGTGATTGGTCAATATCTGCAAAATGTCAAATTAGGTCCAATCAGAACAATAATTTAAACTTTCTTGCAATATTCTGGAATTTCCGCTTTTTTTTGAAAAACTAACTATGAAGATAATATACTATGTACTTAATTTTAATTATTCTTGTGAATAGGTGATGCAGTGTTTTTTTTGTTAGAAATTCATTTTTTTGCGATTCTTTATTTTCACTGTGCGCCTAGCAGGTGCGAAAAAAAATTCTGGATAAAAAATTCTTTGCCTCATGGAATGTGCTCATAGAAGACTGGGACTGCAGTAGTGCACATGCGCAGTTTGAGTTCTTTCTTTTTTCGACATGGGTTTCGAGAAGGTAAACGTGGTGCTTTGAACTCGCAAATATTTCATATTTTACCCGCTTTTTTCACGATTATTGATCACATTTTAACTGGAATCGTATTAAATGATAGCTGGTTGATTGCTAACGAGTTTAGTTACCCAGTTAAAGTTGATCATTTTAGAGATAAAAGCATTTGTAAAACATTCCCTCGAATTGAAATTATAGAATATATTTTGCTATATAAAGTTTCGCACAGATGCTAGTTCAGAGTTCCCAGGATTATCATAGGCCATCCACTTGACCATTATATAAAGCAACTAACTTCAAATTATAGTTTGGAGTCGGTTGTTGGCCTTTCAAATATTATAAATGCTAAAATAAAGTAGACTGTATTTATTTGTGAAGATTTTAATATAAATGTGACAAATAAGCTTTTGATCATTTTGTGAAACTCTGAATTCTGGTATAAATGCTTTAAAGGATGTGTTATTTGCAGTATCAGAAATGGCAATATGCCACCTGAATACACCTAGTAATAAAAGCTCTAACCCCTAGACCCTAGGTCTATATTTTTAGTGTTTCCGTATTACCTATAAAACAATTGTACTTTTATGCAATTCACTTTATGAAGTTATATCATTCTACAGCAAATAACGATTGATGCTTCGGGACATCTACTAGGGCGTCTAGCCTCCACAGTTGCCAAATCTCTTTTGTCTGGTGAGTGATCAAGTCAGTTTCTTGTTTTTTATTAAAACTGTGATTAAAACAAATTTGGATGTAAAAAGATGGGAGGAGGGAGAGGTGCAATGGCTAGGCTACTTATTATAACATAGTTAGTTAAAATTATTTTCTTAGTGTATAATTTGGCTTTTCACCAGTTGAGACTAAGGACAATGCCAGGGGTTATGTTCCCCCTCCTAAATCTTTCCTTGAAGTCCAGACATAAAAGGCGTAGTCAAGGACATTTGTAGTAATTATTTTCATATCTCAACACAGGTCAACGCATTGTGGTGGTACGATGCGAAGATATAAATATCAGTGGCAATTTCTATAGAAATAAGTGTAAGTGAATTGAAGTGACTTTTACAAAATAGTCAATTTTACTGAGTGTCTTGTAAAGCACCCAATGGCATCCACTGTATCATTGGTTTATTTACGTCACCTCTCATATTTTTTAAACCAATCTGAATTTAGTGAAATATTTGGATTTTCTGCGGAAAAGAATGAACACAAAACCATCTCGTGGGCCATTCCATTTCCGTGCACCCAGCAGAATATTCTGGAGAACAGTCAGAGGTATTTGTTTGCATCATACAACATTGTGATTATTTCGTGATGATCTATATATAGTATTATTATTGTTACAGGGATGGTACCTCATAAGACAAAACGAGGCATGGAAGCGATGAATCGTTTGAAAGTTTTTGAAGGTGTTCCTCCACCATATGACAAGGTAATGCATTTTGAAATCAGATAAATGTGAATTTCTTTTCGAATTATGATAAATCATTGTAGTAACTAATCTAGGAAGATATATATAATATATTATGAAGAATAACTTCCCTTAGTTGATTTGCTAAAGTTTATTTTGATTATAGGTTAAGAGAATGGTTGTTCCTTCAGCTTTGAGGGTGGTACGGTTGAAACCTGGACGACGGGTAATACAAATCTCTTATTAGATCTTAGAGTTTTCTCTAAGATAACTCGCATTAATGTGGTGTTTTATTGTGTTACAGTTTTGTGTGTTGGGAAGACTATCACATGAGGTTGGCTGGAAATATCAAGTATGTACATTTCCTATCTGATTATGTATTATTACAATACTTTTTCCTTGTTCAATGTTTTGAAAAAAACAAAGTTAAAAAAATGGTTTTTTACTAATAACACTTTCTTTTCACCAGGATGTGGTGAAGACATTGGAGGTGAAACGGAAAGCAAAGTCAGCTGTTTACTTCCAACACAAAAAGACTTTGTTGGTATGTTTTTGATCAAGATGAAAGCTTTCTTTTCCTCTGTGTAATATTCTGGTGTTCGATAGCTGAATTATTGAATAATGCACTTGAGTTAACACTGTTAAATTTCTGCTAAAATGTATTGTTCTTTTGTAATTTCCCTGTAGAAACTGAAGGCTCAAGCTGAGAAGAACAAGGAGAATGAAATTAAGCCACACAATGAAGTTATTACAGCTTTTGGCTGCTAAAGATGAACTGTCAACTGAAACAAATAAATAAAAAACATTGAATCTTATCTCTCTCAAAGCTTGTGTTTTTTTATTGCATTTCATCTTAGTTGTTCAGCACACCAGCTCCAGTTAGCCTGCTTAAACATGTTATCCCCTAATCATTATAAATCAGGGTGCAGATTCACTGATCCAAGAGGCAGGAAGATGGTGATGATGATGATTCAACTGTAACAAATGGATGGGGGGTGGAGATAGCTATTGTTGCAACTTTTGTTCACTTTCATTTGTAATGTGGTTCAGTAAGAATAGGAGGTAACTAGGAATTTCAATCTGAGAAATTTTGAAGGGACGGGGGGAAAGGAAAAAAAACACGCGCTTTGTGAAGGCACGTGTTCAAGTTGCGTGTGATGGATTACGTTACGTAACATTAAATTTTGCGAAGGATTTTGGGTAATTGGATTTTCTGTAAACACCAACAACACGTTTGTATAAAAATTTGTGCACCTTTTTTTGCCATTTTCTGCCTAAAACGATAAAAATATGATGTGCAACGTGGGAAAAAGTGGTATTCGGATACTAAGAACTATTCCTCGCTATCGTGAAGCGGTTATTTCAGCTGGATACCACGAGAAGGTTAGGGTTTGAAGATGCCACGTTCAGACAACGAAATTGTAAACAAACTCTTGTTTGTAAACGTCTTTAGAACTTTAGTTCCTAAAGATGGAACATTGTGAGAGGATTGACGTTAAAATATTGTTTGTAGAGTATTAAGACAAAATAGCCACAGTCAAAATATATTAATAAGTTATTATTGTGAATATAATGAATAATCACGTAGACACGTACTTTTTTGTGTGTGAATTTATACCGAGTAGAATGCCCTTTCTCAATAAATAAGCAGCCAAGAGTTTGGCCTAAGTAATAATTCTTGTTTATATCTTGGTTTGCTCATGTGTCAAGGAACAGAATGTGTTATGTCTTAATGTCGTACAGACTTATGTACGTGCTAGACCGCTCAGATCTCTGATGATCTCTTATCAATCTCAACACAACAAGTAACAAAGTGTAATGAGTCAGTTCTGAGAATACCTAAAAGTGAAGGATTAATCTTCTTTAGGTTATTGACCATTATGAGAATCCTCGTAATGTTGGTTCATTGGACAAGGATGATGAGAACGTTGGTACTGGGCTTGTTGGTGCACCAGCATGTGGTGATGTAATGAAATTACAGGTGGATCAGTTACAACAGCTATTATATTGTTAAATTGCCCTGTATTTTTTCTGTATTTTCCTGCTTAACAATTTGCAGTCAATGCATGCAATTTCCAAGTTGAGTTTTCAACAAAATTTGCAGACAGTCCTTCAGATTTGCTAATTATATGCATGTCTAGGAATTTTGTCATGAATTTGAATTTATAATTTGCTTATAATGTTGGTTTTGAATTAAAGTATTCAATTGCTAGGATGTAAAACTATGTTGAGAAGAATATATTTCATTATCAGACTTACCTAATTTCCAAAATGAATTCAACTCATGCGTGCAAGCTAATATATTAGGCCATAACTGATTAACAAGGTTTGGTTTATTTTTTTAGATCAAAGTAGATGATGATGGAAAGATTGTTGATGCTAAATTCAAAACGTTTGGCTGTGGTTCTGCAATTGCCTCAAGTTCTCTGGCTACAGAGTGGGTCAAGGGGAAGAATGTAAGTGGCAATGTGATGGTTGGTGTTGTTGTTCTTGGTAGCAATATTGAATGATAACTTGGTGTTTTAGGTGGACGATGCTGTCAAAATCAAGAACACAGACATTGCAAAAGAATTGTCATTGCCTCCGGTTAAACTCCATTGTTCAAGTAAGTTTCTAGTGAATATTGATGTGGTTGAGGTTAACTCTATAGTAGAATTTGTTGTTCAGAGTACTACAAAGGCATTTTTGGTTGAAATTTTCAGAATTAAGAGGATACATTACAAGAACCTAGCTTTTTCTCAGTGTTTATGCTTCTGACCAAAGTGGGCACATTCAAAATACCATTTTATAATTCTATATTATTTTATTACTAGTGTTGGCAGAAGATGCTATAAAAGCAGCATTAAATGACTACAAAGTAAAGAAAGAGTCATTGCAGAAAACACCAGAATAAGATGACGTTGTGTACAATGTAAGTCAAAACAAGTCATATCTTCCCTAAGCGAGAAATAACACAGTAGATCCAGAGGTGTATTAAATATGAATGGTAAACAAGCTGAAGGGTTGTGCATTGTGTAGAATATGAAGGTATTATGGAATCACCACACACCATCTTAAATTTATATTTATAAATTGTTGCATGAATGTATCAAAAAGATGTACATATATAATGATTAGCAAATGTTTGTAAACAAGATATTGTCAGTGTGAAATGTTTTAAAGGATTGGATTTTGTGTTTTGCATTTTAAGATTAGATTTCACGCATTATAAGATTAGATTATTATACACTATGGTGATTATGTCGAAATGTTTGTAAATTCATAATTGACTGGCAGTGACGTAACTGCAACTAACAAATAAAATTGCCTTATGTTGTTATCTCACCTGAGTGGAATGCTAAGTTGTGGGGAATGGTTTTTCTTCAGCTCATATATCTCAGAAGTACAATAGCACATCTAATGTCTATCACCCCATCTACTCCCAAAACACCATCAAATACCATCAAAATCATTATAATCAAAGCTAATCAAAAGAATTATCTTCAGCAATGAAAACATAATTTGTAATAAATTAATGTCACATCAATTTTTTTGTAAATCATAACAAATTCTATACATAAATCTAATTCATAAATCTAATTTGATATATACTTTATGTACATCTAGGGTCATCCATAACTTAAAATTCCAGCATCAATTAGTTTCTTTATCTTTGGCAGAACTTCTGGTTTACTTGTTGCCAACATTCTAAGAGATAAAAAAAAGGGTAATTCATGTGTAAAATCTTTGAGGAAATTGTTTTATTCTTGAAGTTCAAACTGGAACATGTAGTTTAGATGAAAAACTAACCTTCTTGCTTCTGGAGGATTTTCCTTTAAGTTCTTTATAAGTTTACTAACCCATGGATCTTTGAGAACTTCCAGTGTTGCAGGATCTGATAAGATCTTACTCATCTTTTCCTTATCTTCCTGCGAAGCTGTTGTGGCCTTGCCATCAACTTCTGATGAATTCTAAAAAGAAAAATGTTAAACATTTCAATCTAGCTGTTAATAGTTGGCAATATGCCTAGTTGCTTGAAGTTTTCTGCTCTGTTTTGTGTCAGCTTATTTTACCACCAAGCTTTGGGTTAGTCTTTTCCATATCATAACTGGATCCATATGTTCAGACCAAAGAAGTCTAGCTTTTAAAAATACAGTATTTTATAAAACAGTTGGCTTAAGTAATCTATGTATACAATATTTTCACACTTACCACTTGCTCTGAGGTTTGCTCTGCCATTCCTGTAAAGTGTTCCCCTAGGATAGCACAAAAATCTTTAATAAATGACTGTAGTTCTTGACTGCCTTGAATTAGCTTCAAACCCTCCTCCGGATTCTGCCTGAAAAGACTCAAAGCTTGGGAGTATCTTGGGTCGGCAAGTTTCTTTAGTAAATCAGGTCTTCCCTCTAGCTTCTTGAGAAGGTCGTCTGTTACCCAGTCTGAGAAAAGCAAAGCAGTTTCAGCAATTTAGTTGGACAGCAAATGCTCAGTTCAAGATTGCATAACATTTGTTAGTATTCAACTCTGTATTATGAAAACCTTATAGCTATGTTCGCCCAAAATAATTTGTCAGGCTATTTTAAATGCAATGTTATCTGATATTTGCAATAAACATAGCATCAGCTTGATGACAAACTCAAGTACAAAAATTCTCAAATTTACACCAAGGAAATCTGCCTGGCAAATTGCTGCCATTGAATGCACCTTATGGCCCTTACCAGCAGTAAATTTGTACCTTTAGGTTTAGCAAACTCTCTCTGTGTTGCCCAGTAGGAATAGGACACACAGAATTTGATCAATCAACAAGACACAGTAAATCCCTAGTCAGGAATGTAGGCTTTATAATATTTGACAAAAAATGTTTTTAACCTTGTGACCTAACAGCATGTGGTCTTGCTCCTAATTTGAAAAACATTCTACTCTGTGACAAAGTAATATTCTCATTTAATGTCAGATATGATACATGTTCTCAAAGTATCAGACTACCATAGGGTGTAGTCGTTGCACACCCCACATATCTGGATAAATCAGAGGTAAATCCACACTCAATTCAACCAGGCCAAAAACTGTTTGTGACAAACCTTTATTTTGCAAAAATGAAGTATCCATTGCTTTCTGTACATCCGGGAACACAAGACTATTCGATTCCTCTTGTTTTGGACATATGGTAGGTATTTGTGCCTCTTTTGCCGATATTGGATTGCTTGATTCAGGTTTAGGAAATTTCGGTTTGGTTTTCTTGTTAAGAAATCCTTTCTGGAAACCACCAAATGTCTGGGGTTTACTGGTTTTCGTAGGTTGTTTTTGTGGTACCTCACTTAATTCTGGCGATGGTGGTTTGTCATTTGTGATCTTATCTACACACTGCATGGACTGTATTTGATCTATGACCTCTGAAAGGTCTTCTAAAGGAGGGACCTCTACACCGAAATAAAAATTAAAAGTGAGTGGGTTTTTGCATATTTTTATGTGATTACACAATATGTAACTTCAAATATATTACACTGAATGGAACATTATAATTGATGCGTATCGTTTGCAAGTTTAAACCCAAATGCAAGATAAACTTAAATACTATACTAAATAATCATGTCCTTCATATTTAGATTGCTGCTTCTCCTTTTAGAGTTGCCAGGCCAATATACAAACGCGGGAAATATAATTTCCATAACAACATGGCATGTTCCACTCCGGCAGGATGATTGCCTCACAAAATCGCATAATTATAAAATCACCCTTTAAGAAGACATCTACGCGACATATTATGTATTAAACTAACCGTCCTCGTCTTCACAAGCTGTTGCCATCGATAGAAAATATTTTACGGCACTACAAATGTAAATATTTCACAACAAACCATAGAACAAACGTGCATTTTTGGCATTTAAATGATTTAAAGACCCTCTTGACCGCGAGGTTTGGGGACCTGGGGACAATGGAAAATATAAAAAATTTGAAAAGAAAAAATATAAAATTTTAAAAAATATGAACTTTGAATGATATTGTTCTTAAAACCGTGCATCAAAAGTGTCCATCTGAGGATTTATTATGTACAATTGTACTTGTTGATGTCTAAAACGGATGGAAAACTGGAATTTTGGACTTGGTAAGTTTGTAAACTTTCTACAAAGAACGAAACAAGTGACTAAATATACTTGGTTTAGTTGTTTTGAGTTGTGACGTAGTTTATTTTAGGTATTGATGCAACTTTATTATAAAAATAATGTTTGGTATTGCAATTGTGTAGTTCTCCCTTCTGAAAGTAGTATTTTGCATTCTTGTATTTCATTTACTTTCTCACAAGAAAAAACAACAACAACAACTGACTGAAATTATTTATTGTAAGACCTTGTGTTCTGAATAAGCATGACTCCGATAATTTATATTTAATATCTACAACCCAAAATAATAAACTCTACAATAAGCAGTCAGTCGATCAGCGCACTCATTTGCAATTGGTGTGGTCAAATTGTTTTAAATTATACAAAACCCTAACTACTATTTGTATCTAATATTAAATTAATTTATTATAATACACTAATACACAATATATTTAAAATTGTTTCTTGTTGGCATCAAATGCCATATGCTGGTAGTGTGTGTCTATTTATCTGCAATTTACCCTCACCAAGGTCGCCAAACTGGTTCAGACCTTGTTTGGGATGGTTCTCTGGTAGTGGGTGTTGACAACACAGAGCTCTTTGGTGAGTTGGGTGTACTGTGGCAGTGTGTTGTGGGGGACCGAGGAAAGGGGTAGCCATAGGCCATTTTCACAAGAGAGCTATCAGAGTAACTCTTTGTCAGTGATTTCTCTAAGTATGGCACATTGGGCGAGGTGGGATGTCCAAACATCTGTGCATGTGGACCTGATAAAGTGTTCCCAGGTAATAGTTCAGGAGGTTGGTTTAAAAAGTGTGGTTGGGGGTACGGTAAAGGATAACAGCGGTAACAAGGGTCTTCATGGGCTGTGCAGTGGGAAAGATTGGTAATAATCGGTGATAGCGGTGGTGATGTAGGTGGCTTTGATGCAGACATGTGCATTGATTGACATGTGTTGTTAAGGTGGGATAAGATATCCGAACGAGTGTTGTCGTCTATTGATTCCACCCCCATGATGTAGCGAGTGACCTCAGTGGCACACTGGGTGAAACCATTCTTGTAGTGAGATGTACCATCATGTCTTGGGTAGCCTAGAGAATAACGCATTATAAGTTGAAATACACACTCAATGCATTTAAAATACGTTGATTATTATCTCAAGTTGATATGCCAAGGGGGGTAATATATTACTTTCCCCTAATGCTTAAATTTCTAAGCCTTCTGATCAGAAAGCTGATTATCGTGTGACACACCTTTATTGGTGAACGTACAACGTGTCGGCGATGATTTATCATGGCTTATAAAATACTTACTGTTGACAGTCTCTCTCAGGGCTTTGAGGTGTTTCACAGCCATTTCAAGGATATCTGCCTTTTCCATCTTCGTATAACGTGAGCTCTTTAACAGAGACAAAGTTATTCATCAATTACCTGACCACACCCCTAAAGCCGAAGTTCTTGGGAAGATTTTACTTGGGGAAATTTTGGAAACGAGACACGTTCTTCAACTGTAAACATTTACCCCCGGAGTCCCGCGCTTGTGAGCGTGTGATATTCTGGGTGCCGGGCATCAAATTCCCAAATCGTTGTCAACACGTTTATTCTCGGAACTCTGAAAACCTAATTCCGAATTACTGGAAATCGCATCTGCGTGACGCATACAGAGCTTTGCAATATCCTGTGCACTTTGATTGACCGATGAGTCATGATTAGAACTATCTGGCAGCAGTTTCTGGCACGGTCTTAAATCTCTTGTTTTCGACAAGGTAAAGCAGTTCACCGCTGGGGAGAACAGTCTAGGCGCACCTGCATCGAGCATTCCAGTTAAAGTCTTAAACCTCTAAAGTTCAGCCGGAGAGACAAACCGATGACTGGTATATATAATAATAATATATTCTTAGTCTTAAAATAACCATGCGGAGGTAGCAACGTAGCCGCGTCTTCAAATCGGTTTTTTTAAGTATGGTTTAAAAACAGCTTAAAAAAACTACTCGACGTTTCGACCTTTTGTCAGAAGAGTATGAGTGCGCCATTTATAGGTCGAAAAATCGAGAGTTTTTTGTCTATTTTAGGCGATTATACGACGCTTGATGAGAAGTTTTTTTGAGTTCACTTACATCTTTATTAAGCGATCTCAAAACGATGCCTTTTAATTCTGCTAAACTGTCGTTGATTCTTGCTCTTCTTTTTCGTTCCAACAATGGTTTCCTCGCCTGAATGAATGCACAAAGACAAAATCAATGCTAGAATTTTAACAAACCGTCCAATGTTCTGGAAAAGCACGACCACCCGACAATTTAAAGAGGAAAAAAAATAATGAAAGTAAAAAATAAATTCCGACTATTTAGACTTTATGTCAAAGTAATCTTCAAAACAGAATGCCGAATATACAACTATGCAAGTGTTGTAGTTATATATCTGAGTATTGTATCTCATAATGTATCTGAAGAATGAAGATGACCTTGTAATAAAGTCGAAAATTTACAATCTCAATCAATTTACAATCTTGAATGAGTTGAATCAAATATGGACTCTCAAGATGCCTTGTCTTTTCGGAATTGCTTTTTTTTTTACTGAAAATGTTCTCGTTCACCGCGTTAAAGCACTCGACAATAGACGTGCTTGTGTTGTATTATCTTGGCCAGTCAAGTTACTGACGATTGATGTTCTTCCAAAGTAATCCCGCGTGCGTGTGATATTGCGCACAACAAGAGACTCGATTAGCATGCGTTGCGGCATGCGACGGAGGCAATCTACCAACCTCGTACCCAGGGTCTTTGGCAATCTACATGGTCACCACTACGAGCAATGTTAATTTGTAAACTGATGAAATTGATTAGTGATAGCTATATTGTTTGTTTAATTTTGTCATAAAGCCTTAAGGGCAGTAATCTATGGTAAAAAGCTTTTTTATTTTAAGACCACCTACGAACCTGACCGAACGTGTTGCAAAACAAAACAGATAGTTAAATATTTGACAAAGAGAAGCGTGCGGGCACACTGCACAAGGCGATTTGAAAACGTTTGCCCATGCTCATAACCGAAATGTGTGTTTTTTTTGGAATTTGATCTATCCAACCTGTCTGATCTTTCTGTTGAAAAGCGCCTCAAGATATGTTAAACTTAGCTAGGTAATTAGGCCTGTCAGTGGTAAAAGGTTTTACCTCCAGAGTTTCAGTAAGGATAATCTTTCACGAAAACTAAAATAACTTTATTTATGCTAGATAGTTCTATTAAATCCAAATTGTTCTTCCTGGAGGTCCAGTAAGGTTAATCTTTCACTGATTTAGTGTTACCACAGGAGGAAACCTAAATTAAGCTATCTTTATTTATGCTGGATGGATCTATCATTATTCTCACTATCAATGAAGCAGCCCATATATGAAAGGTATTTTTCATTCAAATTTTCAACTATGGTCCTTGAATTGCCTACAGTATGATTGTCTACAAAGGGATTATAAATAAGTATACTTCACTAGTATAAAGTATGCCTGAAATAACCTATGACGTGCAAACTGCGGAAAGTATGCTAATTAGAGAATCAATTTCTGCATGTAGTCGTATCAATTTCGGAAACTCCCGATTTCCCGTCCAAATCTAATTATTCCCCACTTCTGTGCTCAAATAAAAAATACCTAATTAGCTTTTACCAAGGCAAAATTACTGCAGTGTCGTAAACGTTCTCGGACGCATTGTTGTAAGAAAAAGCTCTTGTATTCGAATTCTTCGAAATACTTAAATTGTCCGAAGAGATATTTGAAGACATTGCTGCTAGACACCTATTTAAACGAGCACTTTAGAACAGATAGAGCTATTCGGTGCAATTAAAGCTAGTTTATAGATCTCGTATTTCAGTACATCTCAGCTCTGCTTATACGCTTAATAAATGAGGCGTCACGGCAATCTCTACTTGAAGGCCGATCGTTAAGTGAAGTGTATATTTTGTTTAGCCAAATATGGCATACGAGTGTAGAAAGTTACCCACGTTTGACCTACATACACACTGTGTATGGTTTGGTGCGTTTGGTGCATAGAAATCTTATAAATAAAATCTGCTTTGAATCAGTTTGTATCTCAGCAGCCAATACATTGTCGACTATTTCGGTAAATTGCTTGCCCTGAATAAAAACTTGTGGTCACGCAATACCTTGGTAAATTTATTTTAATATGAACATTCCTACAGCCTTGTATGTTTGTTCTGTACAGCAATAATGACCGGATTGAGAGCACTTGCTAAGAGTTTGCATAAAATCTGTCGTATTGCAAGAATCCCTGATGAAGCGTTCTCATGTGGGCGAGAGATAATAATACCAGGATATGCAGAAATTCTAAATTAAACAGCGTTGTGGTGTGCTTGACAAAACTAACTCAAATCTCAAAATCTATTCGATTAGCCTTCGATTGGTCGAAATATCTACTTGGGTAAAGTTCTAAGTTCCATATAACTCTTTAAAATATTTACTTTTGTCTATACTCTAGAGAATATAATTGATCGCAAAATATGCAAATTAGGCGCACAGTATGCAAATAAGATATGAAATTGACTTGTCCCAACTCCTACCTTTCGATCTTCGACGGTTTTGACGCGTTCAGCTGCCATTACCACCCTTCGTCTTCGGTACGAAGCAATGCTGACGATGTTTCGTATTTGCGCGCACGCTCGCGCACTATATGCAAATGTAGAATAATGTCCAAATCGCTTTTCCAGGTTTGTCTCCGGCTTGCGTCGCCCTTCCTTGTGAGACGCAGCTCCTGCCGCGCCGATAATATATATGCGCCACTTGCCCGCCGTAGCGTGGGAAAATTCCGCGAGAGTTTTGAACTCATTTTTACCGCTCCACGCGGCCATCCAGATAAACGGAATCCGACCGTGGGACCGGCGTGCGCTGATTGGCTGACGCGCGTCACACTCCCAGGGTGTTGTTGAACTGTGTTGGCAGGAGCGTGAGACCAGAGGCAGCTGATTGGCTGAGCCGGAGACATGAGTAGTGCGTGACGTGTTAAGTGTATTATAAACGATTATCACAATAAAAACGTTCGCGTGGCATAAGCGTGCCTGCTTGACAGTTGATATGACGAACACGGGTATCGTCTGCAATGATCTGGAGCGATGCTCTTAAGGATCGCGGAGTCTTGGCCATCGATTTATGCTTTCGTTTTCGTGTTTCCCTCGAGCTCTTCCCAACCGATTCTAGCCTTGATTCAATCATATTATCTTTGAGTAATTACTGTACCTGTGGTTGTACAACACTAGTGTTGTAAAACGTATTCATACATGTGTTTTCTTGTTGATGTCATGGTTAACTGGCATTGCTAAGGCAATAACAGTCAAACAAATGATAGTCATAATCCCAATACAATGGTCAACTAAGATAGTTTTCAACAGAGTATATTGGCTGCTTGAACTACTAAAGTGGCATATGCCTCACGGTTTATTCCAACTCTTATCATGTTGACATGTTATCGAGATACTGAGTCACTGACTGAGGGGAGAAATGAGTTTTGTTGGCAACTGTTTCAACTTGCAAATCTTGCTGTGATTTTAGATGTAATTCTCTCGTTTGATAGAAACCTGCACCCTATACTACTGGCAAGGAAAATTGCTGAGGCTAGGCAGTGAAAACTGGCGCGCATCGTGGGTGCATTACAACAACTAAATAGGCAGATTTGATTCGATTTAGGTAAATAAATAGCGGTCTTAGGTTGGCTGTTTGTTTCATTTTACGTTCCTCTCTAGAGTCCACCAAGTATGAATCCGTATCTTCCTCCAGACGGATCTCAACAGCCTCTCTTACACACGGCTATTTTGGGAAACATGTTGTTGTGTTGCATTAACTTAAATTGATGTTGCATTAATATGGCTCGTGTTATTGTTGGGGACTCTCTCGTTAAATTTGTTTTAATGAATTGCTGACTTCGCGGTAACGATTAAAAAGGTATTGGTGGCGCGCGAACGGAAACAGGAATAATATATTTAGAAACATCTCAGAACATGCCTATGGTTTATACTGGATAGTTTTATCTGTTCTAGACTGTTCTTCCTAGAGGTCCAGTAAGGATCATCTCTTATTGATCCAGTGTTGCTACAGGAGAAAACCTAAACTAAACTAACTTTATTTATACTGGATAGCTCCTATCTGATCAGTTCTAAAGTGTTCTTTCTAAAGGTCCAGTGATAATCAATACTGAATCATCTCTTATCGATCCAGTGTTGCTACAAGAGGAAACTAAAGCTTTTTTGTACACCTAATATAGGCTTAGTCTTCCTTCCAGACAATCTTATAGCTCCTTCCAGACAATCTTATAGCTCCACCCCATGAGATCGTCTGAGAGAGACAAAGACCCTCCTCGGATGTAGATAGAATATCACTTATATCAGTCAGTCAGCTATTCAGTCCCATTGTTCATATCTTTATTCATTACAATTTACAATGAGTACCCATGATAAACTATTTTACGTTTTCTAAAAAGAAACCCAGCAGCGGCGTAGCCAGCTTCGACAATTGGGAGGGGGGGGCAAATATTCGGCATATATTCATGTTAACAGATTGTAAAGACAATCGATTTGAACACAAATTATTCCAGCATAACATGAATATATGAATATAAAAAGCCCCCCCTTTCAATTATCGTGCTGGCTACGTTGAAACCCAGAGAAGGCCAGAATAATTATATTAGCTCAACGGAGCGTATACAGTACACTGGATAGCTCTACCAGTACTATACCACTAGTCACTACATCTCATTCTCTGGTCCATTATTGGAACTTGTCGAGGTTAACTTGAACTCTAACTCCACTTCATGTATATTTTTTTCAGTTTGAATTACTCTAATTATAAATGAATCGAAGTACTTGGAAAGCTTTTTTTTGGCCGAAAAACACTTTGCTAATAAAGTGATAGAAGCTTTCATTAAAAATAGAGTTGTGTCACTTGTATGTCCGATGAAAAAATAAGCTTCTAATAGGTTGTCGATTCCCTCAATCTACTCAGCCTGCTTATGTCATGCTCTGACGATGAAAGATAATTTTGCTGGACTATTCATAGCAAATACAGACGCTGGCAATTTTTTTTCTCACGCCATTGGCCAAGTGCATTTCACAAGTCTAAGTATATCTTCTTAATCTCTTATAATCTGCTGGAAGTAAACAACATTGTATTTTCTAACCTGGTTCGTATATTTCATCCATGTTTTCATGCGTGCTTTCGTTCAAATTCATGCATTAGGCCTTGATAGGAAATCTTACCCAGTGAACTAACTTTATTTCTACTGGATAGCTCTATCTGTTCTAAACTGTTCTTCCTAGAGCCCTTATTGATCCAGTGTTACTACAGGAGGAAGCCTACACTAAACTAACATTATTTATACTTGATAGGCTCTATCAGTTTTAAACTGTTCTTTCCAGAGGTCTGGTAAGGATCATCTCTTATTGATCCAGTGTTACTATAGGAGGAAACCTGAACTAAACTAACTTTATTCATAGCTCTATCAGTTCTAAACTGTTCTTCTTTGAGGTGGCTTGCAAATAAGAATAATCTCCCACTGATTCAGTAATACCACACGAGGAATCCTAAACTAATTTTATTGTGCACTTAATGTCTTTATTTCATTTCTAAACCTCCTCTAGTCTTCCTTCCAGACAATCTTATAGCTCCACCCTATGAGAGCGTCTGAGAGAAACAAAGACCCTCCTCAGATCTAGATAAAGTAGCAGTGACGACAGTGACCCATTTGGGTAGCCTCGTCATTATCTTCTTCCACAGCAATGAAACCCATAACATAGTATCATATATGTATCCTGAATTGAAACGCCGAAAAACATCATTTATTAAGCCAGTTTTCCACTAGCGATATTTTTCGCGCGAATCGACAGTTAACTTTTGTTTCAGAGCTCTCAACTGCAACCATCTGGAACAAATTGCTCAAATACAAAGGGATAAAGTCGCTGCGCGCGAAAAATATCGCCAGTGGAAAACAGGCTTTAGATAGAATCAACGTCCTCATGCAGACACGTAAGTTCTCATCGATGAAATAACTCGAAGCTTCCAGCACAACATTGTGAGTTGTGACCCAGCTGGCATCTGATTATGATTCTTAGTGGTTACCAAAAATACCCTAAGCAGATGTGATGAGTTTCTACTCCTGAATTTCGTTGTATTAATAGCCTGCAATCGCGGGTGTGCCTGGTCTAGGTGCTTTGACACCAGCACTGAACATGTGAGAAAAATGCACTCTCCCATGATCGGACTTGCGCTAATCGTGGGAAAATTTTTGTCGTGCTCCGCGTCGATTCAGCGCTGATCATTTTTATCTCGACACGTGTCCAGCAGCAATAATAAACAATGCCGGAGTGAATTTCAAGAGATAAGAACAATATGACCGTGAGACTGGCCGACTGTGATTGGTTAAGGCGCGCGACGCACTCAAGGTGTTAGGGATTTTCGCTGACAATAGCGTGAGACCGGTCGCAGCTGATTGGTCGAGCGTGACCCGCGTGACCTTCGCGCCATGCGTGATCTGACGAGTGCATTACAAACGATTAACACAATACCCATGACGCGTGTCAAAGCGTGCCAGATTGCGGATAGGCGCGGTGAATCGAGATTTTGGTTGTTTTTTCAAACAACGTGCATTTGCCCTGCGTCGATGTGTTTGCGACTCTATTGTGAACTGCGCAAATGATTAGCATTCTTTGCGCCACCGCAAATATTTCGCTCACGTCAGCACCATGTTGACAATATGACATGTGATTTGACATGATCGCAGTAAACTTTATTTAACCACCGCTGTGTTTCGCGTTATCGCGCTCGCAATTGAAGTTCATTTTTTTGGCACCACCTCAAAGATGACGATGATGGAACTAAACATTCTTTCACCGCGCTAACATTGTCGGCCATTATGGCTGATTGGATGATAATTTGCAATAACAAATTGTTGCAGGACAAAAGAAGAATGAGGGGTGTGGTGTGTGAAGGGGGAGGACACGGTGGGTGTGTGGGGGGGAGGACACGGTTGGCGAATGGGGGCGACTCGCGAATGGAGCCCTACTAGTGCTTTTTTTAAAATGAAATTGTTGTGTATAAACATGTATGTTTTTGTTCTTATATAACAAGGCGCTTAATGTACACTATCTCGGGAAATAGTAAGTTTTGTTTTCCTCGACTTCGTCTCGGGAAACATTCACAGACTCTTGGGAAAACAAAACTTACTATTTCCCTCGAGAGCATACATTAAGTGTATATTATTTCCACTTGTTCCTGACGAGGATATTTTGGAATGTAGTGCTTGGTTTACTCAGTCAAAGCGGACAGCACAAAAACATTGGTCCATCTAATCTATCTATAGTATTTCTATACTACTCTCTTGTATCTAATCTTTTCTGCTACCCCTTGTGTGGCTCTGGCCTATGCGAGTGGCGAGACTCTCTCGTTTCCCAAGTAAGCAGATGTTCATGTAATAGGTGCGGGGCATAAAAATTATAAATGAAACCTAAGTGGGCATTGATAGTGAAAAAAATTGAAAAAATCAAGCTTTTTAAGACAAAATTTGAAATTGACCAATTTCAAATCGGTTGTCCTGCAAATATGGTTTGATGGCTCTTTCAAAGAGCGAAACGATAACTGCCTTTTCTTTTTAAAGCCGAGAACGTACTCTTTATTACAAGTCAAATGAACTTAACTGAATCAACTGATAAATCTGCTCACTTTTAGTTTGCATTGATCATCTCAAAATCCTAGGTTACTGTAGAAACCCTTCAGGCGACTATCACTCGCATCTGATAGTCAGTTAATCATAATGTGCTTAGGGTTTTTTTAATATTATATAGATTTGCGCGGCATCAATGTGTGAATGTGCGAATCGCAATCAACTGATAGAACTTAAAGAGTGTGAATTGAAACCATTTTTTTTGTTATTTTCTTTAGAAAACAGCAACGTCGGCACAACTAGATCAACGTGAACATATCGGTCGTTCCTGAAATGACAAATCTTCATTGAAGCGAAGGTAATTCGCAGTTTTAAAACACATTATCAAGAACATCATTTGCGCAGATCATTTTGATTTTTCAACACTACTGAAGTTCATACAATGCCTGAAAGACAAGAGAAAAATCTCGGCTTTGCAGCCGGCAAAATTCACTACAACAAATAAAAATATCCACAGTGATTAAACCTCCCAGACTGCCCACGTTTTTAGTTTCCAAAATACTGGTCTCTATACGAAACTGAACGAGAGTCTGGCTGCAGATCAAACCTCAGTTAATCCTGAAATTTTTCAAATGCTCCGTCAATGTTTATTTGACTTGCGATGTGAAACTTCTCACGTTTTTCCCAAGGGTAACTCGCATTGTTTTTGTACAATCGAAAGTGATTACTGTTTTAACTATTTTCGATCGTAGCGGTCGAACAAACCCGTAATCCACAGAAAGAAGGTCGTGCGATAATTAGGGGGCTTTGCCTGTTAATACTGTTGCTGAAAAGATTTCCGTTAAAGCGTTTTTTTTTTATTTGAAATGGTCGTGCATAAGAGAAGTTCATGCTATAGGGATAAATATGGCGTGCGTGCCGGCTAAAGTTGACTGAGAAAATTAAGGCTGGTTCTTTTTTACACCGATTTGTTGGGACACCAGTGTTATCCTGGCGTATGTGATCGAATGAATACGCGTACAAAACCTCAGAATTTCAAATTTCGCTATCAGCGGATGAACAAAACCGTTGCATCCGCACTCGTTTCCATTTGTCAAAATGATAATCGATATTTTCCACACTCCATACAGTTTGACTCTGAAAAACAGGTTAGAATTGCACGGCCGCGTATATTTGGGCAGATTCGATTCCACTCCCCAGCCTCGTTTCCGCCGCGTGAAGCACTCGCGGGAAGGTCACGCGTGAGTCAATGCCGCGCAAACTCCACGCACGCACTCCATGTAGCCTGGGACCGTGCGACTTCCAACAGACGAAAAATTCCTTTTTTGGTTTCAATATTTGATCAAAACGACATTATCTACGATCAGTTTATCAGCTGAGTCTGTTGTCGTGGATTTGAATCTCTACCAGATTTAGGCATGCAGGTCTTCCATATTCATACCAAGTTTGCGAGTGTTTCGTCACATTCGGTTGCATTATCATTTGGAAATCTACAAAAAGTCGATTCGTTCGCAAACGAATTCAGTTTGAAATTATTATCGAGGCGAGAAAATGATGTTAAATATTTGCTTGAGTGTATTTCAATGCTTATGACAGAGGCTGTCAGCCCGTCAGACATCTGATGACTTCCTTCCTCTCAGTCGCGAACAAATTCATTCCTAAATATGATTATATTCACCAGGACTGATCAGGGCGGCATATGCACTTTAAATATTTCATTGCATGTCAGTTCAATGCTTATAGAAAACAACGTAGACATGTTTTCGTTCTTCAAAGCTGAATCATATCAACTGTTCTGTTATATAAAGTGAAATATTTCTCTATCAGGCTATATTATGGCTCACTTGTATTGAAACTTATAAAAGCGAAAAAACGATGATAAATGCTCCCATTACATATTTTTGCCACCATTTTTAGTACTGCTATATCCAGTTAGTGAAATCTTCGTCTATCATCCTATATAGTAGAAGTTTTCACATAAGCCTGGTTACCCCACATTCAACAAAGCGTGAGATACTTTTGAGGTATTGAAATAAGTCTTCATGAGTCATGACACCCAAAAAGTACACGGCTATCGTTGAGATGCAGACTACAACACCACTGCCAGGATCATTTTATATACTCATTTCAATACCTTAGAGTCATCTCAAGCATCGTTGAATCTCAACTAAGCGGGATTGTGTCCAATCAATCTCAGTTTAGTCTCGACTCTGAATGTATTTTAGCTGGCTCGGTGATAAATGCATGTTTTCGACTTTGCACCGATCTCAGTATTTACCATCAAACGCAAGATCAATGTATAAAGGAAACAGCTTATATTCCTCTGACAGTATATTTTTCCTTTTTAAGCCATGTGTAAGTGTCACCTGCATGGTGCATCCGACCCATATCATACCCTGTATCATAGCCAACTTGAGAAGTATTGACAGTTATGAGAAGGAAGAAATGATGAATGATAAAATCCCTCAGTTGCATGTATTCATTGATTTCATTCCCGCGCTCAAGATCAATGCATATAGTGAACAATATGGCCATTCCAACCTTCTTAAAAAACAATATCAACCGTACATTTTGTGAACTTTTTCACTATCGCCCTGTATTATGGCCAAGTTGAACGTATTTTGACAGTTATGAGAGCGAACAGATGTTGAGAAATCGGTTTTCATTGCATCTATTTATCATCAAGGATAAAGTTGATGCATATAGAAAACAACTTGATCACTCTGAAAACTGTCTTTCTTTTTAAATTTAACACAATCAGTTGTACAAAACCCGGTATCCCTTTGACCTATGTGATTTACTGAGTTTACTGCCAAGGGGAATGCTATTGGCCGGTGTTTTTGACCGGAACGCCTAGCTCCCGTATTAAGCGAAATCACATACGTCAGGAGAAGAATCACTTCGGTGCACTCGCTAGCTAGGAGCCTGTAATACTGCGGGGGAAGCTGATGCACTATCAGGTACCTTTGATTGATTTTTTTCGATAAGTGTGTGAACATGAGTGCCCACGTAGAAATCAATCTATTGGCTTCGTCGTCAACTTTCCGACCATCGGGGCTTCGATCATTCTCTGCGAGAGATTAAGACTGAATTCACCACGTCAACTCCAGATATGGTCAAATCTTATCGCGCCATCATTGATTCGTGCATTTATGGCCTGAAAAATATACGACCGCGACTGGCCGTTAATTTCAAACGATTTAAAAATACAATCTCGGAGATAGTCATCAAATTTATGCCAGTTCTACTACGACGTACGCATGCCCTTTGGCGTTATTCCGATCGAATATTGCCCGTGTCCGCGATCTGCCAAAACGCCGCAAACGTTTTGTGGTTTGGCGTGAAATTTTAAAAATTTCTCTAGCTATGCGGTGCGAGCTTCTCGCGTGTGTTATTTTTTCCGGGCAAGTTGAAGAATTCGTGTTTTGGTCGATGTTTTCCTAACTTTTTTTCCGCATTGTTATTTCATAAAAAGCCCCTGCCAAATAAGGTATGCATGAATTAGTATTGTAAATGGAATAATGATACAAACATATATAGCATGTCTTGACTCCTGATAGGAAATTGGATACGACACTGTTTACCCTCGCTAAAGACTGAAAAATTTGAAATTTACAGCATTCGCTTGTACACGAAGGTGGTTTCCGTTCGACGAAAATGAGCGACAGACGCAGCAGACGATGTTAAAGTGCCACTGAAGTACATGGGAACGAGCGAAGCGTGTACATTGAAACTTTAAACTGTTCTAATTGAGGATTATCTACGCTAATTCGCGAATGGCTTCTGCAAGGAATATCAGAGGACGAAAGGGATCGAGCTCGACTCAGAAACCCGAAGTTGGTAGGACAACATCGCTCACGGATACCTCGTTGTTTGGTCTGCTCAGCGTTATAAATCTAGACGACATTTGTCAGAAAACGTTTCCTATCGACGTTGTTTTACCGGATGGAGCGAAACGGGAGGTTGGTGTGATGTTTTTGAACCTTTGTAAACAAACAGTAATGCTTCGTATTTTGCTACAAATTCGCTACTTTCCTCTAAGGTCAGCTATGAAACCCCTTTCAGGCTCCACTGCCTTTATTATCTTTTAAATGCCATTAAGTGACACGGCTTCGCTCGATGCTTAATTGTACTTATGGCATATTTGTTACAGCTTATCGGCCGAAACTATGCGTGCATTATTCGGGAGAATTTGTCGCAATTTTCAGCGAACGTTACAAAAACACGAGGAGGAACCTTAATCTGGCCTTAATTTTCTGGGAGTTTGGTTCGGCCCTCGCTCTGCTTTTAATGAAATCGCTATTCTTCAAGGCAAATTGTTCTAAAAGATTCCTACTAATTGCTTTTGTCTCCGACCTGATTTAATAAAACTCACGCAGTTTTCTAAAGGAAATTGCAAACTGTTTCACAGGGATTCGGATTTACAACATTCGTCGTAAAGCGCTTCGTTACTTTTAACAAAAGCCACGTTTGCGACATGTCTGATTGAATCGTCCCTAATTATGTTAAATGTTGCAATTACCCTGCCATTCTTGCAAAACCTGATGTACACCTTTCCTTTCCACGTCAAATAATCGCTCGAAAATCAGGCCTACTCCATATCAGATGTCTGTATATTTTTCTCATAAACTCACATCATAAACATGTATAAATTTTATGAATTATTTAAACATTTGGACCTTTTTCTTCTCATTTTTCTGCATTTCTCGCTCCTTTGGCATTGAATCATTAATACGAACGTAATGAATGCGCATTTATATCGAGAAATCTCTAGATCTCTGTTTCAAAAAAACGCTATCGAAGTTTGTTTTGAAATGTAATTCATACGAGCAATGAGAACGGCCACTGCTATGTATGTATGCCAATCGTTTAGGGCAGAAATGAAATTGAAAAAGATGTAACATTAGGCTTTTCCCGCTTTCGAAAGTTTGCGATATTAAATGATTTGAATATGAAAGGAGATTAAAATAAGTTTCCGACAGATCTCACGCGGAGAAGCATTTGCTATATTGTCATGACGCTGGTAACAGCTTGCTTTTTTTAAGCTTGGATTGAACTCAAATTGAATGCAAAAGTTATTATATAAATGGTTTTGTTCCGCGGAATTACTTATAGAATTACGGACCAAACTGAATTCGCTGACCACCATGAAAACACTGATCAAATCTTTCGTATCTCTCGGAATATACTCAACTCCTTTCTCCGTGATCCGATTTATCTGATCAGATTCTACTCCTGGAGTATGGGATCGTTTACGTAGTGCACAGGCTGCAAGACCTTGCTGCTCATCAGCCAATGGCCTTACTTTTCTCAGAAAATCCGGTAAATCACCTGCGTGTAAAAGCGAATCCGGCACTAACACGGAATACGAGCACGAAACATTGAAATACAGGTTGCACATTTTCCCGCAGAATCGAGCCTCAAGATTAACGTATGACGTGCGTCGTGCACTTAAACTGGAATGTCCAAAAATTCCTCTTCCGGTCAGTGGCGAGTGATTGTTGACTTCATAACCTAATTCACAAATAGGCAAAAATATCTGATTTTCATAGACACTTTCCTATCATACCACGAGAGTTGTTATGAAAACTTTAGGCTGGGAGAGACATTTTTAAAGGTCTTTGCTTCACTTATGAAGAACATTTTGTCCTTCTTCGCCCCATTTATTCTTATAATATGCACTTCATTCCATCCATTAGCCAAAACTTGGCATTCGATGGTCACAAATCCCCCTTAAAAACATCCCTATATAGTCATAACCGCAGTGTTTCCATTCGTCATCTCGTATCTTTGTCAATTCCAAGTTCCAACCGAAGTTTTAAGGGTAAATTTCTGGAAAAACCAAAGTGTTTATGTTTGAAGTTTGAACGACTATCACGTCATATGCCACCATATGGCAGTCCGTTTCGCTTCGAAATAATGTTTTCCAAATGTGCGTGGATCAGAGGTCAAGGTGATTACTGGATGGTGCTAAATATTTTCGGTTATTAGAACGGTCGTTTTCATAAGCTTTGCACTTATCTCCGTTCCCTGTTGAACTGATAATGCAGTTAACTTTTTAAGCTACTAAAGATTGTGTGTGAGGCGATTATTGCTTATTCAAATAGTTCTTCTCTTCAAAATCTAACCCAGCCAGTTGCAGCCTAGCCCTAATTTTGTGGAATCCGTTAATCGCTATCCTGAAAAACTGATTTTGATCTTTTTATGTCATGGAAGAGAGAGATCCCAGTTAGAGCACTCGAGGGCATAACCAACATATTTTTCACGCTTGCTGTTTTCTCGCAAGATTGCAGGTCTTAGCCGACAGATCGGAATGAACGTCTCAGACACGATGCGCGCGGTCCATATACTGCGATTTTCAGTCGCACGTTTCAGTGCCATTAAATAATTAATGCATTAAATAATTACGACTAAAAGGGCATCGCAGGGCAAAGACTTGACGTTTGAATTTCGCGAATGATTTGTGGTTATATCGTTATAATACGCAGTTTACGCACGAAACAAACACGATAGACTGACGTCGTTCTACAATGATGTAAACTGTATTGGATGTCGCCTAACGCTCGGTTTTAGCATGTCTTTACTCACGTAATCACATAAAGGTGGAAATTGATGAGATAACAACTCATGAGAGCTCCGTCAACTGCTTTGCATAACTCCATGAAGTAGAGTTGCCTTAAACATCCCGAGTTGGTATACAAGAAATTTCAACTTAGGGTTCTAATAGGGGTTTCTTCAACCCTTCTCCTTGTTTGAAATTCAGAGTTTATTGAAACACAGACGGGTGCAGAAAACATAGCAGACGTTGAACCAGATGATGAAGTTTAATTAGAGTTCGGTGGCATGTGGGAACCTGCATGCATGAGCGAAATGTCATCTGAAAATGCCCCGCGGTCAAACGATAATCATTAGAATTCCACGAAAGTTTGCTAATGATTTGGCTCGCATACTAACATAACGAGAATGATTTCCCATTAAAATTTGAACCGCGACTCAAATCTCGGACGAGATTTGGAATTATACACCGCGCCAAAGTTGGCCGAATCGCATCAACTCGTATCAATTAGTTCTGCGATTTATTCAATCAAATTTTTTGGTTTGATGAAAAACATATTTGAATAATTCTTGTTTTGTTTTTTACTGTTACGTTGATTAAGTTTTTCTCTTCTAAGAGATTTTGATCATTCGCGATTTAAAATTTTCTTTTTGTGAAGGAAAAAAAGAGATTCTTTTAAGACCTTTACCACTAAAAGCATTTTGATTTTACTGAAATTGTATGAAATAATTTCGATGTTAAGGTCTGTTCACACGATCCGATTTGGTCCGATCCAATTCACTTCTGATGTATGGAATCTAGTCTGTTATCGATACAGCAGCACAGCATTGGTTTTACTCGATTTTCTGCCCAAGTCAACACACTATAAAACATCCATCAGCTTGCCAAGCCAATTGCAATTCAACGCACTATAAAACATCCATCAGGAGGGAATTGGAACCGACAAAATTGATCGTGTAAACAGAGCTAAGGGAAACTTTTTAGCTAATTACACATTGTTACATAATATGGAAATGCTTAGCCTTAAAATTATCCTGGGTAACCATGCATGCTATTATTATAAAGATCTTTTAACTCTGGGTAGTCAGAACACCTGTGAATAGCAATTTGCAATAGAACATGCAGGCTTGCGACAAACAACGAATGCTTGTTTTTTTCTCGTTGCTATTCTGTTGCTAAGGATTTCGTTGGAGGCTGCATTGTGAATGAACTGCCCCCAGAAGCCACGCTGGGCTCGGAGAGATAGCTTTGACTAGAAGTCACAAAAGAATTACGCCCCATACAGATATTGTCTGCATGTCCTATGAAATTCGTGAGTGCGATAACATCGCATCAAAAAAAACATCTCCGAGGGAGGATTTCGTCAATGCCTTCCCTTGATAAAATGATCAAATTAAGATATAGACTTAACAGCGCAGATATTGGTGTTTATGAAGTTTCAAGATGAAAATCTAATCACTGGTTCACAATTGTGCATTTCTGTATCGCTGTCAAAGAGAAAACTATTGCAATCTTTTGCCAGCTCATCATACACATCTGACAGCTGTGAAATGGCCATTTTGAGGCTTAAAGTATACACAAGGTTATTATTTCAGATGATTCTGCCGGTGCAATACATATTTTCTCACCAAGTTAGAAGCCGAAGAAGTCTTGCCAATTTCCGCGATGTCTATTGATCATGTAATTATTGTAATACCAACATGCACTAAGAAAGATGGCTCCTAAGTTTTGACCTAAAATACTCGCCAGTTCTGTCTGTTTTTTGTCAGTTCAGGAATTTTATCAGTGCGGTTAAAATAGGTTACCAAAGCCTGCGAGGAGACACTTTGTAAGTGTGTGTGGGAGGACACAACGCTGACGCCATTAACGGGTTTGTTGCCCGTTTTGGGAAAAGATAAATAGATGATTAGTTTGATAAAGCTACTATGAATGTCATGGAGCATTTGATTGATTGAAATAAGCATTTCTATATTCGACAAATTTGAAGCAACTCGTTGAAGTATTGAGCAAAAATGAAGTGAAGTTAGTTTAATTTTAATTTCCTCCCGTAATAACACTGGTTTGATAAGAGATGATCCTTACTGGACCTCTAGGGAGAGCCGTTTAGAACTGATAGAGCTATCCAGTATAAATAAACTTAGTTTAGTTTGGGTTTTCTCCTGTAGTAACACTGGATCAATAAGAGATGATCCTTACTGGACCTCTAGTAAGAACAGTTTAGAACTGATAGAGCTATCCAGTATGAATAAAGTTAGTTTAGTTTGGGTTTCCTCCTGTAGTAACACTAGATCAATAAGAGATGATCCTTACTCGACTCGTAAAGATAACTGTTCAAAATTGATAATTGATCAAACCATCCATTGTAAACACATCAGCCCAATATTAGATTACTAATAAACAAATCATTAAAAATTCCAGTTAAAAGTGAACAGATTTTCTCACGTGAAAGATGTCATCCACGATATCTGCAAGGAATACAAACTTGATCATCCCAGAGTGAGATTCAGCTCGACGAATTCTCCTGTGGCTCTCGACGCCAACGCAGCATTGCTAGAAAACCACGAGATCATAGTCGACGAAGCACGTAAAGAATCCAAAGACGTAAAGCCAGGTGAGTCAATATTTGGACACGGACCTTCCTGTGACATACATTTCGTCTCGTTGATCTTTGGAATTTACATAATATTTGCACAGTGTTTAATCCGCTCGTTAACCACGACAGCTTGCTGGCAATGACAGGTGGCATTTTCTAGCTATACTGCATGGCTGTGAAACAAATCAAATCAAATCTGCTTTATTTTATCAGGGTAGTCACGTCAGTTCAAAGAGGAACTGATATCAATGTGCAAGCCCTGAGAAACAACATAACTGTGGTCCAGTAATTAAACTGCAGTAAATCTGGGATGATAATTTCTCAGATAAACATGCTCGTATTTTCCCCAAGCCCAAATAGTTTCTTGAAGTTTTAAACTAAAATATTTGACCCTAGACCTCAGGTTGTACTGTATACATATTAGGCTATGTGCACACGAGCATCGTTTTCGACGGTTTTCAAAATCTATCTTACTGTTTAGACGCCCTGTCCACACGATCCAAGGGGAAAATATCCCTAATATGTTAAATTAGCTACAACTTCTATTGTAAATTGACGGTGTTTGAAACCGTTTTGGTATGAAAACGAATGTGAAAACGTTCGAAAACGTTACCGTGTGCACATATGTAGCCTTACGTTCAAGCTAATGAAAATTGCTTTTTGCTGTGGAAATTTCGAAACCGTAGCGAAAACAGAAAACGCTTTTATAATACAAAGATAACTGTGAATTGAAAGTGCAAATTATAGGCAGGATTCCTCTTTAATTTATTCTATTTTTTCAGAGGATCCACGTCTTACCCATTTGAAAAATATCATCAACGGCGAGGAGAAATACCTGGAGTCTTTAAGGGTCACTGTTGAGGTGTATGGGGAAGTGTTGAGGTAACGAGACAGGACACTTCAAAACGATTATTCACAGTTTTCTTTAGAAATCATTTGAGGAAAAAATGATTTACTGAAACGTTCAGTTTTACATCAAAATTTTTTATACTTAGATCTTGGTTGCATATCATAGTTAGTCTGTTATCGCTTTATAGTGCAATAGTTCGTGCAAATGTTGTTGACAAGTGTGAACAATAATGACAGCACAACATTGCTCCATGCTGATAATCCATCGTTGTTTATCAACTTCTTTCATTTCACTTCATGTAGGAAGAGTTCTCTGAATCATCTGGATCATGAGATTATCTTTGGAAGATTAAAACCAATACAAGAGGCCACGACAGCAATGTTGATCAAAGTAAGACAAGACATTACAACATGCATCACGAGGATGATCTCATCCCAAATCTATTCTCTTTAATTGCTCGGTACCTTTTGTGTAGCTGAAAGACGTTCGTGATGGATGGAGTTCGTCTTCATGCATTGGTAATGGAAAGCTTGTTGTATTCACAATGAAAAAACGAAAAGATTTGCCCGATTTTTGCTGCGATTTTCTTCTTTTGATAGATGTGAACGAGTGAATTAGTTACTGATGTTTGAATAAGAGTTCTTATACATCAGAGCATTCGTAACTAATTACTCGTTTACATCTATTAAAAGAAAAAAATCGCACATTAAATATTCTTTCACCTGTTTCCTGTTACACGATGCGAAAGCCAAGAATAGACTTTTCTCACGATGACGTCAACCGCGGAAAGTCTGATGTTACACGAACTTTGATTGGCTCTTTAATTTTGCGGGGCCAATCAAACTTCGTGTAACATCAGGTCTCCGCTTCTGACGTTATTTATGAGAAAGGTCTATTATAATGATTTGAAAGAAGAAACGAATCCTATATGAAAATGATCAATCAAATAATCTTATTTTTTTAGCCACGGCGTTTGGAGATTTGCCTGATCTTCTGTGGACATATGACAACTATTTTTCACGTCTCACTTCTTCAAAAAGGTTTGTGTGCATATACACAGTCCTTTAGCGCGAAGGTATTTGTTCACGGAGCTACCATTCTTTTCAATTTCGTTTATTTTGACACTAGGATATTGAGACAGAAATGTAAATATGACAGCGAGTTCCTAGCGATGGTGAACGAAATAAAGACCACAGCCAAAGATTCGCTTGGTCTCCTCGTATTGCTTCCGGTATGTCTGTTATACCAGCGCCGTTAAAGGATGCCTGGTAGAGAATTTAAAATCATTTGATTAAGTTTTGGTGGGACTTCCCTCGGTGCTGCACTGGCATCGCAAAAGCGTAGGTTCGATTCCTGCCGGAGTACTGATAGTTGACTCATTTTTATCAACTGTTCCTGGCCTGAATTTGAGTTGTGTACGATTTTTACTCGAAATTAAAATCCTTTGATCCTGTAAAATAGTTTATTTTAACCTACCACGAACAATTGATATGCCAGAAATTTTGAGATTCAATTAGATCCCAGAGCAAAATATGTTGAAAAGTTCTCCTACAGCGTGCGCTGAGACTTCGGTTTTGAAACATCTCTGGTGTCAGATCGACTGGCAGTGTACTGACTGCGTTGCAATAGCGCTACAATTCGGCCTGGTTCCCCCCAAAACCTGTAATTGCCGATTCCAAAGTGCTTTATTCCTGCAGACAAAGCATTTTATAAACTACTGAGCACAGACAATGGAAGTCAGATGGAGGTATGAACGATGACTTAGTGGTTTGATGATATCTTCTCCATTTATTTCTAGGCCCGACGCGTTTCTCAATACAACAATTGCCTGAACGAAGCTCTCGAGCGTACGCCGGACGATCACGAGGATCGCCGAAGACTGAAAGTTCTCATCGAGAAGATTCAGCAGACTATTTCCGACAGAAAAGAGGATATCGATGAAGTGGAAAACGAGGTAAGTGTTTTGCAAGTTATGTTCTTCCACTTGTGTTTGGGATTGTTCCCATGGGATTGCTAGCGATTTGGTGCATCAGGTTTTCTGAATAGGAATTCATTAGAATTGCGACCCGTTTAGAAATCATTGACAACACTTGGTCAGCAAGAGATGATCCTTACTGGACCTCTAGGAAGAACAGTTTAGAACTGATAGAGCTTACCAGTATAAATAAAGTTAGTTTAGTTTAGGTTTCCTTCTGTAGTAATACTGGATCAATAAGAGATTATCCTTACTGGACCTCTAGGAAGAACAGTTTAGAATTGATAGAGCTATCCAGTATAAATAAAGTTAGTTTAGTTTAGGTTTCCTCGTGTAGTAACACAGGATCAATAAGAGATGATCCTTACTGGACCTCTAGGAAGAACAGTTTAGAACTGATAGAGCTATCCAGTATAAATAAAGTTAGTTTAGTTTAGGTTTCCTCGTGTAGTAACACTGGATCAATAAGAGATGATCCTTAATTGTGGTGTTGAAAGTAAAACATTCGGCAGAAGAGACATCTTGTCTACCGCGAGCGAGTCTTTTTCTCCTAAGCGACGGAAGATCCCAAACTTGTCTCGACAAGGAGCTTTGTGTTAATAAAAATTTCAAATAAACTTGTCTTGTACGATGCATTCCACCTAAATCACATAATCATTATTTCGGCCAATCAAAAGGTCACTTTGTTTACTTATGTATTACAAACATAATAATTACGAACCGCGTGAGGCGCTTTAAATGATTTCGACAAGGCAATCTATTAAACACAACACTCTCCAGCAAGCCTAATCACCTCTAACAATGTATATTGTGTCTGTTGCAAAATCTCGCTCAATATATTGATCTTACGTGCAGATAACACTGCAGCCGTTTACGAAATCAGCTTTCTGCTCGAAAACACAGATGTTTCTATTGTAACGGTGAATTCCGAGGCGTTTACATCATCTTGTAATAAAGTTTTGCTGCTCGGCTGCCGTGGGACAAACAAGAATGCTGGCCTAATTATCGCTAATACAAATCTCAGTGGTTGGGTATTACCTTAAAGTGTATACATGTGTGTATACTGTCTACTGATAGGCGAGGTATACGATATATACATTACGACGTCTGTTCCATAGTGCACCTGAAGATACCGGGTGGCCCTGTCGTAGTCTTGCCTTACACATGCAAGGAGATCTTGGCTTTCATTCCGCGTGGTCTTTGTAAATAGAAGGAGTTTGTTGCTTTGAGCTGGAACGGTTTATTGTAGCCACACTGTTTCATCGGATACGGAGTGTACTGTGTTGAAGACAGCTCTTCTTTAGTTCAAGTTCAGTACATCCAAGTCTTTCTTTGTACTTTATGATCGGTAAGACTCGTATGAGGTATAGGGATACTTATCTCTGTTTCTGAAGTGGATTTTGTTTAAATATACTAATTTATCAGAGACGACGTCCAACCGTTCTGCGTAGAGTTCGTCTGAAATTTTACGCTTATTTCATTCCATCTGCATTCAAAGACAAGTTCCTTTCTATCAGCGACTCAATCACTGTGGACTTGTGGGTCCTGCACACCAAAGGTGCACCGTGTGCCTTCTGTCTTCAGGAATACCATTGCAACAGAGATTTTCGTTTATTTCGCAAAGCATCTTTGATTTCGAGACCTTCGTAAAGTATCTTTTGGATAAAATCTACCCGCACAGTTGTTATCTTTGTAAACAGAAGTCAAAAAGAAAACACCCAATTATATAAATCACAGGAACGTTTGTTTATAACAAAACTTTGCTCAGGTAATTTTTTACATCGTGAATTGAAAATAATGCAACTGTGATTAAGGAAAGAACTATATTATTGTGTCGTCTGGAGCAACTAACACCATTCATAGAATAGTTAATATCTTGGAAAAGGACAGTTTCAATATACTGTAAGAGGATTTAATTCAGAAATTTATCTTACCGAACGGGTTTTCCTGTATGCATGGATTAATGATAGATCTGCGTAATTCTGTATTAATGTGTGTTGTTGAATACTTGGAGTAAATCCCTGGCGCCAGAGTTTTCTTCATCAGCTGTCACTAACGGTTGTACGGATTCATCAAAGATTTTATCAGCAGATTACTTCCTGTTGATTCTATCCATATCTTTATCCATTTCGAGAAAAGATTTGAGTCACCTGGTTGGATTACATACCATCTATAATTTGTTTGCTTCTTCGGGATATGTTCTTGGAACACCAGAGCTGGTCTGTGTGAGGTATTCCTTTGCTGTGCTAGGAAGAGATTGATTACCAGTAAGGAAAACATCTTGAAGGACTCCTCGAAATACTGGTATAAGCTTTATATTAGTGCAATATTGACAATATTTTTCATCGTATTTACCTTTGCTTTCGTACTATCTTTCGTCTTGATCAGTATATAAAACTGACCGCAAAGAAGGCTTAGAAATATCAAGAAGATATTCGCACGTAATTTCTGGTCAAAGCCCGCATACTTAGAAATTTCCTGTTTCTCTTCAACAACAACTGATGCAGACACCAAGTATACTCATTCAAGAGCCCAAATACTTTCCATAGTTTTTTTTTCACGGCTCTGGTGTGCTCATCTTCGACAGCTAGAAACCACAGCCTCTTCCTTTGGACGTTATTTTACCCAGGAAATTTTCCTAAAGAGTGACAAACTTGGCTTTGCTTTTGTTACCAAGTGAAGACACGTTTACTCTATCGGTCGAGTAAACAGACCAACCTCTGCCTATATATTAAAGGAATTTTGTGGTCGCTGGAATTATATGTATTGACATCTCGTCAGCAAATATACATTATCATTTCCAAGTTCAGCTCTGGGAAGTGCACGATACACGAAGAATTCTCCGTAGCACCGATTCCAAAGCTCAGAAAGACGCCATTTTATCATGTCTGTTCCGTTGAGACGAGGTTCGTCCTCAAATGGTCTCCTCCCTTCGACCAACTCACCACGACGATGTCGTCGCCTCGTGGACATCTCGACCTTCGTGTCGCCTCGTTCGAGTCCAGTCTTGCGGCGAAGGTCAACTAGTCGCCTTAAAATCCTTCCTCAAAGATTTGGCGCTTCTAGCGAAGATCTGGTAAATTCTTACCGCTTGTTTTGTAGTTTAAATTCGAGCAATTTGTATTCGAGTTTAGAACTGATATAGTTATCCAGTTTTTATAAATAAAGTTAGTTTAGTTTAGGTTTTCTTCTGTTAGTTCTGTAGTAACCCTGGATCAATAAGAGATGATCCTTACTGGACCTCTAGGAAGAACAGTTTAGAACTGATAGAGCAATCTAGTATAAAGTTAGTTTAGTTTATGTTTCCTCCTGTAGCAACACTGGATCAATAAGAGATGATCTTTACTGAACGGTCTGAACCTCTAGGAAGAACAGTTTAGAACTGATAAAGCTATCCAGTATAAATAAAGTTAGTTTCGGGTTTCCTCTTGTAGTAACACTGTATGAATACGGTATACTCACTAAAGATTCTAACGAGATGTCCCTAACTATCAATATTTAGTCATAGATTATTATATATGCACCTGAGCTCAATGTTTGTACATTACTATTAATGTACAATACAGCTGTTTGCGATTTAACGCTATACCGCCTTATAACATTCACTAATAGTTTTATAATCTGTCGTTAATCGCGTGGCATTTAGTAGATAGCCTTTTGAGGTGACCTAATAAATCGTAATAACAAGACAGAATGGTTGATCTCCGTAAAAAACTTCTTCTGACACCGATACGAGCACCAAATTTGGCGCCGCTTCCCTTGTTTACGAGTTTTTTTATCGATAACGTGTATTGCTCTTTTGAGACTATGATTAAACGAGAGATTTGAGACTAATTGTGATTGGATTGTCGTGTCATTTATCGTGTGTTTGTCCTGTGAAGGAAATTACAATCGGGGAATGTGGCGACAAATTGGATTGTGCATCGTTTCAAAATGAACAATCCAGTGGGATGAAAGTTTGTTTAAGCTCCTCCTGCGAGAACGGTATTCATACCCGCTAAAATTTTCGTTCAATTGGATTTTTAGTTTAGACTTATCGAAATACAAGATAAATTTCCTCAGGATGACCTGGGCTTGGACGAAGAGAAAGGACTGTCTAGTCAGGTAATATTATACACGACAGAGTTCTCTTCTGCTGGCTATTTTTTATGCATAGAACTCTGTGGACTCTATCTTTGAAAGATTTATTGCCAAACTTTGTATTTCTTTAGCTCTGTTTACACGATCTAATTTTGTCGGATCCAATTCACTTCTGATGGATGTTTTATAGTGTGTTGACTTGCAATGTTTATGGGCAGCAAATCCACTAAAGTCATTGCAGTACTTCTTTATCAATAAAAAATATATTCCATGCGTCATGAGTGGATTGGATCCGACAGAACTGGATGGTGTGAACAAACCTTTAGACTTGTTTATGTTGTTGTAGAAATTACGAAATTTATTGAACGCAAGACGCAGATCTGCTCCGGCCACCGCCATTAAAGCTGCTTTTGGGAAGACAAGCAAGACGTAAGTTGACCTGTTTTAATAATTACGAACCAGTTGATCACGTGCATGTATTTTATCCAATCAGCGCACAGAAGGATTGTCGAAATAAATCGTTTATTCTGAAGTTATTTATTCGACTACTGTGTATTGTTATTCATTATGAAGCTAGTCTAAATTGTGGTTATGTTTAGTTATAAGAACTATATATAGCTCTGACATGAATTTGAAACCGAAATAAGGTATACTTCTAGAGATATTAAGTTGTTTCAACCGAGAAATGGATTTTTATTTGACAGCTAGTCCCAGTCCTTTCCCGCCGTTTCAGATAACCCATAAGTCGTTTTTAACCTTTTAATCCTCGGAAAATTCTTGGATGGCCAAATCACGTCTGATGTATCAACTTTACCCTCGTAGTTCGTCGTTAGTTTTTTTTTACAACTAGCATGTTCCTAATTATCCCTTTGTTATTATTTCTCCAGGAGCCTCCCTTCGATTGATATATCCCTCACGATCCATTCTGAACCTACTTCACCTGACTCGCCTCAACCTAGCAGTATTTTCATCCATGAAGGCATTGTGCAGTTAACAGCGGTATGTTGGTGGCTCCTAACACAAGAAGTCCTAAGACTTGATCAAACTTCATTCAGTCCTAAGACTTGATCAAAATTCATTCAGTTCTAAGACTTGATCAAACTTCATCCAGTCCTAAGACTTGATCAAACTTCATCCAGTCCTAAGACTTGATCAAACTTCATCCAGTCCTAAATCCACTCCTAACACCCGATCTAACTTCATCGAATCCTTTTTTATGTATTGTGATTTTTTCCTCTTAACAGGCGGGTCTCTCTCATGACAGATACATATTTCTTTTCAATGATTTCCTCCTCGTAGCGAAATCCAAGTAAGTTGAGGCAATCCATTTCATTCGTGTGCCGTCATCGTAATATTTACCATGATTTTATCACGATCCCTTTTCTATATAAGGATCAACAAATTGCCAAATATGAACTTTCGTTTTCCTTTAAGATCATCGTCGTATTACAAGTTGAAAGAACGAGTCAAATTAAGTGAAATGTGGGTCGCTGGTTGCATTGATGATGTTGCGGAAAATGTGAAATCTCCCGAGAAATCCTTTGTTCTTGGCTGGCCGACTGAGAACTTCGTTGCCACTTTTAGGTACGTCGTTTAACTTGATCGTAAACAAATTAAACTGCCTGTATGATTTCTTGTATTAATTCTGTTGATAAATAAAAAACTGAGTAAGTTTGTGTATACCAGGATAGCTCTATCAGTTCAAAACTGTTCTTCCTAGAGGTCCAGTAAGGATCTCTTATAGATCCAGTGTTACTACAGGAGGAAACCTAAACTAAACTAATTTTATTTATACTGGATAGCTCTATCAGTTCTAAATTGTTCTTCCTAGAAGTCCAGTATAATAAGAATCATCTTTTGTTGATCCAGTGTTACTACAGAAGTGTTACTAGTGACGAATCTCTTATTGATCTATATATTAGCATAGGGGGAAACCTAAACTGAGAACTGCAAATGCAGCTCTTCATAAATAGCTATAGTAAAATCCATCTCATCTTTTAGTAGTAACACAAGACCATGCAATGTTTAACCGATTTTCACATTGAGGAATATGCACCTATATCCCTCCCACCCAGGGACTTAGCAGTTACTACTTGACACTGCCTGCACACTGCTTTCCAGGAGGGACAGTTGTGGAGTACAGGAGAGCGATTTGAGCTCTTGCCACTGAGCCACAGAGGTTCCTGCATGACAAGAGCAAGTGTGCAGCAATACACAACTCAAGAATCCTAACCCGATATACCCACCCCGATAATACTGATCCTATATCGCTGTGTACTCGCTCACAGATGTAGAATTCATCTGAGTGTAATTTCAAGGCGAACTATCTCGTCTCGTATATAGATAGCTACACACAATCAATCTGCGTTGCCTCACTGTGTTCACTGGTTCCGCCTTTCGCCTTCTGGCTACGGTTATGATTCCACTTAAAGCGAGTAATCCGAAGCAGCTTAAGCATGCTAGGGGTGTGTGTGTCTTGGGCGGGAATGAATGTCGTATTATTATTCAAAGTGCTGTTTGTTTCCCTCAGTTAAACATCTCGTAAACAATGTCGTCTCATTCTTTTAGTTCTGTTGAAGAAAAAGAGAAATGGTACGAGGCATTATCAAGGTAATTTTACCATTAATTAACTTTGTGACATACAACTCTTAGCATACAACGGTTAAACTAACTGTTATGGGCAAAGAACGCTCGTTTGTCAAGAGTAAATTTTTTTATTTGCTCTTGAGATTCTTGCTTTGACAAGGAGCTTTGTTTAAGGCATAGGTAGCCCAGTAAAATCGTCCTAGAAGCTGGTCAGGCATGTACGTAAGTAAATATATCCTCACTAAAGAAAGCCTCCTTGTCGAAGCTGTCTTTGACAGACAAAGAAATATTTTTAATCTTCGAAAGATGATTTACATAAAAGGACCCGGGATAATGTAATACGGCAACATTGCTTCTCTAGCAATCTCTGCAACGCGGGCATAGACGCATGTTTTTTAAAAATATCCACGCGTAAGTATGGCGAAGCACGAGACTATATATGTGCGTATTTGCACATAACATGCGTCGAAATACGATTTCCTTGTCAATTGTAGCAATTAGGGTGTTCTTATCATCGTATTATTTCACCTTAATTGTAACTCTGACCTCAAGAACACCTTTTGCATTCGAGATATCAAAAATAGAATGTCGTTTGAAAAGCGACGTTACCATATATAGTCGGGTCCTAATCAACTCTGAGCTTTTCGTACTTGTCGGGGGGGAAATGAAGTGTACGACTGCGTGCGCTCTCTTGCAATCTTGATGATTTCGCCTTGAGTAGAATATCGAATTGAGTAGAATAGATTTTTAGTTGTACAGAAGACTCAACTCGTTTATCGCCAGGCATATTACAGTGTTTAGTAGATCCTGCCCAGTTTATATATATACTGCCGTGCATGCGTGTCGATACCTTGTGCAAGTATAGAGATTGATATACACGGTGCCAAACGATAGTCTACAATGGTGAGAGGTTTATTGAAACGAAAAGAAAGTCATATAGAGAGAGAGGTGACTCGACGATATAGATTTATTACACTCAAGCTAACGCGGAAACAGAGACACGCATTTAAACAGGCTCAAAGTTACTTGCTAATCCGTGTTTACACTTGCAATTTTGATGCGATTTCAGCGGGCGAGATTTTCTTCGAATGAACGTGAATGAGTGGGTAACCCTTGAATGGATGATCCACAGTGCATGCACGTCAGAAGAGCATTTGCAATTAAAATAGTCCGTCACGATTTCATGCGGTCAAATCTAGTTGAATGATTGAATCTAACCCTTTTTGGTTGCACAAACTCTCGCTCTGGTTTGACCAACGAAGCGGGGAAATCATTTTACAAAAATCATCCTCAAGATAATTCCTTCTTATCTCTGTAGCAACATTGCGTCGCAAAAGGATTTAGAGGAGCCCAAAGTGGCGCCCATCAAAATCCAGCTGAAAGATAACGAATCTGTTGTACCAAGCCTGGTAAGTGTCCATATGCATGCATGGAGCGCTTTCCTTTATACGGTAAAAACGATCAGACCGCGGTCCTGTTATGAATTTCAGCACACACAGATTATGGTATTGTGAAGTGTTTCTTAGAGTATTTTTAGAGTGTTCAAGAACTTTGCATTTAAGTTTATCGTTATTTACGTCTGCCCTGCACAAAAAATGAAGTTTCATCGCTATATTCTTTATGAAATACTCTATTTCAATTCAAAATATGACCGCGGTTTGACCATTTTGGCCGCCTAAGAGAAAGCGGTCATATAGGCATAGCTAACAATCTTCAGAGCTGCAGTTATATATCGGGTCTTGCTTAATGTTAACGCTTTGACATTCAATGGTATATCCTAGGATGACAAGATTACCACATATTTCCTCTTAATCATAACATCCTATACTGATGGCGATATGCAGATTTATCGATAGATATAAACAGAGCTTTTGTTCAATGTTAAATGGGAATATTTTGTGCCGCAGATGACGTTTAAAGCTGGTTTTCGCTCCTCAAAACTTGTCGTAATATATACAGGTCGTGATTTGTCCAAATTCGGTCTGCATGTGTCATATTTTGCTTGACAAGAATTACATGGAATTATGACATCTGAATTATTGCGAATTATGTTGTAAAAAAACCAGCCTTTATCATCGTGATATTAAAATACGATCAAAAGTTGACTGCATTAAAATAGGGCCACATTTAATAATGATCGTGAAAACCCACATATATAGATTGATAATAATTTTGATCATTGTCTTTGTACATGCAAAATGAAGGTATTCTAATTATTTTGTTTTGGAAACGTTGGCGGTTTGAACTCACGTTTTCTAACCAAGGTTATATATGTAATATATGCTGCTTGCTGTTTATTTTTAACAGCAATTTACGAGATAATTGCATGGTAACGCCGTATATCCTTACTAGCCATGCAGGCACAGGTTCCGTGCGAGCGGTATCTCATGCTGAGCTAAACTCTTTAACTTTCTTTGTTCGAGTATTGTTGAATCAAGTGGTTTTAGAAATTGAAAACCGCTTTGGATTTGTAAGACAATAATTTCTTTGTGGATTCACAAAGCCATCGCAAGCTGGCAAAATAGCAAAAATAGTTATTAAATAGATAGTCATGCAATGAACCTTAAACATCTTGAAAAATTAGCAAAATACACTTTGTAGGAAGATTTGTTAACGAATCATTATTTCACATGCGACTTAAAAACCTGATGTTGAAAACCGCTAGCTTCGCAGATTTAGCAACGCCTATATAACCATTGGCAAAAAATCGTTTGGTGTCAGTCAGGTTTATAACCAAAATAGGGCACGTTTGGACGCATTGCCATGAAATGATGATTTAACTATAAGATATATTGACAGATGGTTTTGCGAATACATTAAACGAACAATAAAATCGTTTGGCGTTGGAGTGAAACACTCTAACTACCCCTATATGTATGGCAATGTACCTGGACGTGACATTCCTGGCCACGTTTACTGACGTCGCGTGGTAATCTCTGGTATTTGCTAGGGAACATATTTTAAATTCCGGTTTTATAAATTCGTATTCGACGTCACTGCCAGCCCGTCCCAGTGTTTCTCGATGCATCACGAGAGATTCCTTCGCGGTTTTTGAACTCGCGTTTATGCTCACAAATCGACAGCTTCCTCGCGAAAAACTTCAGATATAACCACTCCTATTGTTCCTAGTTTTAATAAATCTTTCGCCTTAAAAGGTTTTCATGCACTATTGATATCTGTGTTAATAATATTGACATAACCTTATGGCACTACATCTTGAGTATAAGCTCCTCTAAAATCGTAAACAATAGAAACAGCTTGTATCTGTATTACGTCAACATGATTGAACATAATAAATGCACTTCGTATGATGACACTTTGAAAATTCAAACAGATTGTTCACCCATTTTTGTCCATGCATTTAATTGCATGACATAGCAAATACCGGTATTAAAGGCATAGACAATCAAAGGATCTTCCTCAAATTTTCTTCAATTAACACCAGTATTATGTTGGCAAATTCTTGTAAAAAACGTTCTGGATTTTTTTGTTATTTGCGAACAAAAACACGCCCGATCGCGACCGCCATTTTTCATAATTTGATCTAATTGCGTGAGATCGGAACAAGGTGGATTCGAATAAAAACCACAATTTTAGGAAGCACTTTTCGACGAAACAAAAGACGCTCGGAATTTGGTTTAAATTTTATCAAATTGTTGTTCATGAATCCTCCCTCATTCCTGATCGGATAAAGAGTGAAATCGCCAAAATTGAATGACATATGCATTTAAAAACTTCTGCCAATATTTTAGCTTATCTTTGAATTTGTGAAGTAGTTAGGTTGAGTGAGGAATAGGCTGAAAGAATTTATTAACTGAGGTCTAAAGTGCATTTCTAAAATTGGGAAATAAAAATACCAGATTCTTCATGGCAGAGGCACGTGCATATTTGACCTGAAACACGTCAGAAAGCAAATAGATAACGAAAATATATATATATGAACGGAATATGTAACAGTGTTTTAAAGTTCCTTCTTATATAAGGAGAAAGGAATGTTTTTCGCTATTTCTTTTTAGAAATTGGCGCTAATTCTGCGTCCAATACACGATATAGTTTAAAGACACTATATCTCTTATATAATAATATAGATTTTAAAGCCAAATTCGGTGAACAAGGAAAAGAGTTCAATCGTTCAAGCCGATATACGCAATAAACTTCGAAAAACGTCTAATATCATATCTTAAAATAATGCTGATTCTAAGATTCAAATTAGCCCTAAAGTATAGCTTGTTTAACTGTTCAAAGTTTAAACATGTACACACGGTACTAATTTAGGAGGCCAATATATGAATTATGATCTAATGTAGCCAGCCAGCTTCATTTCCAAGGGAATTTCCTGGTACAAATTTGGGCAAGCAAACAATTTTCCTGTATCATCGGTATCATCGCGTGTGGCAGGAGTCATGTGCCGTTGTATGAGACAGCGGAACGTGGGAGGATGGCGATAACACGAAACACATGCACGATTTTATCAAATGCATTAACAATTTTCACTCCAAAAACAGCAAACAACTTTAACCCTTTTGTTTGCGTTACGTTTACGACTAGATCTGGTCATCAATCATCAGGAATGCCAAATTATTGCATATTGTCCTCTTAGAGAAACACGAGACCGACTCCAAATAGTCATTGTGTTTCTTTCTAGCTGTTTCCCAGTTTCGTGAGATGTCATTTGCAGCATTTAAACATGCATTTTAGTAAAATATTGCAAACCTTTAATTGACGTTGAATTTTTGGCGAGAAGATTTGGACTTACTTCCGATATATATGGAAAGATGAAACGCAGCCAATTTCCGCAATATACGCTTTGTTTTGTACGTCTTTATAGTTGGGTATTCACGACGTCCTTTTTTGAAAATTTGACGTCTTCATTGTGCAGATAAAGGATGCTTATCAGATGCTGATCTTTTTCCAATAAAAGCTTCCCTCTTGGAACATATTGTCTGTCATTGACCTCAAGTGTTTAGGATTTTACATAGAAACTCGTGGAAGAATGCATGGTTTTTGGATTAAACTGCACTCTTTCGCCTAGAAGTTGACTGAATGATTTGAATAAACTCTCAGCATGAGAATTTTGCTCGAAAAACGTTGCATTTGACTTATATTTTTAAGTGTTTTTCGACGTACTAGAAACCTCAACACGCTACGAAGAGCACGAATTTAAATACACGCAAGAAGGATTTAATCCCACGCGCGACTTATCACAAGTTTGTGACCTGCGGGTCGTTCGATATTCACAACCTGTTCCGACCAAGATATCTGCTTTTTTCCCCTCCAAACACCGTAATCTATATATCAGTTCCTTGTACCTAGTGATACCTCGCTTTGGACGCGACCTCCAACACGAGTTCAAATTTTCAAAGTTCAACCCAAACTCAACTTACATCAATGAAAACAAGTGATAAAAAGCACTGCACGTCAGCTGCCTACTCGAAAATAACTGTCTGGGCTATAGTGTCGCACTGTCGCTATCCCCAGCAAAATCTGCCTTAGTTTATTTAACGATAAACAACAATGCATGCTTTTTGCATAACCGTTTTTGAGGAAAATTTTCATGCATGAAAATTCTCAAAAACGGTCATGCAAATATCTAGCTTATTTTTTTTCTTGCTTGGTTTTTTTTTCTATTTATTTGATATTTTTGACATATTGACGATTAATATACGTACATATACGTATATTCCCCATATTAATAGCTCAATTGTTTTTACACTGACAAAAACAAACATACATTCCAGACGATTTCAAAGCAGAAAAAATGAGTTAAGTATGGATTTATATATCTCCCAGTTCTAAGCATAATTACAAAAGATTTAACTCGGGTTAGGATAGATAATAAAAGATAGAAAAGTTAGTACATTATGCTAAATTGTTCCAATCTTGCTGCTAGTTCCAGCCCCTTTACTCGAGGCAGATTCTCTGGCATGTATACCACATATAAAATGATACACGTCATTCGCATTTTTCGCGTTTTTGTTGTGTAAATATATAATTCTTGATGATAAAAACATTGTTATTATTATAATATAAAAAAATCGCTATATTACGGCCAGCGCTCGTGCACAACGCCATAAAACTTATGAATTGTCACCAGCTTATCATAGGAAACCGTAAACCCATAATTTTTACCTTAAAAAGTTAAATATTAGCCGTATTTACAATTGAATGAACTCAATAGCGTAGAATCTTAAGTGCTTTCGGATGTAAGCTATTTGGCACGTCATTCGTGTAGGCAGTCTTTGAAAGATGTTTCGTCATTATGGCATAATTAATGAAGTTGTTATATTAACTGAACGACGTTCATATATATGTCATTTGAGCGCTCCCAGTAATCTAGAAGTCAGTGGAAAACATATCTCGGATATAACTGTTGGATAATCATACAGCATACAAAAGGAATTGTTTTGTACGCAATATATTTGTCGACATCCTAAAAGCTGAGGACCAAAGTGTCTGTAAGTGTTGTAACGTGAATATTTAAGATAGTTTATGTATTTATAGAGAACACTGCATGCCCTTCGGCTTTGGTCACTTTAAATTAGAGTTACTCAATGACTACTGCCAGGTCTGAAATTTTATATGACTATACTATATAATTTTATACGTTTTATATGACTATACTATATAATTCTATCGCCAGGGGCTCTCTTTAAAATAAGCTTACTAGGATATACAGCTTAGATTTAAATACATGTTTGAGCGCATTGCACAGCAATATTGCCTCGCTGGTCGGACGTTCATGAATACTTATAAATTAGAACTGAAGCCCCATCTACACTATACTCGATTTATTGGTACAGCACGACCAAAATTGGTACCCGCGTACCAATTTTATCCGTGGTAAAGCTAGCAATGGTCGAGTTCTGATGAAATTGGTACGCGGGTACCTTTTTTAAACGTGCCATGCCAATAAACTGACTGTAGTAAACGAGGCTAATATTTGCAGAGAGTTTGATCAAATCTTAACAGAATTTCCATTGCTTCCTTTGCGAGGAAAGGGCTCTTATCAATTCTGCGTTTGGTGGTTAGTATACCTGGGGAATTTAACAAACTAGTTATTCGACGTTTCTAGACGTTTTTGGCGGGTGGTAGAGGTGAAGCGGCAGGGCATTCTAGAAGTAGGCACTACTTCCACTGGTTCCCTATCGTTGGAGATCTCGACTTTGTACTTTTACGAGAACTAGGTTTGAACAAGGTTTGGATAGGAGTTCGTCGTGAATGTAATCGCGTATTGAGGTTGCAATCAGCCCTAATTATCTCCCCGACATCGTTCATTGGCGCGCAGTGCGGTATTCTTAAATGAAACAATGTTTCAATTTAACTCGAAAGCTATCTTCAAGGTAACAGATGATAACCCCTATTATGTACAAATTGTAATTAACACCCGTGTCAACTATATAGCTATGGGCAAGTGCAATGCATAGATATATATTTGGCCAAATTAACAATGCATATATACGATTCTAGACTCTGATTTTAAACTTTAGCGATATACATGCCAGACACTTCACTCAACATATGCTAAGGTTCATCCATTAAAAAATTCATGGATTTCTAGGCGATGTTCTTAGTGATCTTTTTTTAAACATTCATATCAGTATTTTTCATTCGGATAACAGGTAGCTTTAACTATCTTTCTTTTAATGTAAAGTTAAATTAGCTTTTTGTTAGTTTCATTTATTTATATAGCTAATGATAAGGTGTATATTTCATACACGAGACGGATAGTTGAAAATCCCAAACATGTATATTCATTCTAAATTGGGAAGTATTTTTTTACGAATGCACGCTGATTCATTGGAACCTGCCGGAACATGATAATGTAATTACATACGTATAATTATATCTTGCAATTCATGCAATGTTCTGTATAGCACATAGCAATTCTAAATATTTCAAAGATCTTTCGCCCAAAGACGATTGGCGCTTCCTTACAATAAGGAAGTTTCTGTAAGTAATCGTCCTCGTTTGAGGTCTGTTTCCCACATGGAGTATATGCGCAATTCAATTACAAACGAGGAACACGCCATCAACCTTTTTACAGCCTTTTTTGTCGAATCGAAATTTCGTAAGTGATTATATATATACATAACCTTATAAAGAAATAGCTCGTCGCAATACAAGTGTATGGTTCAAAAGGATTTCTAATCCACGAAGTGTGAATTATCCGGATTAGCGGTAATAGTTTTTGTACCCGAGAATTCTGATAGTAAAGTTTAGTTTATATTTTAATTCGTCAACAAAGTCGTGTGTTTGTTTGTTATTTTTTCACCAGCCTAAGCCAAGGGTTTCATCACCGCAGCTAATATTTTTTGAAGATATTGACAACAAAACAGCGAATTCATCGTGCTCTCCTTAAGGATTAGCACTTATCTCGTTCAACTTCAAAGTTATTCCGCATTTCTGGCTTTGTAATCCATTGTTTTCATCATCTAAGATGGCGGCGTTTTGTTTGGCAGAAATCCTATGAAAAGATTAGCTTTAGTGTCGAGAACGATTGTAAAGCATACGTTTATCAGCTCCACCGTAAATCGACCTGAGAAATTGCCCCTCTTCTTGGAAAGACCAGTCTTTTGTTGCATTATAAAATATAAATGCCCGTTAACCATCAACCTAGGACAGATTCAGGCTGGTGATTAGGGTCTTCTCATGACAGAATGAGAATGAGGTACTTGAATGATACTTTCTTAAAGGATTTATCAGCTCATGGGCAAAACAAGAAAAGCTGTCAGACGTTTTTTAACCCCTTAAAAACTTGCAGAATTCTTCCATTGATGAAGAAGATCTTCTGGTGATAATAGTATAAAAAATTGAACTCTGACGCAAGTGTATTGACAATAAGCAGGCATACAGGACCTGACACTGCATGTATACCAGATGTCTTGTGTCACCCCATTATACGTCTGCCAAATAAGTAGTCTGGTGTGGCCATGTGTACCTCCAAACCCTGCCAACCAGACTTTCAGGTTACACGTGAAACGGACAGGGTCCCTACCCTCTGAAGGGAATTTCAAGGGAATGATATATAGAACGGCGTTTGTTCTTAAAATATTCAGCGTTTTCCGTCTTCTGTGCATATATGATAAAACCCAAGATTTTGTAATGTGCGTCACATTTCCGACAGTTTATAACTTAATTGTACAAAGAGACCCAAGGCACTTTGATGCGAAGCCAGCGATCACAATTTGCAAACGAAATATCGACTGCGATTTTCCGGAGTTCAATGTAACTCAGGAAATTGGCTCACGGTTATTTTAAAGATTTATGTTCCGTTCAGTTGTTGAATGAACGCGCCGAACATGAAAGAAAGTGTTACATGAAACAGCTGTTAGGCTTTGAGATTCTTACAGCGAAATACCCAAATCGCGACTTGGGAGCTAGTTTGACAAACATGCAAGTTCTTACTCCAGTTGTATACATAGAGCTCGCTCTCTACCACTTCTGTAACCAGTTCATTACATCACATACCTCAAGCGGAGAGTTGGCACCGACAATCTTTTACAAGATATACTAAGATTTTACATGCACTTCGTGGGAAAATGTAAATTATTTGTGTACGTACGGAAGCGGTGGTCTGCTGTTTGACAAATGAGCTAGCTCTGCATAGAAAGATTACACACTAATGAACTGCCCTAGTAACTAACAAATTGCCGATGAATAAACAGCGGAATTGCAAACACTATCAAAACACCAAATAAATACTTCTTGGCCAATATTGATAATATCCCAATTAAGTTTGTGTGGTCGCTTTCGTCGATGATGGTAATCAACTAATCGTGGTATATTGTTTGTTGTTTGAGGCATGCAAGAACACTTCATTTTCCAAAGATTGCGCTGTGATATAGGCACAGATAAGGAGTAGGTTTGGGAGAGAATGTACTTATAAGGAATTGATCAATTGAATATATTGAATTTCTCACCACCTTTGCGAGTTTCATGCACAATATTTGCCAAGGTTGTTGTGGTGATGACACTCGGGTGAATTCTTACAGATGACGTTCACTTTGCATTGGCTTGTGTGGATGAGTAGGTTTAGAAATGAATATTGGACTAACAAAACAAAGGTCACAGGATTGATTCTCATCGGGGTCAATTCCTTTTTTGACTTGCACGATAGGGTTTCATTCGCGAGTGGTTTTATCTGTCATGATTCACTACTTCACAGTTGATTTACTGCTGGAAACGTTTTGAAGTCATTTCTAACAACGTCTAGCGGACTTCACGTTCGGGTACTTAATAACGTATTTCAGTCACGGACAACACGACAGACACATATTGTACAATTCTGGCTATATCAGACCTCGCTGTTTTTGAAATCTCATTCAGGTAGTTCAGACAGAAATTATCCACTAACGAGAGATACCAATAGGTATACTGGACCACGTTCATGCAGTGGGGAATACAACATTAGACTATGCCGAGTCAAATATCCTTTTTTTTATTCAGATAGTACAGACACAAACCACTATAGGGATACATTGAAGAATACCATCGTCCATCAAATATCTTTTTCGGTTAATTCAAACACAAACGCGGCAGCTTAGGAAAGGAATACACTGGACTACCACGTTAATTTAAGACATCCTTCTCACATAGTTCAGACATAAACCAGGGCGACATTTTGTAAATTATTATATGATAATATTTGTCAATTATACCACTAGATCAATATTAACATAAAGTATGTAATATCCTTCCCTAGCTTATCTATATAATGATTTTCCTTCCGTTTTAGACAAAGAGTGTTTCAGTTGGTCAGTTGGACAACGCAAACAAGGTCGTACAGATGGCACTGGATCTTTTTAACATTTTGGTAAGTTCTTTCTCTGTATTTCTACAATACTTTAGATAGATCAGGGTAATATACTGGATAGATTTACATTATTTACAAACACATCGCCCTGTGTTAGTGTGTTACAACCGGAGGAAACCTAAATTAACTTAACTTCAGCGCTATCAAATCAGTTTATCAACTGTCGAAGATGTATAAAAAAATACTTCTCGACGTTTCGACTTAAAAGGTTTTTTATTTATACTTCATGCTGATAAACCTGTTAGTTCTACACAGTTCTTACGAATTTCCAGTAAGGGTCATCACTACTTATTTGTCATCTCAGCTATTTACACTGGATAGCTCTGTTTATGTTTCTAGTACTTTTTAGAGGTCCGGTAAGGTATTGCATCGATCTCGTATCGATCCAGTGTTAGTACAGGAGGAAACCTAAACTAAACTAACTTTATTTATACTAGATATCTCTATCAGTTCTAATCTGTTTTTCCTAGAGGTCCAGTAAGGATCATCTCTTATCGTTTCAGTGTCACTTTACTGAAACCCAAACTAAATTAACTCTATTTATACCAGATAGCCGACTTTATCAGTTGTTAGTTGTTCTTTCTAGAGGTCCAGTAAGGATCATTTCTTATCGATCCAGTGTTACTACAGGAGGAAACCTAAACTAAACTAACTTTATTTATACCAGATAGCTCTATCAGTTCTAAACTGTTATTTTTCTCGAGGGGAAATACTTGTACTCTGATTAAACTGTGGTGTTAGATGATGGGGATTAGTTTATGCATATCAAATATCTATCGAGACACTTCTTGTTCATATTGTGAAGTGGTTCCCGCCCAGGATACCAAACACGAGACAGGCCTATATATATAATGTGATCTTCAATAGTCCATGAAGCGATTCAAAATGATTCTCAAGGGAATCTTTCAAAATCCCTTGATCCCAACCGCGGTTCTACCGTTGCATTGCCATGTGTGGTAGTAAAATTTTGAAACGAGCTCTTAGCGCTGCTTCCGGTCGATATTTTAACCCATAATACAAGCGTGTCTTAGTGCGCGTGTCTAAGTAGTATTTGATGATCTTTTTGTAGAATAAGGAAAACGTCAATGACTATCAGTTATGGGTCATGTACAAGGATGGAGCATATCCACTGATAGGTAAGCTATACTTTAACTAGCCTGTTAGAGCTGTTAGCCTGAGATTTTTTGTGACATCTTCTTCTGACAGATGTGAAGGAGTGATTCGGCCATAAATGCTTTGATATCTTTGTGCTTTGTTTGCGCAATCGCAGCTGTCCGCACGTTCACATCGATCAAAAAACGACAATCACTACAAAAAATTGTTGGTCTCAATTAGCCCTATGAAAACTATAGGAATTTGGTATAATCCATGAAATTCACACCCCAACCAGAATGTTCTTTCAACTATAATTCATGCAATAAGAACTGTTTTTGGCGTTTAATCTCGTAATCTTGTTGTGGTGTGTTTGTTGTTAAATTCTTAATCTTATTTGTCTCACTAGAAGGTTTGCACTGGATTAGAATCCATTGAGTATTTTGATCACGCTATTGAGAGTTAAAAAGCATTTGTTGACATCCCTTGATACCCCTTGCGAACGCAGTATCATTAATCCACTACACACGGAGCACCTCTTTTCTTAGTTATCACCAGTTATCATCTATCACTGATATATCTCCCTCGATATCATTTGTTATCCACTATTCTATCACTTGTTTCCCCAGCTATCACCCGTCGTCATCGTTGATTGAACGAACTGCCACGCAACTATAATATGAACTCTTCTCGTCTTAGGCTAACTTGCAATTTTCCTATTCAGGTCACGAGTTTCCATTTGCTATACACATGAATCAACATCGTGAGATGTCAATACTTGATGACAGCGACTTTATTGCACCCACACCTGAGCCCCTCACACCACCCCCCTCTATCGAAATTACACCTGAAAATCAACTTCAGTTCATTTTGAAAAAGGGACGAAAAATGCACAACAAAGGTTTGTCCTGAATAATTCAATTTATTTGACATGTCAAAATTGATGGTAGGTTTCAGTATTTTATCTCTGGTTATAGTTGGGCTGAATCGACTAGTCAAAATGAGAAAAAATAAGAAATTGAGCAAAAAGATGTCCGGAAGCAAGTTACCTTCTTATGATATGATGATGGCCCCAGGAAAGTAAGTCGATTTTAATAATCTGCTATAATAATCTAACTCCTTTATACTGGTTATTTCAATCAAATCAGTCAAGCTCTGTTCTTCCTAAGGGTCTATTGAGGATCATCTCTTATTGATCCAGTGTTACTACAGGAGGAAACCTAAATTAAACTAACTTTATTTATACTGGATAGCTCTATCAGTTCTAAACTGTTCTTCCTAGAGGTCCAGTAAGGATCATCTCTTATTTATCCAGTGTTACTACAGGAGGAAACCTAAACTAAACCTAACTCAACTGAGCTGAGGGTTTTTATTCCCATATATCATCTGGTAAAATGTTTTAAACTTTTCCTTATCTCATTTCAGAGTGTTTGGGCAACCTCTGGAACAATTGACAAGTAAAGAAGAGCTAGTCCCCAAGCCTATCAATGACCTCCTTGTTCGGCTGTTTCGCTACGGACCGTCAACCTCCGGTGTTTTCCGAAAGACACCGAATCATCGCGAGGTCAAAGAGTTGAGAGAAGAAATCGATGATGGTGAGTAAAGCGTTTCATACGATATTGAGTGATAGGAATTGAGACCCAGAAAGTGACTGGTTTTTCTAAATAGTGTATTTGTAATGATTTCTCAAACGCGTTCTTGCTCTTTTCAGGAAAAGAAGTCTCATTTGACGATATTTCAATCCATGTTGTCGCAGGCTTAGTGAAGGTTTGTGTTTTGTAGAAATTTTAAGATCATATTTAGAACAAGTGAAAATTTCCATTTCTGGTAGGAGAACTAGATTATTTTGGTTTGCTTGTGTTCCACCTTTGAACCGTTCTTGTATATTTGTAGGACTTCCTTAGAAACCTTCCCGATGCTTTATGCTCTTCTGAATACTACGAGGATTTTCTCGCAACTAATGATGTCAAGGATAGATCAGAACGAATTCAGGAAATTATGAGGTATATATTGAAATTCTGTGAACTACTAGTTTTGTCCAACCTGTACTTCCTAGAGCTCCAGTAAGGATAATCTCTTATTGATCCAGTGTTACTACAGGAGAAAACCTAAACTAAACTAACTCTATTTATACTGGATAGCTCTATCAGTTCTAAACTGTTCTTCCTAGAGATCCAGTAAGGATCATCTCTTATTGATCCAGTGTTACTACAGGAGGAAACCTAAACTGAACAAACTCTATTCATACTGGATAGCTCTATCAGTTCTAAACTGTTCTTCCTAGAGGTCCAGTAAGGATCATCTCTTATTGATCCAGTGTTACTACCTTTAGTAATCTTTATATATCTCCACTTCTAGATTAGCTGTAAAACTTCCTGCAGCAAACTTGGAACTGACCAAGCGGTTCTTCTGTGTTCTCTATCACATAGCACAAAACTGCGGACAAAACAACATGACGTCATTCAATTTGGGCGTCTGCGTTGCCCAAAGTATACTCAAGCCAGCGGAGTCCGTGAAAGCGGAAACGGCCGAACAAGCAAAAATGACTGCACCTCAGTTTGTGGAATTCATCATCGATAATTTCCCGGAAATTTTTGGCAAGGATGCTGTCACCGTATTGGGCGACGTTTCTGAGATCATCGTCGATGTGCCGACTATTTCCGAGAACGGGGAATCGGAAGTGTTCGATAACCCCGAGGATCCCCGACCGAGAAGCCAATCGCATAGCGATTCCAATATTTACCAAAGCGCACTCGCAGAGGACAAAGCGGAACAAATAGGGAATCTGTTGACAGTAGGGGATAACAGTGCAAACTTAAGCAAAAGTACCCCTAATTCACCCAAATTACAGAGGAAACAAGAAAAGACAATAGACGCGAACGATATTTCGAAAAAGATTCACTCGGCATTTTACCATCCTAAGCATTCGCCGAGGTATATTAGAAGGAACTCGGATAAATCGTCGAAAATCGATTCGGAAAAGGCTCGGGATGCCGAACGACAACAAAAGGACTTCGAGCGTTCTCGAAAGAAGCCCGTTATACTCACGACGACTACGTCGAGTGCCGAACTCATCGAACATGCTCCGAACGATGATACGAGGTTATCATCGAGTTGTGGGTCGCTGCACGCCGCACCTGCTGAGGTCAAGAAGACTGTTGTACCAAGACGCGAAGGAATGATGTTTGCATCGAGTAAAAATTTTTATGCTGCGCCCGCGTATATTGCTGAGCGCGTGAATACGGTGCACGACAGGCGCAGACAGCCCGCTGCACCATCCTACCAGGAACATATGCAACGAACAAGGGCCCAGAAAGTTTGGAACGGCCCGAAAATCCTAGACGTACCAAAACGTTTAGATATCCCTAAAGATCTTCTTGCTGTCCAGACAACGAACTCTTCACAAAATGGGACACATTCCCCAGAGCCTTTGCGAGGAAGCAAAAGCGAGGGATCTTTGACCGAGGATAAAACTCCGGTTGGTAATAATGCTATGGAGACTAAATTCGGACTAATGCAAAGCAATGAATCCGATTCCGACTTGAGTCCCACCCATTCTCGCAATAATTCCTCTCCCGTTTATTCGTCTCATGCGAGCTACACGACTAACCTTTCCCCACGACACTCCCCCAGGTCTAATCATGTGTCTCCGGCGAACAGTGAACGGTCGGCTCCGAAGATGAGCACCGGAAGCGAGACTTCAATCTCGTCGCTGTCGAGCGTTGACGATATCATGGACACGAGCGATTCCGAGAAACTGGACGTCACACGACTAAAGCACATTCGGGACTTACTCGACGTATCAGGGTATGCGAATCCGCTGAGAATTAGCTCGGAAGCCGCTGACCTTATATCGAGGACTCATGGCGAATGGGGCAACGCGATAAATGATGATACAGAGATGGACGACTACCAACGCATGACAATGGCCGAGGAGACATATGTATAGCTCGCAGGCGCAGATGCAATGGCAAGTGAACTCTATCTTAAAACAGTTCTGAATGAATTCTTCACAAGAGCCCAGGGCAAGCTAGGAATCATGGTGAAAAAAACATTTGGGAAAGTTGCAGCTAGTTTGCCATTTCTCCTGGGCGAGAACATAGCTCTACTTTCATATCTTAAACTGCCTTAGTTTAGTTGAGTTGTGGGTTATATTAATTGATTGGCGTTGTTGTATAGTACAAAACAATGATATATTTATAGCTTATTTAAATACCATGTATATATAAGGTGCCGGAACTATCGTATAGTGAGAATAAAGTAATAAAACAATCATCTTAAACTGAACATATTTATTACAGCAGATGAATAGGATACTACTTCGCACGCGAATTCTTTTTGCACCATAACTGTCTCTGCATAGACGTATCTGCCCACTGACGATGAAGTGCTACTTTTCCGGGAAAATGGACTGTCGGAGCACGGACTGCTAAGCACGCACTTCCTAGCCACACGAACTCGATCTCAGCGTAACGTGGCGATAAGAAACGAACTTTTTTGATCGGTCCGAAGGCAGTAAAAATATCGGTAAGTTCGCGTCTTGTGTAACTAGCGCGCGGGTTACGGCCGCACCAACTAACAGCTATAGTACAAAAGTTGTTGCGTGCGTGCTGTCGTTTACAGACTTGTTTAAATTTGTTGGAAGCTTTCTTGAATGATTTTCGTCTTGGGATTGCGGTAAAGTTTAAAGGCTCTAAACAGAAAGCAAGATTTCTTTTCAGAATAGCAAGATAATTTCTTTTCGGACACAGACTTGTTTATAAACAAAGATTTGCTTGTCGATCGTAAAGAAGGAGTTCTTTAATACCTTTTTCACTGTCTGATTGTTCTAAGTTACCGCTAGGCGGTTTGCTTCTGACCATTTCTTTTAAAGATCTTTCTTCATTTAAAATTTTCTGCATATTTTCTTTAAAAATTGATGGCAGATGAAATTCGGTGAATTCATTATCTCCTCCAGCGGTTTCCGTGTTTTCCTTTTTGTTTTTATACAGATTGGAAGTACATTGTTTAATCTTTGATTCGGTTTTCAGAAATCCATCACAAACTGTGCTCCATATCCGATTCAGTTTATTATCAGGCACGTTGTTTATTGGTGGAAATTGAAAGTTCGAGAATTGTCGAGCCGGCAATTTTGTACATTCTCTTCCAGTGATGACAGGTAGCACCATTGGGAACCGTTATCTTTCGAAAACAATTAGTCTGATTCTTGGAAATTTGCCCTTTGTGATGTCACGTAATTGATTTCGAGTTCTGTGGGAAATCAGTTTTCAGTTTGTTTCAGTTTTACTTGCAGTATTTCATTTGGCGTATACGATTCTTACCCTGGCGTATGTGGTGGAATGAACACATATAAAAACGCATAATTTCAAGAAAACCTTTTAATAGTTTTTTCTTGGAATTTTGTGATGGATATTTCTAGAATTAAAAAAATGATTATCCGACCCTGCATGTCTGATCATGAGATCTTCTTATCTCAGCGCCGGCTGTATTTGTGGCTTGCGGTCGTATCTTTGAAACTGGTGAAGTGCGCCCGCACGTCCTACGATTCAGCGATCTTCTCCAAGAATACAAAAGTTTACTCGCAAAGTACGACGGGCATGAAACGTCATCAACTCGCATCGGGATACCGAACACAACGAACCAATCAGAAACTGTTATATCTTAAAAAACTATTTCTATTGGTTAAAATACCCACGAGGGGTGAAAGCGAGCTCTGTGACAAACTTCCAACCTGTGTGCTGTGTGTTGTTGTTTAGAGGCTTTTGTAAACGGAAATAATAGCGAGTCTATCAAATATGGCGTCTTCTTCTTCTCCGTTGGGAAAAACCGCCGCTGTTGGAATTTTGCAGAGTTCAGTAAGTAGACCAAATTCGAAATACCGTAAACATCATCACCATCAATTTGTAGCATTTTGGCGTGATTTTTTTGTTGTATTTTTCAGCTGAGCCCAAAGTATTTACACACGAACTCAACAAGTCACACTTGGCCGTTCAGCGCCATTGCAGAGTTGATAGGTGTGTAGTACCAGATCAAATCATTCATATTCGTAAAGCACATACAGACAGTGTTTTTAACTCTATGAAGGGACATTCAACGTGCAACAAGCGCTTAAATTTAGCTCTATTTCCTGCAGATAATGCATACGACCCTGACGTCAAAGCAAGTCAGCTATGGATCGATGAAATACGTATTCATCATGCCATTTGCTTGACATTTACAGACAACGGCAACGGTATGCAGCCGGATAAACTGCACAAAATGCTAAGGTAGTTACTAGTTTCGTCAGATGTTATATCAGTTATTTCAGATTCGGAAGAGAATTCAAATATGCCAAGTATTTACAAATTGCCGCTCTTCTTTCTTACAGCTTTGGCTTCTGTGAAAAGGTGAGTGAGCGTTGTGCGTGTGACACGTGCGTGCCGTACACGTGAATGTTTTGTCTTATTGTAATTCCTAGAAATTTTGTGCACTGTATTTCCTGCACCTCAAATATTACCTTTAGTGGAAGAATTTGATCATTCACTTGATCATATAGTCTGAGCCATGATAAAAATTTGTGTGGTGAATTTTGTACTGACAAGTAAAATTTCTACCAAATTCTACTCTGCAGAGTGCTAATTGGTTTATTATTAAGAAAACTAATGCGGTATAAATGAAAGTGCATTTCAAGATTGTTCTTGTTCACCTATGTTCTGCACAATTTTCTTCGAAAGTCATCTAGGATGCTACATTAGAAATCCATGCATCTGGTCAACACATATGCTTTGTCTCCCCACAGGTTGCTGATGGTACCCACATGCCAGTTGGCCATTATGGTAATGGCTTCAAGTCTGGTTCCATGCGACTTGGGAAAGATGCTTTGGTGTTGACGAAACAAGCAAATTCACGAAGCATTGGTTATCTGTCTCAGACATACCTGGAAACCATTAAGGCTGAAACTGTGGTTGTCCCACTGGCAACATGGGACAAGAAAGATAATGATATCCTTTCTTACAACTGGAAATGCTTGGAAAAATTTGCCAGAATTAGACAAGTGAACAATGTTTTGCAAGAACTATTAATTGTCTTCATAATACTTTTCTAAATAACTTATAATAGTTTAATCCATTTGTTTTTCTTAACTATTTATACAATATCTTCTGCGCCCGAATGGGTTTAATGCATTGAAAGATATTTTCTGCTACTCCCTGGTGAAATCTGAGAAGGAGTTGAACAATGAATTTGATGAAATATCTGGTGAACATGGCACCAGAATTATTATCAGCAATATCCGCAAAACCAGCGACAACAAGCCTGAATTTGACTTTGATACTGATGAACATGATATTCGAATACCAGACGACACAAGTTCAGAGGGCGAGAAGTATCGTAAGACAAAACGACAGAATCATGTTCCAGAGTGTGATTACTCTCTTAGGGTATGAATTAGAGTTGCAGTTCATTTCTTGACAAATCAGGTCTTTTCATTTCTTGACAAATCAGGTCTTTTCATTTGATTCCATCAAGCTACCTTTAATTATGTATGTGCTACCATTTAATATGTTTTAGGCATATTGTGCTATTTTGTACCTAAAACCAAGAATGCAAATCATTCTACGAGATAAGAAAGTTAAAACATTGGTTGTTGAAAAGAGTTTGAGTAAAACCGAGGTTGATCGATATAAACCAACAGTATCCTTTAATACTTCATCTGTCATCTGCCATTTTATTCTTACAACATAACTCTGATTTCCTCAGAAGTAAGTATAAACCTCTCAACATTGTTAAAAAATTCTTAACTCCATTGTTTCAAAGCATCATGCAACCACTGATCCAGTGAAGGTTGTGTTTGGCTTCAACAGCCGTAACAAAAACCATTACGGTATCATGATGTACCATCGAAATAGATTGATTAAACCCTATGAACGTGTAGGATTCCAGTTGAAGGTATGTATTATCATGCAATATTAAACACAATGAACAGCATTATCATCCAATATTAAACACAACGAAAAGCTGCTACATTTTCCAAGAATTGCATGTTTTGCTGCCCGTGACAATTCATGTGTCAATTCTAGGCCAACAATCTTGGTGTAGGTGTGGTTGGTGTTGTCCAATGTGACTTTCTCCAGCCAACACATAATAAACAAGACTTTGACTATACAAAGGCTTACAGGTAACAATTAATGTGAGATTAATCTCTCTATGGTACACCGCAGTAAAAACATTTGGTATAGATTTGATTTAGCAGATGCACAATCTTTCTTTGTGTTCTAGAGCCTGTATCTATTCTCTTGGTGTCAAATTGAATGAATATTGGTAAGTTTTGGGGCTGTGGTGCAGTTTTTATCTTGTGTTGTATACTGTATCATAATTAATTCTGGCAACTCAAGACACTTCATGAAGTCATCACTTCATTGAGTCAACACTTCTTGTGGTATTAAATCTAGCAGTGCTAACAGCCATTGAGTATTTCACTCTTGCTTTCACTCTTGAAAGCAATACAACTGCTGAGCTATGTATGCTCTTGGCTGCATGCATCCTTACTTAGTTGTGACAGTCAACTCCTGTGTGTTTTTTAACTTAAAGCTTTTGTGTATTTTGTTTCCAAGGAACGAGAAGAAAGGGCCTGTGAAGTCATCAACTAACAGTGTCATTGATCAGACAATTCCTGAACCACAGGAAGTACAGTGAGTAAAATTGGATTTACATCCTTCATTTACCCTCATCATCCTTCATTTACCCTTACCATCCTTTATTTACCCCATCATCCTCTATTAACCCCTATTATCCTTCATTCACCCCTGCCATCCTTAACTCACCCCTGCCATCCTTAACTCATCCCTACCATCCTTAACTCACTCCTGCCATCCTTAACTCGCCCCAGCCATCCTGGACTCACCCCTTTCATCCCTACATCATTCAACCACTGTCATTCCAAGCAACATCATTTTATTAGATCGATACCTGACCAAACCTGGGCACAGTGTGATGAACCATCGTGTCTGAAATGGCGTAAACTACCTGATGGTATTCACCCAGACTCTTTGCCTGACAAATGGTTTTGCCACATGAACCCTGACCCCAACTTCAAGTCATGTGACGTTCCCGAGGAGAAAGACGATGATCAGAGCAACATAACACCTTACGCCAAAGTCCAGAAAAAACGACTGTAAGTCGAAATGATCTGGTTATGATATGTGTCTGTGTCCAACCTGTGTAACGATTCTAGCAGTTTCAAAATTTGGAGTCTTTCATAGTTTCATCGCTTTTATAGTTTTATAAAAGGATTGTAAGTCGAAATTACTTGGTGATGTTTGGGATTGAAATAAGTTGACAAGGACGTGTGCAGATATATTATAGTTTTATCAACCTTTTAACTAATAATACTTCTTCACTGAGGAAAAACGTAAAGGCTGGTGTAGTTCAACCATTGCCTAGTGATTTTGGTACGAGAAATAAGAGTTAAAGACACTGGAAGATAAAAACCGTTCATCTGAACCTCTCGTGTTTAGACACATTAGTGCATGGCATTACAGTAACAATTAAATGAAGTGTTTCTGAAATTTTAGTGTAAAAGAAATGGAAGAGAAGCAAAGAAGAGAAAAGGTAAAACGGATCAAAGCAACTTATTTGATGCTATGAAATTTGGCATAACGATTTTAACACTCGTGTTAAACACTTGAGTACAGTTTGTGTGAACCTTGAAGAAAATCCTGATGAACTATCCTTTCAAATGAACAATATGTCTGAAGTACGTGCCTCAAATACTTCACTTTTTCGTTTCAGGCTGCAAAAATAGCTGAGCAACGAGAACAAGAACAAAAGGTCAATATGTGTCTTATTATGTTGTAATAAACACATTCATTTAATTTCTTTTAATTAGTTTGTTTTCATCACGTAGTGCTGGAAAATAGTTAAGATAAAAAATGTTCTTAATTTCGAGTGGAAAAGAGTTACAGTTCATTATATCGAACATCTTTTATCGTCGCCTTTTTTCGTTGCATGTTGAGATACCAGACCAAAAATGGCAAATTTAGACTTTTGTATAAGAAAGTCCTCCATATTTTGAAGTATTTCTTCGTGTTCTTCAGACAAAGATCTTGGAGGAACGTGAAAAGAGTCTCAAGAGAAAAGAAGAACTGATAAAGCAGTAAGAATTAACACGTCTTCTTCACTTGATCAAAGTTATAGTTCGTGGACATATGTATGAACAATCTTGGGGTTGTTTAAAATCAACGCGGTTCTAAAAATTTCCTCTCTGATTTACAGGCAATTGACCAAACTTCAAGCGAATATTCAAGTAAGTCTTCATCTGGTATTTTTTCGACCTTCAAGTAGCTACAATGGATGTTCCCTCCCGACAATGGTACCAGATTAAAACGACTATTCATGTAGTTACTAACAATAGCGACGATTTTATTAAATATCTTTTTAAAATTTGTTTTAGATCGTCAAAACTGAAAGTTTACCAACGGCACAAGTTGCGCCTAGACCTACGACGGTACATATATATATATATATTATCTTATCCTAATATTTCATCCAAATCCTTGCTAATTTTCAGCAACCTTTTTGTTTGTTCATTTTGATTTTATTTTCACTTCCCTAGAAAATTTCAAATGCAGTTACTCCAACCGCAAAACCGTCACCAAGACAAATAGGCAGTCAGTTAGCGGCTCGCATCAGCCAATCACAGGCCCGTACGCCGCAAACTAGCCAATCAACACGAAGCCCGGCAAAGCTGACGTCACCCCCTGTTACGCCACTGGGGCGTCCCAGCTGCCAATCCAACCAGACGCCTAGACCTTTGGTAGGTGGTCAATTGGCAACAAAACATGTATTGACGAACCAATCAACGAGGGCTATTGCTTCAAGTAGCCAATCACCGTCGAGCACAGCCAACAACCAATCACTGACTAATAAAGCGAAGCCATTGAAACAAAATATTACTTTGCTGGCACGAAAACCTGCGAATATGCAAGCACTAACGAACCTGGCCTCCAAGGGCTTGACTCCAAAGGCGGGTGTCACGTTCAAAATGGTAAAAGCCCCGAACGGCACTACGTACCTAGTACAGGAGAAGAAACCCCCAGGAACGACAACCTCTACCGGCACAAAACCCACCCCAACTGTAGTAAGGCAAAGTGGAACAACTTTGGCTGCGGTAATTTGTTAATACAGTACAATTTACATTAATTTAAGATTTTAAATTGTTTTTAAACGCTGGTCTTTTACAACAGGAGGAAACCTCAACTAAACTAACTTCATTTATACTGGATAGCTTTATCAGTTCTAAACTGTTCTTCCTAGAGGTCCAGCAAGAATCATCTCTTATTGATCCAGTGTTACTACAGGAGGAAACCTAAACTAAACTAACTTTATTTATACTTGATAGCTCTATCAGTTCTAAACTGTTCTTCCTAGAGGTCCAGTAAGAATCATCTCTTATTGATCCAGTGTTACTACAGGAGGAAACCTAAACTAAACTAACTTTATTTATACTGGATAGCTCTATCAGTTCTAAACTGTTCTTCCTAGAGGTCCAGTAAGAATCATCTCTTATTGATCCAGTGTTACTACAGGAAGAAACCTGAACTAAACTAACTTTATTTATACTGAATAGCTCAGCAAGGATAATTTAATATACTGGATGATCCAATTTCATTTCTTATTCGAAATTCTTTTTTCTTAAAAAGATTTCGGCTTTGAACACAAAGTCACCTACTGGGACAACGACAAGCCAAGTGAAGCCTATCGCGCCAACTAAACATGCAGTAATATCCTCTCCAAACTCTAATGTTGATATCAAACCACGGCTTAACGTTCTTCCCAAGCCACAGCAGGTCCCGATAACAAAAGAAGCTGTTGGAACACCGAAACCAGTTTCTCTCGCGCGAAATGCAACAAAAAGTGTGGCAAAAAGCCCTGTGGTGAGCTTCCAATTCATCTTGTGAAATACGGTAGTGGTTGGAAGTATTTCTTCGATTATCTCCCTTTATCTCCCTTTAGTGCAGTGTATAGTATTATTCCTGTGAATCCCGTTCGATTCCATGATTAAACACTCAATGAGTCCCGTATATTCCCATGATGATGCTTAAAGGTCCTATATGATCCCATACTGCTCCTCAGTAAAGTCAAGAAAGAGCTTTTACATGTCGATTCCCAAAATGAAGGTTTACATTTTTGTGTTCTTTTTTCCACAGACTGCTGACGTGAAACCGTCCTTCTCTTTGGCAGCGACGGCATATTCAGAAATCACTGGCAACACCAGTACCACGCCACAGGAAGTGAGAAAGTACGTTTTCCTGAGCATTTTCATCTCACTTTCCAGTATTAATTTCCCGAAATCAATGCTTCAATAGCCCGATTCATACTAGAGACGGATCATCCGTCAGATCACTCGTCAGAGTATAAACACACGACAAGCTATCTAGACGAACTGCATGTGTGTAGACGAATGTGTTAAGCGAAACAGAATGGTGCGTTTGAAAAGTGCAGGGAAATTGGAAATTATTTATGTGGTAAAAAGAGTGCACAAGACTTATGATGTTGAAGGTTTATGATGAATTTTTCGTACTTCTTTTATCCGTATTTATACTAACAGCCGTGGACGAACTACGCATTCAAATTTGTCTAAACCATTCAAATTCTAAATAGACAACTTTGCGGATAATTCGTGTCGACGGATCATCCGTCTGTTTGCCCGTGTTTACACCCAGACGAGCTAGAAGACGAACTATCATTAGCTTTCCCAAGTTCGTCCAGACGGATGATCTGTTTCTGGTATAAATTATTGTCATAATTTATCATCATGCATAATCATCCGTCTCTAGTTTAACACGGGCCAATGCGTCTTTTCTTACAGCATTCTAGGAAATGGTATCAAACGAGAAGCTCCAGAGAATGCGGTCAGTCCCATTCCCTCTAAAGTTCCCCGGAGAAAGTCCGAAGCCGCGGACGTCATAGTTATCGATTCTCTTCCTTCGACGGAAACACAGCGGCGGGAAAAATCGCCTTCGGAGAGCGCCGCCGAAAAACGAGCCAAAGAACTCGCAGATCGAGTTAAAAGCCTCGAAACTGTGCTGTCGAAGCTCAAGAGCGATGGAAAAGATCAAATGGAAAAGCTGGCGATGCAGTTGAGCGAAAAATCTGCTCAACTGGCGAAGAAAGACAGTGAAATGAAGGATAAGACGGACGAGATACAGACAAAAACGCGAGAGTTGAATGAGAAATCGAAACAGTTGAAACTACTACGCGGTAATGTTTGCAAGCTATTGCAAGTGCTTGTCCCAGAGATTGATGTTTTATCTGACACGGATGAGGCAAAAGTCGACGATTTATTGAAACAGGTTTTAGATGCAAATAAGTAGTGGATTCGGGATATTCAGGGTTTTTTTGGGTTGCAGCAGTTCTATTGCGTGAACTGGGGGATATTCAGATTTCTGTTGGAAAACACCGATCCCCATTATGTTGGATGAATTCATGTTGTTTATAATGTTAAAAGCACTGTTACACTATGCAACTTTCCTTGCAACTTGCAATGCAGGTATCATTTTGAGAGATGCTAATTTGTAAAGAGTGCATGTTCGAAATGCTAGGAAAACGTTAGCGGATCGTAAGAGATGTTCGTGTTTGGCAACTTCAGATGCTTCAAGAGTAGAATTGCATCGCAAGTTGCAAGGAAAGTTGCATAGTGTAACACTGCCCGACGACTCGTTTTCCCAGTTAAAACGTAGGCAGCGATCTTACTAAAGCAAGTAAGTGTTTCAGGAAATTGATGGTGTAAATCCTCGCATTTGATCGAAGCACATCAAATACCAAACATACGCACTGCAAAAATACCAAAACGTTTATATTTAAAATCATCGTTCAAAAAATTGTTGTCTTTTTTGGTCTGTGCATGCAATATGAACCGAATAATTTGTGTACATTATTTATTATAATATATTGTGGCGTATATATTTAATATGTATAATATATAAAAAAACAAAGTAATCCTAACGAAAATCGTATGTCGATGTATTCACTTTTTTTAATGTGCAGTTTGTTGACACCGAAACAAATTTGAGTATAAATAGAACAGGGGCCGGTTGTATCAAGCCCGTTTAGCTTAAACGGTGGATAAGTTCAAAACAGAAAGCAAGTCTATCGTTTTATTTAACAGGCAAACTAAATGTTTTTTACCTTAATACAAAGATACTGTTTAAAACTACATATTCAGTGCATAATATTCACATTGACTCATTCAAGAGAGTTGTAAGAGTGTTATTTGATTTTGACTTATCCACCGTTTAAGCTAAACGGGCTTGATACAACCGGCCCCAGGTGGACATTTACGTCGCCAAAAAAGGGTGGGGCTATTTCATGGAGGATTGGAAACTTTTTCACTAAAGGTTTTGGGGTAGTAAACAATATGTTTGGATTTGCGGTATTTCTTTCACTCACAACCGTTCAAGAAAAGCTGTGAGACTCGGTCACAGCGAAGGACTCGCGAGTGGTAAGTCGATGGTTCGAATCTGATAAGAAATGTTTTTCGTACTGATCTAAAAAAATATTAAAATTAATGAATGGCAAGCCTTAGTCGCCTTGTAGCCTAGTTGACATTGCTTTTGCGAATTGTAGAGCGGTCGATGGTTCGAATCCGGGAAAAGACAAATGTTTTTCATTTTATCCTTCGAGAAAAGGGTAAAGTAAAATAAATAACCACCGCCTTTCAACACAAACTCCGCTGTAAGGCATCAGCTCCGAATAAAATACGCCATCAGTGGTAAAATACGCTGTAAGCTATCAGTGATAAAATACGCTGTAAGTCATCAGTGATAAAATACGCTGTAAGGCATCAGTAATAAAATACGCTGTAAGGCATCAGTGGTAAAATACGCTGTAAAGCACCAGTGATAAAATACGCTGTAAGGCATCAGTAATAAAATACGCTGTAAGGCATCAGTGATAAAATACGCTGTAAGGCATCAGTGAAAAAATACGCTGTAAGGCATCAGTAATAAAATACGCTGTAAGGCATCAGTGGTAAAATACGCTGTAAAGCATCAGTGATAAAATACGCTGTAAGGCATCAGTGATAAAATACGCTGTAAGGCATCAGTGATAAAATACGCTGTAAGGAATCAGTGATAAAATACGCTGTAAGGCATCAGTGATAAAATACGCTGTAAGGCATCAGTGATAAAATACGCTGTAAGGAATCAGTGATAAAATACGCTGTAAGGAATCAGTGATAAAATACGCTGTAAGGCATCAGTGATAAAATACGCTGTAAGGCATCAGTGATAAAATACGCTGTAAGGAATCAGTGATAAAATACGCTGTAAGGAATCAGTGATAAAATACGCTGTAAGGCATCAGTGATAAAATACGCTGTAAGGCATCAGTGATAAAATACGCTGTAAGGAATCAGTGATAAAATACGCTGTAAGGCATCAGTGATAAAATACGCTGTAAGTCATCAGTGATAAAATACGCTGTAAGCTATCAGTGATAAAATACGCTGTAAGTCATCAGTGATAAAATACCCTGTAAGCTATCAGTGATAAAATACGCTGTAAGTCATCAGTGATAAAATACGCTGTAAGCTATCAGTGATAAAATACGCTGTAAGTCATCAGTGATAAAATACGCTGTAAGCCATCAGTGATAAAATACGCAGTAAGGCATCAGTGATAAAATACGCTGTAAGTCATCAGTGATAAAATACGCTGTAAGTCATCAGTGATAAAATACGCTGTAAGTCATCAGTGATAAAATACGCTGTAAGTCATCAGTGATAAAATACGCTGTAAGTCATCAGTGATAAAATACGCTGTAAGGCATCAGTGATAAAATACGCTGTAAGGCATCAGTGATAAAATACGCTGTAAGGCATCAGTGATAAAATACGAATTAAAAATGCAAAACAATTGCACCGTAACCATTAGCCCTCATATGAATGGTTGATATGCATTGCCTTCTTTTTGCATTTCTTTCGATCAATAACTGCTGTGGTAAGCACTGTTCTCAATTTAGTTTGCTTGTTGAAAAAAACGACAGACTTTGCTTTCTGCTTTGAACTTATCCGCCGTTTAAGCTAAACGGGCTTGATACAACCGGCCCCTGGTTCTTAAGACAATAATCTCGCAAACTGAGAGAGTTGGTTCAAATGTTCTTCATTCACTTCATTTCTCGCGCAGTCGCAGTGAGCGAGTAATAATCCCATAATCACCACATTAGGCAATGTTATATATAGTAAGCCTGCCACTGATGGGGTGACTGGAGTTATAAACACTGCGTTTAGCAATATTCCATCTTTTGCATAAAAAAGAAAAAGGTGAAATAAAAAGTCTTGAGTCTTGACTTTTGCGACCAGCACTGATGGACCCCGTTTGATAAGTTGTTGGTGCGATATTCCATCTTTTCCTGTCGAAGCAAAGACCAAAACCAATAAAAAACTTTCGTCTTTCACCATCAGCAGTGGTGGCCGAGAAGGTTAGGACAGTGGTTAGTCCATAGGGGGTGGTTCAAGCCCTTGCAGTGCCTAAAAATAATTTGCGACTTCTTAATTAACTTCAAAGTCTTCACCACCAGCACTGATAGCCAAATATTAATTTAAATGTCTCAAGTCGAAGAAAGGATAAATTAAAACAAAAAACGTTCATCTTGCACCACCAGCAGCGGTGGCCGAGTGGGTTAGAACAGTGGTTAGTCCATAGGCGGTGGGTGGTTCAAGCCTTTGCAGTGTCAAAAATTAAGTTGCAAATTCTTATTTAATTTCAAAGACTTGTAAGGATAAGGTGAAAAAATTCTAAGTCTAAAAAATTCTAAGTCTCACCACCAGCACTGATAGCCGGTGGTGAGACTTAGAAAATTTAAAAAGTCTTAAGTCGAAGAAACGATTAGGTAAAATAAAAAACAATCGTCTTTCACCACCAGCAGAGGTGGCTGAGATGGTTAGGACTGTGGTTAGTCCGTAAGCGGTGGTGGGTTCAAGCCCTTGCAGTGTCAAAACATGAGTTTCAAAGACTTGGAAAATTTAAATAGTCTTAAGACGAAGAAAGGATTAAGTAAAATAAAAAACTGCCGTCTTTCACCACCAGCAGCGGTGGCCGAGTTGGTTAGGACAGTGGTTAGTCCATAAACGGTGGAGGTTCAAACCCTTGCAGTGTCAAAACATGAGTTTCAAAAATTGGAAATTGGGAAAAAACACTGGAAAAAAAAAAGGATAATTGGATGTTTCAAAAAATTGGAAGCTTCAAAAAAAAGGAAAAAAGTCAAAGTCAAAAAAAAATTGGACAATTAAAAAAAACCGGAATTTCAATAGAAATCGGAATTTCAAAAAAAAATTCGAAGTTTCAAAACGAAAGAAAAAAAATTCGGAATTTCAAAAAAAATGGAAGTTTCAAATAGAGAAAAAGTAATCAAAGTAAAAAAAAATTCGACATTTGAAAAAATGCGAAGTTTCATAACAAATTCGGAATTTCCAAAAAAAAATGGAAGTTTCAAAAAAAGAGAAAAAAAAATTCATTCAAAACAAAATTGAAAGTCGGAAAATTAAAGTCCAAAAACAATGCAAGGGCTTGAACAAGGCGGAGAGGAACAGAGGGGAGAGAGAGGAGGGGAGAGAGAGGAGGGGAGAGAGAGGAAGGGAGAGAGAGGAGGGGAGAGAGAGGAGGGGAGAGAGAGGAGGGGAGAGAGAGGAGGGGAGAGAGGAGGGAGAGAGGAGGGGAGAGAGGAGGGGAGAGAGGAGGGGAGAGAGGAGGGGAGGAGGAGGGGAGAGAGGAGGGGAGAGAGGAGGGGAGAGAGGAGGGGAGAGAGGAGGGGAGAGAGGAGGGGAGAGCACCCGCTCTCTCCCCTCCTCTCTCTCTCTCCCCTCTTTTCCCTCTCCCTCTCTCCCCCTCTCTCCCCCCTCTCTCCCCTCTCTCCCCCTCTCTCCCCCTCTCTCCCCCTCTCTCCCCCTCCCCTCTCCTCCCCTCTCTCCCCCTCTCTCCCCTCTCCCTCCTCTCCCTCCCCTCCCCTCCTCTCCTTCTCCTCCTCTCCTTCTCCTCCTCTCCTTTCCCTCTCCTTTCTCCTCCTCTCCTTTCCCTCCTCTCCTTTCCCTCCTCTCCTTCCTCCCTCCTTCCTTCTCCTTCTCTCTCTCTTTCCCCTCCTCTCCTTCCCCTTTTCTCCTTCCCCTCCTCTCCTCTCCTCTCCTCTCCTTCCCCTCCTCTCCTCTCCTTCCCCTCCTCTCCTTCCCCTCTCTTCTCCCCTCCCCTCCTCTCCTTCTCCTCCTCTCCTTTCCCTCCTCTCCTTCCCCTCCTCTCCTCTCCTTCCCCTCCTCTCCTCTCCTTCCCCTCCTCTCCTCTCCTTCCCCTCCTCTCCTCTCCTTCCCCTCCTCTCCTTCCCCTCCTTGTTTGGAGGGGAGAGAGAGGAGGGGAAACTATCCAATTTTTTTTTGACTTTGAATTTTCTTTCTCATTTCGAAACTTCCAATTTTTTTGAAATTTCGATTTTTTGGGGATTCCGAATTTTTTTTTCCAACTTCCAATTGTTTTTTGAAACTTCTAATTTTGTTTTCATTTTTCAATCTTTAATTGTTTTTTGAAGTTTTTTGTTCTTCGAGTCTTTGAAATTTCTTCCAATTATTCTTTTCATGCAACTCATGTTTTGACACTGCAAGGGCTTGAACCCACCACCGCTTATGGACTAACCACTGTCCTAACCAACTCGGCCACCGCTGCTGGTGGTGAAAGACGACAGTTTTTTATTTTACTTTATCCTTTCTTCGTCTTAAGACTTTTTAAATTTTCCAAGTGTTTGAACTCATTTTTTGACACTGCAAGGGCTTGAACCCACCACCGCTTATGGACTAACCACTGTCCTAAACAACTCGGCCACCGCTGCTGGTGGTGAAAGACGATTGTTTTTTATTTTACCTAATCGTTTCTTCGATTTAAGACTTTTTAAATTTTCTAAGTCTCACCACCGGCTATCAGTGCTGGTGGTGAGACTTACAATTTTTTAGACTTAGAATTTTTACCTTATCCTTACAAGTCTTTGAAATTAAATAAGAATTTGCAACTTAACTTTTGACACTGCAAGGGTTTGAACCACCCACCGCCTATGGACTAACCACTCTCCTAACCAACTCGGCCACCGCTGCTGGTGGTGAAAGGCGGCAGTTTTTTATTTTACTTAATCATTTCTTCGACTTAAGACTTTTTAATTTTTCTAAGTCTTTGACCACCGGCTATCATTGCGCTGTATTCTGCTCACGATTAATTAGATACATCGCGCTGTATTCTGCTCACGATTAATTAGATACATCGCGCTGTATTCTGCTGACGATTTGATGTGTTTCTCTGGCTAAAGGTTGATTAAGCCTTTAAGCAATCCTCGCTTAGACGAACAACTTACGTTATGATCAATAGTGTGACTCCAGGACATTAAAAATTCTATTTTATCTTTACGTTCGAACTCGTCTTGACAACTGGCTGTTGAGATATACCTAAAACGAAGGTAACGACTTAAATCAAATCAAATCTATGACTATGATTGGGGGAGAATCGGAAACCAGGCGTTGACTGCGCAAGCCCGTCAATATATTTGCGCACGCGCATCACTTGTTTGCCCACGTCCGTCAATCGTATGCGGGCCTCATACTTTAAACAAAGTAAGATAACACGAACTAAGGGCGGCTTTCCACTGTCGTTTTTTAAGCTTCAAATCTTTTAAATTATACTTTTAAAATCGACGATTGAATAGATAGATCGGGCTTGATTCTGCTGAGAATTTGGTGTGTTTTTCTGGCTTATGATTAATTTTATAACAACTTAAAAAACGCGGCAGCGGAAATCTGCTCTCAAGCAATCTTTGCTTAGACGAACAACTTACATTATGATCAATACAGTGATCACTCTAAAACTTGTTTAAAAATTTATTTTATCTTCACGTTCGTCTTGATAACTGGCTGTTGAGGTAAATCTAAAACGAAAAGAACAAGTTTAAAATGATAAAGTCTACGACTGCACTAATCTACGGGGAGGGGAGAGGGGGGCACCCTCTGCAATATGATACACCCCCAGATAAAAGCCCGCCAAACAAGGCCCCCAAGTCCTATCTATCAGGGGTCGGTTGTATCAAGCCCGTTTAGCTTAAACGGTGGATAAGTCAAAATTATATAACACTCATACATCTCTCTTGAATTAATCAATGTGGATATTATGCACTGAAGATGTAGTTGTAAACAGTATTTTTGCATTAAGGTAAAAAACATTTAGTTTGCTTGTTGAATACAACAATAGACTTGCTTTCTATTTTGAACTTAACCACCGTTTAAGCTAAACGGCCTTGATACAACCGGCCCCAGAGTCCTATCTATCAGGGACCTAATCTGTTTGGGCAAATTTTCCCGTCTTCGTATTAAAGCAAGCTTATATAAATATTTTCGTTTGTAATGTGGTTTGTATGATTGTGGGAGAATGGGAATCAATGCATTGACTGCGCATGCTCGGCATGCTCCGATACTTCTAGTTAAGAACGAGACTTGGCTATTTGGTTTATTTCATCAGGGTAAGAATGATTTTTATAAATACTTAAAAAACGTTAATACAGGAATGGAAATACGCCCTTGCACGAACAACTTACGTTATGATCGATACACTGTGAGCTCAGTGACTTTAAAACGTTCAAAAAATTCTTTCCATCTTTGGGTTCATCTTAATAACTAGCTGTTGAGTTAAACCTGGAGAATTAGACATTTAATTTGTCCAATCTATGGCTGCGCTTATCTACGGGAGGGGGTGGCTTGAATCGACCTGAAAATAAAGAAAAAGAACACTTACAACAAGTAAACGTGAATTTTTTTTAACTTCCAATTATTTTTTCAGCCAATTTCTCAAGCCAATTTTTTTTTTTACATTGCCAGGGATCGAACCACCACCCTTGGACTTAAGAGACCAATTCCTTAACCACTGGGCCACCACATCAACTGGTGAAAAGTTATAGTTCTTTACTTCACAATGCCATTAACTGACTCAAAGGAAAAACAACGTCTTCGATACTAAGTCAGTCTCTTGTTCCAGTTGAGATTAACGTCGTTTATCGAAATTTGCGAAGCTCTTCCCAAAAGAAAAAATAGTAAACTTACCACGAGTTCACTTGGCTGCGATGTTCAATAAAACCCGAAAAGGTTAGACCGTTAAAGTGGGAGACAAACAACAGAACTCACGCTGAAAAAACTGTAATAAGATTATTGGGACGAAGAATTGTGACGTTTACTTACATTTTAATCAATAACTACTGTGCAAATATACAGAGTATCAACATTGATATTTATTGTATAATATAGGAAACAAACAACACGATGCTTTGCCATTCTAGCCTGAAATCGTGTTTACAAACTATCAATATAATGGTTAAATGCGTTATTCAAATATAGATTCATTTTGTTTTTAAAAACGACTCTATGTTCAAACACGGTGTGATATTTACCAAATCATATCATCAAGGCCTGTCATATTTCGCTACAGATTGAATCGCAAACGATTCAGAATTGCATACAAGATGTTCTGGACAACACAGGCTAAACATGAAGCACTTTTTCTGCAGTGGAGTATAACTCAAGAGTATTATTCCTGATGAACAGATTTCATCTTCTTCATCCAACCGTCCTGAAAGCAGTTGTACTGATGCAGAAGATCCTTCACTGGACTGTTAATTTCCTCAAATGAACCGCCCCAATGCCGTTCGGTCACGAGGAATGTGGACGTGGTCGACCTATCTAAGAATTCATGAAACAACATGACACATGAAATTTAAACGCTGGGTGAGAGATGATCCTTTACTGGAACTGATAGAACTATCCAGTATAAATAAAGTTAGTTTAAGTTTAGGTTTCCTTCTGTAGTAACACTGGATCAATAAGAGATGGTCCTTACTACACCTCTAGGAAGAACAGTTTAGAACTGATAGAAATATTCAGTATAAATAAAGTTAATTCAGTTTAGGTTTCTTCCTGTAGTAACACTGGATCAATAAGAGATGATCCTTACTGGACCTCTAGGAAGTTAGTTAAATTTAGATTTCCTCCTGTAGTAACACTGGCAACTAAATGCAGTAACTACCCATGTCTTATTGTAAAAAAGAAAGACCGTCTTTAGGTCTAGATTATTGACCATATCTATTAGCAGAAATTATTTTCCTACTTTTGATTTTTAGATACACTTCCTTCGCAAATTGTAAAAACAAGCCAATAAAGAGGATTGAAAAAACAAAAATGGCGCCATATTTACGAAGATCGTCACTCAATTTATCTTTGTGATACAATTTTTCTGCCTCTTTCTGGCGTAAATTTTCGTGATCCTTTGGATTCTGGAAAGATGAAAAAATATAAATTACTAAGATTATAAAACGTTAAAAAAATTGCAAAACAAAAAGGTAACAGCCAGTATTCGAACCCAGGCATCCCGCATAAGTACAAACCCTCTGAATACTGGACTGCTATGCATTGCTGTAAAGCTGACACACACCGGACGCGATCCCCGCCAACGCGACGCGATTTTTACGATTTTTTACGTTTTCGAAAGCCGTGATATGCTTGGTAATTGCCGATTGACGGTACATTTTGATTGGTCTGGTACGCCGGCATATCTCGCAAAATGTTCTTTCAGAATTAAATTTATTTGCTTCTTAAAATGAAAAATTCGTGTTAGCAAATCGCGTTCAGTACGTGTGTGTGTGGGTTTTAACGTTTATTGGTCAGTTACAGTCGCGCAAATGAACAAGGTGACCGACCATCGGCGATGTGCCCGATTTTATATGGAAAAAATTAGCAGCGGTTACAACAGGTAGATCTGTGGTGCCCGCATGCCCGCAGCTACTTGATTTACCCTGTTAACTTCAAAGCTTTTGCTGAACATATCGAACACCTCCTGAGGATGATCTTTGAGGTATTTTCGAATGCACTTTTGCAGTCTCTCTGAGCCCCGTCCTAATCGTATACCATACGTGATTGGATGATCCATCATGCGGTCCACGCGATAGTTATATTCGGCAAGCGTCTTTCCAAACAGATTCGCTACATAGTTGTCGATAAATATTCCATCAACTTCATCTTTGGTTAGCGCTGCGAACACCCCAATATTTGATCGGAAATCTATATTAGATATATTCTCAGTTGAAATTCCATCATCGTTAATAGCCACAAGCGTCTATCATAACAGGCTAACTTCTGATGTCTCAAGTGGTCGTAGTTTAATCAAGTCTTAGGACTAAAGTTTGATCAAGTCTTAGGACTGAATGAAGTTTGATCAAGTCTTAGGACTGGATGAAGTTTGATCAAGTCTTAGGACTGGATGAAGTTTGATCAAGTCTTAAGACTGGATGAAGTTTAATCAAGTCTTAGGACTGGATGAAGTTTGATCAAGTCTTAGGACTGGATGAAGTTTGATCAAGTCTTAGGACTGGATAAAGTTTAATCAAGTCTTAGGACTGGATGAAGTTTGATCAAGTCTTAGGACTGGATGAAGTTTGATCAAGTCTTAGGACTGGATGAATTTGATCAAGTCTTAGGACTGGATGAAGTTTGATCAAGTCTTAGGATTGGATGAAGTTTGATCAAGTCTTAGGACTGGATGAAGTTTGATCAAGTCTTAGGACTGGATGAAGTTTGATCAAGTCTTAGAACTGGATGAAGTTTGATCAAGTCTTAGGACTGGATGGAGTCTGATCAAGTCTTAGGACTGGATAAAGTTTGATCAAGTCTTAGGACTGGATAAAGTTTGATCAAGTCTTAGAACTGGATGAAGTTTGATCAAGTCTTATGACTGGATGAAGTTTGATCAAGTCTTAGGACTGGATGAAGTTTTATCAAGTCTTAGAACTGGATGAAGTTTGATCAAGTCTTACGACTGGATGAAGTTCGATCAAGTCTTAGAACTGGTTGAAATTTGATAGAAAACTGTCAACTATATGAAAGCTTGCTTCAGAACACGACAACATACCGCGCATATCAGCATTCAGGCTCAGTCCAAACATATATTCCTTGCTACCAGTAACTGCACCAATCTAAATACAATAAGCAAATCGTCAGCCAACTAAACTGTACTTTTCACTGAGTTGAGTTGCTTTTCCTTCACTACATTAAAAGTAAAATTTCCAATAATAAAAAAAAATCAGAACCAGCAGGAATACGTTTTTACCAGCTGCGTTAAATCAGTAAGGAATGGATAGATCATCTTCGAAATAAACCTACTTTGGCTCCGTGAATATTAAAATGAACTTTAGTCGACGCGTTAAAGATGGTGATGATTATGCCAGAGAGGATTGAGATGATAACAACACCAAATATTATCCAAAAAATACCAAAGAAACGACCAAACAATGATTTTGGAGTTCGATCACCATAACTAGGAATGGAATGGGAGCGAAATATTTAAGTCAAGTGAATCAGACGTCTGTTTAACGCGAAAATAACCGACTTACTTACCCAACGGTTGTCATGGTGATAAAAGCCCACCAAAATCCCTCCAATGCTCCTTGGAGGAATGGTTTTGGAAATTGCTCAGCATTTACAGCACGATCCTGTGACAATTAACAATTCGAATAAATATTTTTTTAGCAAAATCTTTGAAAAGTTTTGGTCACTTACCAAGCACCACATAACAATGCCAGCTGATCCCGCGAGCAGTACAACAAAGAGAAACAACGGCCAAACTTTAAAGATTGTCGTGGCTAAAAAATAGGTTGGACGAGCTTCCTTGAAGTTCGATGGGACCACCAAGGCCACGCTTGGCGCTTGAATGATAGGGATGAAACCGTTGCTTTTGTACGTTGTATCATCCATACTTTCCCCGTACAACGGAAATGAAAAGTCGTGGTCAACATCAGGGGGCTTCACCTTATCGGGGACATATTGCTCCGTCTGCAACTTTCCAAACTGAATATTCGACTTAGCATGACAACAAGTTGGGATGGCTTTTTTTAGAATTTCCGGGAAAAACCCGTAAAATATAATGATAGGTTCAACATAAATCATCTTTTTGGTTCTAAAACAGATATATAACGTTGTTTGTGGCTTTTAACACTGCAAGGTTAACCTGACTTTCTTCCACTGCAAGGTTAACCTCAATGTCTTTCCTTTTTAATTCTCTTACTCTATATATATATATATATATATATATATATATATATATATATATATATATATATATATATATATATATATATATTCCCCTCTCATTAACCCCCTATATCAAACGGCTTCATTTGTTACATTTCACAATTTTCACCCCTCTTCCCCACCTGTTCTCACCTTTACTATCATAATCGCTCTCCGTCCTCCCCTTCCTCCATCGTCTCCGTCTCTCCCTCTATCTACATGTTACCCTTGCTCTCCTCCCCTTATCACCATTATAATTCCACTTTGTTCCCCTCTCTCCTCATTCTAACTTCACGCTACCATCTCCACCCCACCCCCCCCCCACATTATTCATCCTTGAGTTCATACTTGCACATTCTTACCCATTTTTGATGACGCTCCTTGGTGGAAACACAGGACGCCCGCTAAAACTCATATACGCATACGGAGCGAAGTCTAGGATAGCCGAGCTTAATGGTTGACCGCTTTCACATCTTTCGTCCGTACTATTAATGGCGGCGATTTTCCGGTAGCTGGAAAAGTCTAGACCCATGACGCCCGGAGCACTTTTGAGATTGGGGGGTCGCATTAAGTTGGACATAGGAATGACGATGCTCTCCGACATGTTTGCCTTCGTTTTTTTGGCGATAAAGAGAAACACACAGCTGACTTGAGGGATGTGCAGGGTAGCTAGGAGTAGCACGGTGTACGCGGTGATTGTTAGAGACATTCTTCCGTGTACAGCTACGAGATAAGTTTATACATTTTAGCGCCCTGCTTTATTTAGGGATATAGCTCTTTCGGTTCTGTACAGTATTTTCCCAAGTTTAATCAAGCCTAAATAATCTATGTCACACGATACCGTGCGCACCTTAACACCAATGCGATATTATCGGGATGATTTGGGATAACGTTAATTAACGATCCAGTAATAATTACTGTCCACTGAGAAAATATTACAATGATCCGGTGTTATTACACCAGTAAAGCTAAACTTAACTAAACCAACTTTATCTTTACTGGATAGCTCTATCAGTTCTAAACTGTTCTTCCTAGAGGTCCAGTAAGGATTACCTCTTATTGATCCAGAGTCACTACAGGAGGAAACCTAAACTAAACGTCTAACTTTATTTATACTGGATAGCTCTATCAGTTCTAAACTGTTCTTCCTAGAGATTCAGGAAGGATCATCTCATATTGATCCAATGTTACTACAAGAAGAAACCTAAACTAGACTAACTTTATTTATACTGGATAGCTCTATCAGTTCTAAACTGTTCTTCCTAGAGGTCCAGTAAGAATCATCTTCTATTGATCCAGTGTTACTACAAGAATGGAATGGAACCGCAGTCTAAGCTGTATAACATCACACGCAGTGATTTTTATTCTGACTACCTTGATTATTGGGTGATACTTTAAACTCAGCTCAAGGTGCTATTAACAGTTGATTAACATACACAGAGATATCCTACACACACGCGAAACATTGTACTTACTTCAATTCACCGAGAGTTAGTCGGCATTCACTGAATCAACATTTGCCTCGGCTCGAATCCTGTAATCGAAAGACGGTAAAATCGATTAGGAACCAAAAATATAAAGATTATAGTTTAAGGCATCACAAGTTTATCTCCTTACAAAAACGACCACAACAACAACGAACCGCAATTAAAATGGGCCGACTTTAAAACGGGACTTTCAGCAGGAAAAGTACGTTTATCACGAGCTTCAAGGCAGGCATATTCGCAACGGCATTGCTATTTGCTGCTTGCGTCAGATGTCGTATAGACATCGATATTGCATCTCATGGAACGAAGCATGCCCAACGGCAGATGTCCAAATATTCGGTGGAAATTATATATTGCAGCGTAGGTCAAACAGTGGACAAGGTAACTCAGTTCCCATTGGCAGATTTCATGTATTCTTAATTCGCTCCCCAATGTCGTTTCATTAGTTTTAATGAATCTAGCGGCATCACGACAATGAGCTGATCACGTTTCATACAAATGTATCAAAATTACTTCAAAGAATTGAGGAACTTTTTTCCTAAACAAACCATTTACAATTGTACGGAACGCGGCAATAAGCGTCCGTGTCCAGCAAGCGAGTGTTCTGTGCTTCATTATTTTATACTATTCACAATACAGACGTTATTAACATAACGAGCTTAAGGGAATAATATTATAAATTTTGCTTAAACAATTAAAAAAAAGCGAGCGAAAATCCTTCATGGGAAAAAAGGACGAACTTCACGCAACCTAGTTTTCGCTATCACCAAGTTCTCTTGAGAGACGAGCTCATTATTAAGGATCCGTTAATCTCATCTGCCGCTAAATACGATGTTGCAGATCATTTGCGAGGAAATTAATCAAAATTCACCACCCGTAACTGCTTGTTACCGTGTAGAAGCGAAGGCCAGAAGACTTTGGCTTTGGGATGGAGATTATACCAAATATGGACGTTTTTAATTTCGCCGTAGTTTTGCGAGATTGCAAACGATAAAATATATCTGCAATACCAGCCGGCAGACGCACAGAGATTTTGAACGATAAGACTTTAATACTTTTGTCAAGAAAGCGAACACCGACTCGATTGAAAGCAATCAAGTAATCTCCTTATATCTGCATATATCATTTATATCCCTTCTTAAGGGTCTGTTAATTATTAATTCCTCTTCCCGCATTTCACGGCCAAGGAGACCGGTATACAACTGGAGTGATACGGCACGGATGAGTCCTATTTACTCGGTTGCATGTAAGAAAATATTGTACGTATTTCAAGTCTCCTCCTGTGTGGATCAATAAGAGGCGGTCCCTACTCGACCACTAGAAAGAATGAGCTGAGTCTAGGTTTTCTCCTGCAACAACACTGGATTAATAATAGATGATCCTTAGCCCTAGCGGAGAATAATTTAGAACTGATAGAGCTATCCTGTAGAAACAAAGTTAGTTTAGTTTAGGTTTCCTCCTGTAGTAACACTGGATCAATAAGAGATGATCCTTACTGGACCTCTAGGAAGAACAGTTTAGAACTGATAGAGCTAGCTAGTATAAATAAAGTTAGTTTAATTGGGTTTAAATCTCCTCTGGTAGCAACACTGGATCAATAAGAGATGATCCTTGCTGGACTTCTAGGAAGAACAGTTTAGAACTGATAGAGCTATCCAGTATAAATAAAGTTAGTTTAGTTTAGGTTTCCTCCTGGATCAATAAGAGATGATCCTCACTGGACCTCTAGGAAGAACAGTTTAGAACTGATAGAGCTATCCAGTATAAGTTTAGTTAGGTTTCCTTCTGTAGTAACAATGCATGGATCAATAAATCGGTAAAAACAAACAACTCTTTGCAAAAGCTTAAATGTACTCTAACACTCAAGGTTTGGCCATCAACTTATTAACGTTTCTATCTATTCCATCAGGAAACCAGTCCTTGTACGAAGCCTTTTAAGGCAAGCTGTCAACATCTGCTCAGCGAGTCACTAGTTCAAGTATAGTACATGACATGTACAACAGAAGAACACAGAGTATCTAAGACCACAATGCAAACATCACTTCTATGACACACATTTCGTATCATTTCTTACCACAAAAATATGATATCGTTTGGACTTTTAGATAAGGCAGTTAATGGCATATTAAAATCGTTGTAAGGACCCCCACGGCCCGAGACAGCTGTTGTGCAAGGCAAACCGAATATGCGTAGATTTGCTGTGTAACGTTTTAAATCCTTTACAGGTTTCAACAAAAGCATAGGGGTCGCGTTTATGCGACGCTGTAGCACAGTCTATTAGTGAAGTGCGAGTGTTTTGCAAGCAAAACAAATAGTTCGTTTTAACAGCTAAGTAATTAAGGCCGCTAAAAATTATGGCACAGTAATGTATAGACTGTCTTTACGACTAACCTGCTGAGTTTTCTCGAGTCTTCGAGAATTGCCAAAATTTCTTTACCAATTAGCCAGAACACTGTAAAACAAGGCAACAGATAAATTGTTAGATGTGGAAGTTAAAAAGACGCAAGTGCGATGTTGCCCTGACCTTTGACAACCAAGCTCTGACTAATTGTCAAAACAGATCGCAGTAATTATCATGAAAAGAGCCCCTGTTGCACTTAGTAATTTTAATTAAAAGCCCCATTCAAAGTTGCTTGCAAGCCTGTGTCTGTTGTGTGGCGAAAGAACAATGTATAAAGCGTTGCGTACATCTCGTTATTTATATAAACAGAGTTTTTCCAGACCTGTCACCTGTTAGCGCAAAGCACAACTTTGTCGTTCGTGTACGAGTTAGTTGGGTGATAATAGTTTTAACGCTAACATTGCCGCCATGTATGAGGCGCTTAATGAGCCGCCCGGATTATAAAAGCATGTTTAACTGGTCCAAACAGGTTCCTGGCAAACACCGTTATAAAGCCTGTTTACATTTGCAATTTCTTCCGCAAGTTTTCGTCTGAATTCCTTCTTTTGATAGATGTTAAAGAGCGAGTAGTTATGGATGCTTTGATGTATCGGTGCGTTTACCTGAACATCCGTAACTTATCGACTCGTTCATATCTTCCAAAAGAAGGAAATTGCCATAATAATCAAAGCGAAAAGTGCAAAATTACAAGCGAAATATTACAAGTGCAAACAGATATGTGTTGAAGCCGACAAGCACCGGACGCGATCCGCCAACGCCATGCGATTTTACGAATTTTTCAGTTTTCAAAAGCGCATCATTTTGATGTTATAATATTCTTGAAAATCACCCAACGATAGTACATTTTGACATGTCTGTGGCCTATACATATAGCGCTGAAAATTTCCTTCCAGACTGATTAAATGTGTATTCGGTTTTTTAAGACTGAAAACTCCAGTGCGTCAGGGCCATTAAGGCGCTGTTACACTATGCAATTTTCCTTGCAACTTGCAATGCAATTATAATTTCGAGGGATGTTAATTAGTAAAGAGTGTTCGAAATGCTAAGAAAACGTTAGCAGATCGTGAGAAATGTTCGTATTTGTCAACTTTAGATGCCTCAGGAGTAGAATTGAATTGGAAGTTGCAAGGAAAGTTGCATAGTGTAACACTGCCTTTAAGCCTGATTCACAACACTAGCTCCTAAGAATCGGAGATCCATTGTATCATTTTCCGAAAGACAAAGCTTTTGCGCACCAGCGACCTCAGACAAAAAGAATCCGGCCCAGATTCTTAGGACAAGGGTGCAACAGGCTTAAAGCAAAACATGCAATGATAAGCTAAACAATGGCGACTTTCACCCATGGGTCTTACAAATAATGATCTATGCAATCAGCGCAGTATTCGTGTTAGCGAGGGGTGTACTTCGTGCTGCGGTGACGTAAGTTTGACCGCGGTGACCGTGGGATAGATTGTGGTGAAGGCTAACGACTCTTTTTGTCAAAACCCGAGCCAAAACCTTTTAAATAAATAAACTGCAGAACTACCTCGGACCAGAAATTTTCAACAAGCGTGCATTGTTTCCTCGAAACACGCGTGGGAACACAAATACACCTTCGCAGACGCAAACAACAGCAACACAAACGCAGCTTCGAGTTGGAACACGCAAGTCCCATGCATGATTGTGGAGGTCAATGGTAGGCAAAATTTGCTTCACCTCAATCAATTTATTCAGTCAATTGCAATGCTCGAATCTGTCCAAAAATCTCCCCGTTATTCCAGTTTCCCGGGTGTCCACCCCAAGGGAAAATGTTTATAAACACCTAACGAACTTTTAGAAGCATCCTTCTTGACTAAACCCGAGTCTTCAGCCATGTTTAAACGGTCAAAGTTTCCGTGATCACAGTTAAGATTGTCTCCAGGTAAATCCAAAAATTCTAAGCTTTAGAAAATGACAGAAACATTTGAGGGAACTTTGAAGTAGTGATGAACACTGTGAGTTCACCCTGATGTTATATAATATTTGTAAACATACGGTCAATAGGCAAAATTCCAGCTGTGCTCAGAAAACTTTTGACCGTATAACACGTAACGTATCTCAGGTTAGCAGCCAGAGACACTTTCAACCCATGATTAAATCAAATTCCTCATTTCATAAAACGTCTTGATAATTCGCCTCCCCTACCACACTTAACATACTTATAAGGTCTGTTCACACGATCCCAATTTTGTCGGCATTAACCCATTTTTGATCGATGTTTTATAGTCCGTTGTCTTGCAATGTATATGGGCAGCAAATCAACTTAAGGCAAAGCAGTGCTGCTCAACGATAAACCGTTTACATTTCATACGTCAGAAGTGAATTGCCTTTGGCAAAATTGATCGTTTGAACAGGCCTTAAGTAAAACACGCCCGCAAACACATACCTTAAAAGATTGTTTTGATGTGTCCTCGACGGGTGACCAAGAAACTTTATTATACAACAAAATCCTGTGTAAAATATCTCAAGAATACCACGGTTAATTAAGCACCCCTACATCTGTGGCTTGAGTGCAAAGTTAGTTCATTCTTGACAATAAAAAAACGGGGGGACACACGAAGCTCAAGAGATTGCAAAATTGCAGAATTAGTATCGTATCGCATTCTATGAAACACAGCTTCGACAAACACTGCGAAGCATAAATCGCTATTGAACAAAGCGAGGACGGTGTACACAGCTCCTAGTATAATTGAACTTGGACAAAGGAAATTATTACCCCAGCAGGGATTATTAAGTGTGTACATTCAATGATAGATTAACAAAGGTTTTCAAAAATCCACACATATCTGAGGCGACGGGAGTGACCGTCAATTTTAATCATGATATTCCCAAGAGGTTTACCACAATCACAACAACACAATATTATCGAGGAAGACGGACATGCATTATGAAACGAAGGGCGTTGTAGTGAAGGTGTTTGTGGTTGGAAACTTTGGAGGAAAATTTACGCATAATTTTTATCCTAACCAGGAGCAGCGGCGAGGAGTGCGTCTTCTTCGGACCCACTGCAAAAAATCGAACTTGAGACCCCGCGATTCAGGTACAGCGGTGTAACTGATTGAGAGGAAAAGGTCAGTTTTCTTTAGCTTAACCACAGACCCATGTGCATACGGACTGGAGTTATGCCACACCGAAATTTCAACCTAACGTCGCCAAACTTAGATGGGGTCCGAGTAACAATATGAAAATGAGATCTCTTTATGTGACTTTCTATATGCCTTCAGAATTCGTTTTCATTGTCATGACGCAAACCTCATCCAGGCCCTGGTTAGTACTACAGGACATTACTTATTTAAAAGGCCTAATATTGATACTATATTATTAATAAGATTAACGGTTACGTGTGATTACAAAATTGTGGATATTTCATTTCTACAGTAGAACCTTATTTTGCTTGATTCCTCTTCGATAAAAGTTCCTCCAATCTTTCAGAGACTCCGCTCTCGCCATACCATTGTTTCCTTTCTTGAATTAGTTTTCTACAAAGGGGAGAGAGAGACGTGACATAATATTGTCGCAGACGTTTTTTGCAGTAAATGAGGTCCACACACACTGGACGAGATTCCCGAATCGCGTCCGGCGTGTGTCGGCCTTAAGGTTCACACACAAAGAGTTTGCTCAGACATCAGCAGCCGGTTTGGCTCTTAACAACAAGAAAAATGGTCTAGTTTTGGAGTGCCACATCACCAGACACCAGCTAATGGATCGGTGGCACGACACTGGCGGCATTTTTTTAACCCATTAACTGGAGTACCCTTCACACAAGAGTAGAAAAACTCAGCTGGTGTTATAGACAGCCAACATCGTCAATTCTTAATGGATGGGTAAAATCATTTGACAACAAACAGGCATTATGCCTGTAATTTTCGTGAACAAGTCATTTTCAGCGATGAGAAATAGTTCGGACGTAAATTTGTCTTTATTTCTTTATTTAAACCAATCATTGTTGACTTCACACACACATAGAAATATTCTATCACATCAGCCACCTTGACATGTCCACAACACTCACGACATCAGACACAAACAGCACGTCAACAAAGACAATACCTTGCGAGAGTTTTATGTTTACTGCCAGTGCCAGCGGTTTGAATTGCAGCATGAATCAACAACAGATCAAACACGTCTCTCTGAAACGAAAAATAATTTCCTTACGTATACCTGGAGAAAGTGCACCTCAAACCTAAATATTATACAAAGATAGGAAAGTGGCATAATTTTGTTACGGCTTTTTCATGCACACTATGCTGGTATTGATATTTAATTTAAAAGATTAGGATTCCCGCCAAATCCTTTCATCGCAAATATTAGTACAATGCATGACTATTACCTGGGCATTGCTTCCGCCAACTCTAATGACGTTATCACGTATGGGCAACAACAGCTCAATTACGTCATCATATTTCGCCTGTGGATGGAAACATTACAAATATTGATAAATGTGCACACGAGCGTCGTTTATTTCGAGTGTTTTCAAAATCGTTTTTATCTAGTTTATCACTTTGACGCCTTGTTCACACGATCCACGAAATTAGTTTTAACATCTATTGTAAATCGACGGTATTTGAATCCGTTTTGGTATGAAAACGAAATGAAAACGCCCGAAAACGTTACCGTGTGTACATAGTCTTAGTCTTACTGTCTTACTCGGTAACGCTAATTTCCACATAGCAAGCAGCCACAAATATCTATTCTAACCTTATCATAATCTAAGATGGCTTCACAAAGGGGAACTCCGACATCTTTTGCGACTTCCCAACTCGTTCCTTTTCCACTCCTGCGTGGGAAAACGTTGCAAGCGTGATTCAAAATTTCCTTTTCACTATAGAAGCTGTACAACTTTTAAAATGGAAATGAAGACTTTGCTAAATAAATCTTGTACCTCACAAATTCCTCGCACGATTCCATGAGAGAGTTCGCGGATTCATAATCCTTCGCGCCCAAGTAACTCATCATCTTGTGAGCGTCGTCAAACGCCTGAAAATATTGTTTTCAAATGGATAATAGCGAAAATTAATACTGGAATATCATAACTGATCTCTTAGGCAGAAAACAGCCTGCTGTCGCCTGTTGTATGAAAGCGCTATCCACCAGATAATGGTTTTTTCAATGGCTTTAAAATCGCCCGTTGTTAGGAATAACTTTGTCTAAATCTTATTTTTCCTAAATGGAGGATTCTCTGTATTAATTGTTGATTCCAAAGCTGAAATCTTCTTGCTTATCGAGAATATTTGGAACGTTTGAAAAAATCACTATCCGGTGCCGGTGGATAGCGCTATCCATCTTTCCTACAACCGGCACCTGAAGTATATAAAACATCTTACCCCTTCATATTTTCCAGGCAACCAAAGAGATTGTACGCTCTCCCATCTCTTTCCCACAGGAACTCCTAGTTCACAGATGAGGTTGAGATCAAGTCACTCATAAAGTCAGATATTACATCAATTAACCCTCGTCAATCTTTCCTAGAATATTCACGATCATTCCTAGAATATCAAATTCACTTATCCTAGAATAACAATCAAGTTACAGTTCATTCTAATACGGCTTACCCTCCATTTCTAGTCTGTAGAGTAGCGAGGCGGCATCAGACAAGGGAAAGTTGGATCCAGAAGTACATCGTGAAATGATCTAGAGAAATAATAAACGACAAGGTGAACACAAGAATGAAGTGAATGGTTTGAACCCGGGAGTATCGCTATAACTTTGTAGACAGTTATCGTCCAGTTTGTGATCATTTCTAAAGTGAAGATTATGGATTACACTCTTTTAGCAGTAGTCATTTCTACAGTCAAATGATCACATATCACACGCCCTGGGCGGTCCTTCAAAAGTCCATATTAAGATTAGAACCCTAAATGACCCGGACGATCAACATCCTCGAGCATATAAGAATGGACTGTTTGTGTCATGGTGGTTGTAAAAAAATTTCGTGTTTATGAAAAACTCACGTGATCATCCAAAATGGTTAAGACGGACTCGTAATCTCCCTAAGATATAGAAATTCGTATCAGTGAATGAGTAATGGCCGGACACTCAATCGTCTCAATCCACCACCTCAGAACTCACGGTGACGGTCAAACTCAGTCGACTCGAATCTGTTTATGGTTTTATTCTTTATAAATATCTAATCTTAGAGCGGCAAACCAGTTGTCAAAACGACAGAAAAACAAGTGATTAATAATATGGATTCAGACTGCTACAATAGCTAGTGTTGAATTTCTAACACAAGAGATGCTAGGTGCGAAAATATTTAGATACAGTATAGCAATAATGGTGTACCTTATCAAGATGAAACAACGCCCAATGCCAATAGTTGTGTACGATAAGAAACGTCCCAAGCTAGTGGAGGAATAAAGTAGTTTAACAATAAAAATGACAACATGATCCCGCGATGATTCGTGTCAGCCAGATCGCGACAACACATCGAGAAGGAACACTCACTGCTATACTATAGTATGTGTGTCTTTGACATCAATGGTATTCTTACCGTCCATTTTTCCTGGCTAGTTTCTAAGAATTTCACTCCCTCTTCGGCTCGATTTGTCTCCAGAAGAATATGAGATGTAGCATGGGTCGACCAAGTGTCACAAGGGTCGATACTCAGAGCCTAAGAATACGATTAATCTGTTCACCAAGGCAAGGAGTTAAGTCTTGGAGGTGGGAGTGATTATGCCTTCCCGTCTCTTGACATTTTTACAATGAATTTCCTTACCGTACCTTTCTGGTAAACTTTTCAGCTTCTTTTGGTTGTTTACTCTCGTTGAGAAAGAAACCATGCATACCCAGGACATAACTAAACAATTAGAAAACACCACTGAGTGCTCGAAAAGCGATAAAATTTCATCTTTGCAACCATGCAACAATTAATAAAGAAGATCCTTGATTTAGGAATACTAAGATTTAATCAATGTTATGGCAAACGGGCGATTTTAAAGCGATTGACAAAACCACTATCCCGCGGCGGTGAATAGCACTATCCGGCTTTCATATAACCCGCCCCTGGATAGCCCTAAGTCTAACCAACGGATAGAGTTTCTCCTTACTATTCAGTGCCGGAATGTATCATAAATATATACGTATATAATGAATCTATAGGTTTATTATATAGAAAAATCATTATCCAGTAAATAGTATACAACAAGTCTAGATATGAAATTATTAGATGTATAGGTAGAAGTATTTCATGCTATAAGTTTACCCGTAAAAAGGCATATCTGGTGTCCACGTGTCCACCACCTTTGGCATCATGGTTTTAAACCCTGACCAATCGCCCAGAGTCAATGCATACAAGTATGCCAGCCTCAGAGACAAGATATCTTTGGGGTTATCAATGACCATTTCCTCCAAAGTTCTCAAAGCTTTGTGACTATACCTGGACAAAAATATTGCAAGAGATAAACATTGGAAGAGCATTGATTTTTTGAATCCAGCAAAATTTGTCCAAGAGATTGCATGGTACCTACCCACTTGAGATAACCCCTGCAAGCTTTTTTTCCCATTCATTAACAGGCTGTGTCTCAATCAAGCGCTCCATCTCTTTTAGGGAAGCGCAAAGTTCAGGAGATTCCTCAGATTTTGAAAGCTGGAAACGACTTTCAAACAATGCTCCCAACACTGCAAAAATGTGAAGTACAAACAGTGTGAACAAGACCACCACCACTATAAAGCTACAAAGAAATTTCCTGGATGGTGTGTGGTGAAATTTGCTTACATATACTAATGATACTATAATGCTGGGGTGATGTCCAGAGGGTTTCTTATAGATTTCTGAGGGTAGCTGGGGAATCCTAGGGGCAGCTTGCTAATTATAAACAGCTTTTGTATCATACTGTAACCAGTTACAGCATGGTTAATATATAAAATTCTAACCATAGTCAGGATCAGCTTCTTTCATGCGTTTCACAGTTCCCGGAATCCCACCAAGACTTTCATCTTCACCCCATCTGTATAACTAAATTAACAGAAAAGAGAATATTGGTGGAATGTTCTGTTTCATATACTATGATTAGAAAGGTTAACCTATAGCAATCTAGCATGAGGTTAATATAGACCTGTGTCATAAGAGCGTCCAGCATTTTAGCGGCTTCATTACTTGATGTTGACAAAGATATGCCATAGTCCTCCCAGCCCTAAGATATTGCAAACAGCAGAAAAATAATTAAATGACATCATAGGCAAATCAATGGTTTGAAATTTTGAATAGGATGATTATATTATCCTATGTAAGGTTGCAAGCATGTTTCGTGCTCATATACAAACATTAAACAACAAAACTATGCTTTGGTTATGATGTCAAATATTTTGATATGGATAACCACGCTGTTTTAATGGTCAAATGCTTGTCCTATGTAAAGTTTCAAGCATGTTTTGTGCTCATATACAAACATTAAACAATATAACCATGCTTTGGTTATGATGTCAAATATTTTGACATGGGTATAACCATGCTGGCTAAAGGCTGGTCCCAGGTAAAGTTGTAACAGTGTGGTTATACCCATATCAGATATTTGACAAAAAAATATAGTCAATATTTTTTTTGAAAAGGTGAGTGAATATATAATCTGATGCATTAATTCACATAAGTATTTAGAAAATGTCTGACATCAGTAATACTTAACTAAAACACATTTATTGTTATCACTATTTTGCTATATTGTTTTTCAATTGAATCAGGTGCTTAATTATGATGAGAGCAAATATTGATCTGACTTCATTGATATTGATCTTGTAATGTGTGATCTGATAAACATTACACATTATGCAAGGTTTATTATTATTGACCTGCCTTGATGAAGTAATGTTATCCGGAAATATGGCTGTGATTTGACTAGCAGTCACAGAAGAGTATAAAACTATCATTATTCCTTGTTTATGTGCGTTCGGCGTTCCTGGATTGGCAAAAAAATTGCTACTCACTTTGATGTCTCTCCATTCATGTTCGGTCACAATGCACCCAGTCATGGCTATATTTTCGGTAGTACCAGCTTTTTCTGGTGTAAAATTAGACCAATCTCACATCAAAATGATGAAATTCGCTTGCTTCGAATCAAAGAGCGTCTATTTCTACATGTGTTTTCAAAACAGAAAATTTACATTTAAATTGTTGAGAAAAGTACCCTCTTCAAGGCAATGTATTCGGTACAAAAGCAACAATATGAATATAAATAAGTGTGATTGGAATATCCCCAGAGATCAGTTTGCATCACACAGCACACAAGGTGTAGCAATTAACTATAGAAACATATTTTGTTACATCGATGTATGTTTCTGTCAATGATTATTATGCTAATATTTTTGATATTTTCGTATGTGTATTACTAAATGAACACGCTCACCTATAGTTACCTGTAAATATTTTACAACATGGATTAAAACGCTGCAGCAGGCCTGCAGGACTCCAAGCTTTCCCCACAAGCACTGTAGTAAATTTCCTGGTATGAAAATATTTATCAGAAAACAAGAACAGATAATATGTTACAAATTAGTTCGGCGAACCTTAAAATCCTTAATCCTAAATCTTATATCATAATCCTAAACTACCCCTAAGTCCAGATTAGAGAGGATTAGAGGGGACTAGAAGGGCCACTAAGCGGTGCGTTTGTAAGATCATTCATTACTCCTAACAAGGTATTCTGTCTTTATCTAAATCATTATTCATTCATTCAAATAATAAAAAGGATTCAAACTCATAATTCTTTCCCTGAAACAAAACCTCAATGAATCATACTTCGTCAAGACTCTGTTTGGACTCTATATAATTACAATCTTTATACATGAAATATATGTACAGAATACAATATTACAAACTATGTTCAGTGAGAAAAGAATATAAAAACGAAAAATTATTCTAGTATTTAAAGGATACCGTACACTTCTTTGAGTTCCGAAGAGCTCAGTATTTTTCAATATCGTCTTTCCTATCAGAAATATCATAGATTAAACTTTGTCTTCAGTTCTGCAATGTGATTAAGCAATTTTAACGCTGGTCCAAGTTTGAATTGCATACAAGACATAATTGTCTCCCGATTCAACAATAAAAGAGCGCCACCGTCAATTTCCTACACATAAAATGTGAAAATCTCGTCAAAACTTCATCATAAAAACCCGGGCTCGGTTTTACGAAGCTGGATACCGCATCCATAGGATAGTGCTTTTTCTATCACTCTAAATTCACCTGGGGTTTTTTCTAAAACTAAGATTAAACCTGGTTTTGGTAAATTTTAGGTTCTCTTTTTATAACTGTTAGTGCCAAAATCTGTAACTTTATTGCTTTTCCAGCATGTTTAAAACGGTTGGAAAAAATCACTATCCTGTGAATAGCGCTATCTAGCTTTCGTACAACCGACTCCAACTCACAGAAGATCTTTCTTTCCAATTAGGAAAAGGTTAGGTAGACACGTACGTGTTGTTTAAATAATTCTGCGTATTTTGAAATGTCTGATTTTGCAAAATACTCAACAACTTCGTCAATGCTCCAGGTAAGAGGTGAAGAGGTTGATCCAATGTCGGACACTGTAATAGGACAGAAATTAGCACAGTACAATACCATGGACGATCCCTACTGGACTTCTATCTAAGGAGAGCAGTTTAAAATGCTGTAATAACACTGAATCAATAAGAGATGATCATTACTGGACCTCTAGAAAGAACAGTTTAGAACTGACAGAGCTATCCAATATAAATAAAGTTAGTTTAGTTTAGGTTTCCTCCTGTAGTTACACTGGATCAATAAGAGATGATCCTTACTGGACTTCTGACGAAAAGTATAGAAGTGATAGAGCCATCCAGTGTAAGTGAAGTTATGTAATTAAACCTTCGTTTAGTTCTTCATCGCGAACAATTCTTCTCATTTTCGTCACTGGTTCTTCTCTTTGCTGTTCTTTCCTCGCCAGTTCCTGATTCCTCATCCTCTCATTCCTCACTTCTTCCATTCTCCGTTCTTCATTTCTTAATTCTTGCTTTCTAATCTCTTCCATTCTCAAATCATTTCTTAGTTTCTCTTGCTCGGCCAACTGCTTCTCCTCCATTAATCTTTTCCTACCTGGAAAAATACAATACTTTCTTCACCCAAGTAAAAAATGAAAGTCAGTCTGTTAAGGTTTGGCAAGTGATTCTGCATACCCTGGTCATTGCACTTTGGGCAAACACCGTGCAGCTTTTCCGAAGAGAACAAATTCTTGCAACAACGGAGGTTGTCTGTGAAACGTCCAAATACGTTCCAAAACACCCAGATATGATCAACACTTTGCAGACAGCATGTGTATGTATCCTTACCATGTTTTGCTCTGATCACAATCTAAAAGCAAAGGATATAATTCGGATTTGGACAAGTTACAGTCGTGACTGATTTATAACTTACCAATAAACGAGACTACACCTTACACGTATGGAAAAAATTGAAGAGCTCATAATAGAAGGAATAGAGCAGTTTTAAGATTACGCTTACCTTTCCTCTGCCTGGTCGTAGAAAGCCAATGACAATGCTGGGATTGTACGCAACGTTTACAATAGCCTGGATACTAGACTGGAGAACGTCACGAACATTACCGCGAAACACTGGACGGAGCTCCGCTACCTTTGAGGGATCAAGATACGAACCAAACTCGCAGGAGAAGTTCACAAACAGTTCAACTAGAGAAAAGACATGGAAAATCACTACAAGTGTATATCCAAGTGTCATTAATTTTGGCTCCGTTTTAAAGGTTGTTTTATCCAGGTTTATCATCAGATCAGTGGCCACAACGGTAAGCAACTTACCTGGCACGGGAAAGTTCAACGCATGATCCACATTTGGATCTTCTGAAGGGGAGTCGGCATTTTCTACAGAAGAGATTGCACGAACAGTTCTTTGCTTGTTAGACAGAGTTATGGCTGTGCGTGGTTCATAATCGTCTTCGTCATCGTCGTCTAGAGGTTTGACAACATGAAGTACTGAACGTTCCTTCTGTGACGCAGACGTTCTGGGAACAAGCAGTTAACATATGATCACAAGGAAAGGAATTATTGGGAGATCGTACTGGGCCGTGAAAGTGTCAACGTTTTATGCCTAGTTTCCATTTAGTCGTGAGGGTCGTGGACATGTCAAGGTGGCTGATGTGATAGAATATTTCTATGTATGTGAACTCAACAATGACCGATTTGAATACACAAATAAAGAAAAATTTTAATCCGGACTATTTCTCATCGGTGAAAATGACTTGTCCACGACTAAATGGAAACCAGGTTTTATAGAATAACGCTGCGCTTGCAAAGAAATTCGTCATTAACCATGTTTTCCTTACTTGAATTTTCTATACTCGGGTCCAGGAAGTTGCAAGGGGTGTCCACTGAAGTAGCACCATCCTGGTGGAAAGATATCTCTGGAATAGAAAGGGTACGTGTACGCTGTGTCTTTAAAACCATCGAATGCTACCATTACGTCATCGCCTATGACGTCAACGACAGTGCCGACACAAATAAGAGCTGGATTCTTCAGATCCACCGCTTCCAATTTGAAAGTTGGACAAAATAGGTTCACCTTGGGAGTGTTGGGTTCCTGTTGAAAAATGGAGAGGAAAGATGGTTGAAAGATGGTTGAAAGATGGATCATTTAGTAAAATATGTCTCCAAGAAAATCTTCACACAGAGCTGGCTCAGAAGACGGGTCTTTTCCACACTGGGTGTGAGATGGAGAAATTAGATCAGGTTCTTAAACTTAACATACTAGAAAAAGTTTAGAATCAGATCTGGGTCCGAGACATTTGAAGCAGTCTCATAGCTGCTCCATTTTGATAACATCGCTGCTAAATTTTCTATTCAAAATTAAAATGAAATTTTAATTTTCGACGAGTCTTGCCAAGGGATAGAATGGAATCAAAAGGGGAGACATCAAACAATATGCAACGAAGAATTGAAGACAAATACCTTTTTAAAGAGTCTGAAAGGTGCCAGTTCACCGTTTGCCAAGTTTTTCTTGAGGAAACTTTTAAAACTGCTCCCCTCCATACGAAAACCTACAACAGAAGTTCAGCGGATGGTTGTATGAAGATCAGAAAGCGCTTTCCACGGGTAGTGGATTTTTCAATCGCTCTAAAATTTCCCTTGCTTTTTGTTGAATAAGCCCTTTCAGCTTGTATGCAAATTAACCCATTTCAAGTCACACGGTCTGAAATGGTTAAGTTTTATTGGCTATTCTATATGGGGTCACAACATCTGAAATGGGTTAATTTGCATGCAAGCTGAAAAGGTCTATTGCTGGTTTCAGTAAGGACATTAGTCAATGATTTGAGTGGTGGGAAACCTCAAATGTTTCGACGATCATACCCAGCACAGGTGTGAGTCATTGATGCGGAACTGCAAATTTTTGCAAAAGCGGGAACACATACAGCGAAAAAACGAACTCACTCCGGTTTCGAGTTGACCACCAGTAAAATCTATGACGTCATATGAAACCACGAATAATAAAACGTTCTTACCCACAGGTGGTTTGAGCACACCACCATTCCCTTCACACCAGCCCACGGGATGAATATCGCCAGAATCAATCACCCTCCAGATGTCATTCAAATTACCACAACCGTCAAACCTTAGTCTTAGACGCGAACCAATCACCCCCACCACGGTAGCCACGCAAACAGCTCCCTCGTTCCGGGGATCGGCTGCTTCTAACTTCATACCGCACTGAAAACCATTGTATGGAGGAGTGGCCGCCTGGTTAGAGAGATATTGAAAATCGACTCAATTTCATTTGACGGATGAGGGTAGGAGAGAAATTTTGAGATTTCATTTTGAGTTCTTTCACATGTGAAGAGTGTTCCTTCACACGTGAAGAGTACATGTGAAGAGAGATATTGGAATGGGAAAGGGCTAAGATGCCCTAAGATAAAAGTTGGTTGAGGGAATTGGAAGAGGATAAGGTGTTCTTTTTTGAAGGAGGATTATTTGTGGCATATCTGGAGTGCAATTGGGATGAAGCTAGGATGCTTTCAGGAGAAAGTGTTAGGTTTTACCTCTGGTGTGTTTTGTAGAAGGTACCTTACCTGTTTGAAGCAAGTCCAAGGGGCGGCAATACCTTTCGTTTCAGCGAGGTATTCGTCCCATGAAAACGTTGAAAGACATAAGTTTTGTCTGGGGTTTTCTATAATACCATACAGGAACTTTTCAATCAAGTCATGTGTGTGAATGTTGAAATCAAGAGTTATTAACGCTTGATAATCGAATAAAAAGGGAGGACGGTGACTTAAACTCGAGGTAGGAAAGCCAGTGGCAGTGGGTGACAGTGAGTAACAGTCGGTGACAGTCAGTGAGAGTGGGTGACAGTCGGTGACATTGGGTGACTCAGTGTCGATACGGTATGGTTGAAGTGGAAAACAGGCCTACGAAAATAACAATACCTTCTTGCTTGACTGAACCAGAGTCTTCGTTACTTGCCTAAGAAGGGAAGGAAAATCTGTTTTGCTTCTTGGATTATCTGGATATTTTTAACGTCAGCACGAAAGCAATGGGTCTGTATCCGCAATAGATGTCAGTACAATCCACGAGTTATATATTTCAACATTTATTTGTAGGAATGAAGTAATTACATCTCGATAATAAAAATTTTACTACAAAACGTTGATGAGAAGTATTCTGACTTCCGAAAGATTGGCTAAACGATTGGTTATGTATCACCTTCCTCCTGACGGATGTGATTTGTTTGAAGGTAGCCTTCAACTATTTTAGTTCAATAGTAATAATTTCTTACTATTTGGAGCTCATTCACATGCGTCAGGAGCAGAATCGGATCTTAGGGATATGGGTCTATTTCCATACTAACAACTAAGATTATATAACAGAGTTAGTAACTCGAATCCAATCTTAATCCCAACTAGAATCAACACAGTCTAATTGTAGACAAAATGGCTATCTGATCATACAACAGGGTAAAATCACGTCTACTGGGTACAAGTTATAGGGATGTATGATTGAGTCACAGTTGGAGCATGCGCAGAATCAGTACAACCAGGTTTTGTCTCAGCCTTTGTAACTACCGGAACAGTAACCCCTTGATAACCATGGGGACTAACAACCGGTACGTGATTATGTCCTCCGTGGGCACAGTTACACTGTCCTGGTAAAGCATTACACATGACGACGGGGACAGATGTCCCAGTCATGTATGCCCCCGGTACAAAAGTTCCGGCTGCGTGAGGTATCGAAGTGCTAGGTATCGAAGTTCCGAGGGTTGTAGGTCCGAGGTTAGAGGTTCCGGGAGTCGAAGCTCCGGGTGCTGGTGGAGCTGCACCGTTGTAACCAGGGTGATGTTGTGGCGTCTCGCTGATGGCGTAGATGGTGATCTTCGGAGCCTGCATGGTCAGGGTCTTCTGGCAGCGGTTGCAGACGCCCGCGTGAGACAGCCATTCTGGCTGGTAGGTAAAAAGTTGCGGGTGGTGCACCCTTTGAATGATCTCGGGTTTAGTACCGACGAACGCGGTAGAGCACATAATGCAGTTCCAGAAACGCAGCGTGGTGTAGCCTTCAAGCGAGTCGGCTCCTGGGCGAGGAAGACTCATCGTTATGCAGAACCTAGTCAGGTCAGCGTTGCCCTGTAAGGCAAGAGAAAATTATCAGGCTCTTGACGAGAGGACATAACTCAATCTTAACTCAACGACTAATCACATTTCTGAACTAAAGCTGCTGTTGCCGAATCCTAACTCTAAAATCAAATTTCTCAACAAAATTAGCCGAATTATCCATTATCATATTGTTGAATCTAATTTTGGATACAAATAATCTCTGAGCTGTTTCTAATGATCATTCTAGTTTTCCTCGACTACAGCTGAACCACAAAAAGGCTACACCACACGCGCAGACAATGCTTTCATTAACAACCAACACCCTCGTTGATTGCTTCCATTAACAACCAACACCCTCGTTGATTGCTTCCATTAACAACCAACACCCTCGTTGATTGCTTCCATTAACAACCAACAACTACGAGATTGACTCGAAAAACAGTTCGTGCCGGTGGACTTAACAGAGATTCCCCACCAGGTTTAAAACCTTTCAGTAAATTAAATTTACTTCCTGAAAAGAAATGAACATAACACACTTACGTTACTCGTTGAGCTCGATATACTGACTGAAGACACTGGACGATCCGACCCTTTATCAACCACACACGTCATCGTGGACACTGAAAAAAATATCACAAAGTATCTTTCCTGAGCAATTCATGGCCAAGATCATTTCAAATTTTTTGGAGAGAAACCAAATTGGTTCACTCATATATGGTGCTTATATACTAAGTCAAAACCAAGGTGCTTATATACTGTATACATATACTTATATATGGTGCTAATATACGAAGCTTATATACTATGGGCGTGGCCTGTTCCAGAGGTCTCTTTCATAGTCTAACATTGAAGGATGGTCTTGTATTCGAAACTGCAGGTTACCTTCTCTGGGATCACTCAGTCTGGTAACAAAACACTGCCAAAGCACAGAGCTAACACAAGTATCCAAGGTTATCCTACACATCATGCATTCTGAGAGAGAATCACATTGTTTTGACATGTTTCCAAGGATGAATTCCACCACAATAATTGATGAGAAAAGGAACAAGTTCACCAGAGGGTAGAAGGTAACCAGAGGGTAGAGGATAACCAGAGGGTAGAGGATAACCAGAGGGGAGAGGATAACCAGAGGGGAGAGGATAACCAGAGGGGAGAGGATAACCAGAGGGGAGAGGATAACCAGAGGGGAGAGGTAACCGGAGATATCATATTAGCAATTATTATTCTAGTCATCATATTTCTATCTGTTCTAATCTAACTAACCTATCAACTACATTATGGTACCCAAAAATGAAAAGAAGAATCCTCCATTATACAGATATGAGATTATCATATGATAATACTTAGCTAAGTACATCTTGCTATATTGTGACTGTGCAATGCTGAATTGCTATGGTAAATGAATTTTCCACACACTTGTAACATCTTGGATGGTGTGAAATCTTAAACCAATATGTTTCAGAAAATTATTAAAAGTAAACACTCTCTCACCTGTAGAAGTTGTTGGTTCAGTTTCCGTTTGTTTATCAACTGCCTGACTTGTTGATGTCTCGCCAGTTTTATGGCTCTCAGATTCATCAATGTTGATATCTACATCTTCTTCGTACCCATAAATGCCGAGAAATTCTTTAACTGTTGCCTTCGCATAATCCTAATATGGGATAGCAAAAATTTAGAGATGAAAAATATTATACTTAGGACAGTTATTACTAACTGGAAAATAAACAGTGCATGATTCCTCAGACCAAATAAAATTTTTGTCATCAAAATAATTCATAATAGTTTGGGGAAAAAATTCACAAAAAAAATGGGCACTTAAAATGTTTTTAAGTAAAAAAGGATTTTAGAGGAAAAAATTCAGCAATATTGAATCATCAGCATTGTTGCCATAACAATAACAGTTGTAAATATTTATCACACAATCTATAGAATTACAATGTCACTTAGTGAGGCAGATACAATGTTGAGATTCCAGGGAATAACAGTTGAAAACATATGTTAACTGATGCAAGAGGATCTAAGTTTAACTGGCAATACACAAAGAATCAGCATATATATTTATGTGATCCTGGTAAATTGGTTGCTAGTTTAGCCAGGTTGCCAAGAATTCCTGCTTACTTTCTGAATTCCAGTCAACAATAAATAATCTCATATTAATGAACAAATATTCAATAATTAAAGCCAAGCCCTGACTTAACAGCCTCTTCTAGAGTTACAAGATAAAATTGCCTCCCCAGATAACCACCAAAGAATGTGCGAACTCATATTTGATGTATACAAAATACTTTTCTGAGTTTAGAAAAAGCCTTGCTATATGATTTTATGAGAATGAAGAATCACACTAATATACCTTAACTCAACATAAATTTTTTATGTAACATAACACAAGTCTCTAGTATATGCTAAGTCTGATATTAGTATTGATATTAGATAAAGTTGATAGACATTTCAAAGCGAGAGTTCACATGATATAGTCCTATCACTTCTATGATGCCTTATGCCATGGGAAAACTCATATTTCATAAAAGTTGATGAAGCTTGCATTGTGTATCAGATTATTGAACTAATAAGAGTTGACAAGGGTTGGTAGTTATACACTTAAGAGACAACTACTACAAGTCCTATCAGCTGAGGCCCTTGTTTAATGATCATTCTAAGACTAGTATATTACACATGACAACAGACACTTGTATTCAAGATAGATTGTATTCAGTTTTATTATCTATTTCGAATTTCCTACAAAAGTAAACTGCTGGAATCAACTGATGTTGGAATCAAAATGATTACAATCTATTGACTTATTCCTGTTTTGAATTCCTCAATTTTGTTTGCATCTAAAGAGGTCGAAAATATTCATATTTGTAGATAGAAGTAAATCTTTAAAACCAGAAAACACTCAAGCGAGCAAACGATGCCAAGTCACACACACTAGTTACCACCATCTATACTAGACGACGGAGACCTCATCCGACAATTTCTAAGAATTTAGACTTGCAATGAGAATTTTGTTACAATTAGTGATTTGTCACAATTAGAGTTCTTTGACCAAATTAGAACAAATGCGATGTAAGAAAAAGAAGAAACTACAAATATCACTAAATTATTTTAAATTATTATAAAAAGTTTTTCACCATAATACTGTACTACACCGTATTACATAACATCCATGAATAGTGTTTTGAAAAACTTACTTTCATCTCGCGGTCAAACTTTTTAGCCATGCCAATTTTTTCCTCAAATGACATCCCTTCTTTCGAAGTAGACGCTTCTCGCTCGGAGACAGTGCTTGTAGTCGGATGGCCCGACATTCTGTTTATATTTTTGTGCTATCAAAATTCCGCATTCAACAAAGACACAACCAAAATTTGGCGCGCAACATTTAAAATAACCAGCGACAATACGCAGCCACTTTACACAGAGTTCAACTCTTCCTTTTTGCGAAAGGGTTCTTGTTGCTGTGCTGGCTTTGAACACATTGTATTCGCTTTACAAATAAAGACTTTCAGCGCGGATCAACGTCCAATCTTTGCTTTATCATTCGGCCATCTTATCTCGACTTTACACCAATCTCTTTTCTTGGTTGGGAGATTTCGCACGATAATCAGATATCGCATACCAAATAAGTACATCACGAACTCTCAAAATCTGTATTTTGATGTAAAAAAACAAAGAATGTCTTTTCGTGTTTACCTCGGTTGTTGCGAGTGGTTAGAAATGTGCTCCAGGTTGAAACAAATGGTTTTATCAAACGATAAACTGGCACAGTTTAGCGCAAGAAACCCTATCACCTATACTTTTGAAGTACCACTATTTTCATGTAAAAAATCGCAAAAAACAGGAGTTTTTTTCTACGGACTAAAATGTATACGTGGGCTTTGAAGAAGGGGAATTTAAGACGACCTTACGGAGACTACGGAAACTATGCGATAATGCGAAATTGTGCGTTTATCGATAACGATCATAATTTGATTTCTCCCAACATGCTTGAAAAGATATGCGACAGGTGGTGCATGATGGGAAAGGCTAGAACAAAACGAAATTCGCACAAAAAGATGATATCTTCGACGCAATTCGACGCAATGGTAAATTCAATGTAATTTCTCTCAAAAACTCATTCCATTTCTGGATATGAGGACTCAATCAGTCGGAAAATGGCTATCAATACCTTCTGCGATTTACGATACATTTGCCCATTCGGAAAAAAACACTAATAATCATAAAAAACCAGGCAAATCATGCGCTTATCCGAACTCTCTTGTCTGCCAATGGTATCTACAAACGCCGCTGTTTGCGAACATGCACAGCTGACTTTATAAAACCCCCAAACGATTTCGTATCACACAAAGATAACGAGATTGCCACAGCTAGGCTGCATCTTTCTGTAAGGTATTCTTGCAGAGGGATACTTTTCGTTGTGCACAAAATGAACCTAATTGAAACGGGCAATCGATATATTACTTAAAAGCAGCGTCACGCCGGCGCACGTTTCAGCAAGAAGATAAGGAAAGATTTAAGCGAGCGATAAGTGTTTCCTAAACAACATCGTGCAGAAGTGGTACTGAATGGATTTTTTAGGATGTACAAGGCTACTTGCAAGATGACAATCGATAGAAAGCGTCTGGGTTGAACTGCATCAACAAAACAGTGCAATGTACAAGTGAATTCGATTGGGGAAAGTTTGCGAGCGAGTTTCGGAGTTTATCAAAGGTTGCAGACCGGGGGCATACGTCACATCAGATAACTTTCGATAAGCTAAAATTCAAAATACCGCGTCCTATTGGTCAAATTTCGAACTGTAGGCGATGCGATAAACTGTTATTTAAATTGAACTTTTATCGCACTTTAGCGCGGTTAATTAAATTTCGCTTTCCAAGCTTTTTAGGCGATATTCAGCCTGTTTGCAACACACAAGGGAATTTTGGAATGCGCACAGCGCAGATATTTCACCGTTTTGGGGTTTCTCATAACAAGTGCAAGAACTGCGTCGCGTTTAATTGGCTAGCAAATTTCTGTTTCAGGTTAAACGTTGATAAGTAACGATAGCAGCATGTGGCAGGGCTTGTGATAGTGATCAGACATTATATATGGCCAATATCAAGCGAGACATACCACGGAGCTAGGCCTATATATAGACCTGGAGTGATATTCGCTTCATTGCGGAAACATGTGGTTCGAATGAGGGCAACTTTCTCAGACAGACAGACAGAAAGACGTGCTACTTTGGAGAATTTGAAAATGTCATCGCTCATGACCTCATCTCTCAATTCGTTTATTTGCCATCAAATTCAAGACTACAACAGGATCTGGAACGAATTATCATCAGTCACTTGTTATAACTGGAGGTTAGCAGACCCAAAGAGCACAAATTTAAGTCTACTTAAGTCTGCTCCCAGCAGAAGTAGGTCTTTCAAAACCAGTACTGGTGTTGTTCTCTTTCTGAAGATGTTGAACACAAACTGCAATTAGACTTCAATGCCTGCTAATACTTTTCATTCCAGACTGACCACAAAAGCTGAAAGATTACTACCTTCCAAATGTCATCACTTTTCAGTAAAGTGTGTGTCAAGTTTATCCCACCGATTGGTGAGTCTCATCTTCAGATGTCCTTAAAGCTGTTAGGACTTTGTTTATCTCAAATTTCTTTTATAAAGCGACTATAAAGTTTGTTCATGAAGTAACTAAGGGTTCCTGTGGGGGGATGGTAGGCTCATGCGTGTTGGGCATTTTCAGTGTGGGTAAAAAGTTGAGTGAAGTGATTTGGTCCAAACTTTCTGTGATAGACTGGAGATCTCCAGATATCAAGCCAACATTGGAAAATATATCCTGAAAACAAGATAAAAATATATTCACTCAATATACAAGTTCATAAGTTCAGTTTCTTGCTAAATTCATTGTTTTTAGAGTCTGTTAACATGAATATATAAATAATAGCCTGCCAACTTAATTACCTTCCATGGCCACTCTGTGAAAGTATTTTTTATTTACCTGTGCTGATGCTTGTGATCTATTGAGGTAAAATACCGCTGATTGTAGTTTCCTGTTTGCATCATTATAAATCTTCATTCTGTTCTCAATGGCATCTGATCTAAGCTCCAGATTGCTCACTCCTGGGCAGAAAAAGGAATGCAATTGATATGGGAATATAGTGTGCTATTTACACTACACGTAATTGTCTTAATATATTTAATGCAGTGTAAATGGAATGCTGGAAACATAATCCAATTTTCAGGCTGGTTAAGAGGAGAGGTTGCCTCAAGAAAATTACCATATGTTTTGTTTGTAAATTACAACTAGATTAGAAATGGACTGCAAGACTGGACTGAAAAAAGTGGCCAACGGATACTTACTTAAACGCCGATGAAAACTCCTATAAACTTAAAAAGGAATGAAATCAGTAAAAGAATCTAATGGAAAATTAAAATTATACGACAATATATGTTCTAATACTATCCAGTATCCACTTTGGTACAGTACATAATTATCAAAATACTTCAAAACATATCAACTCACGAGTCGTAATGAAATTTAACTTTTCGTTTAGTGTGATCGTCAGGTATGCTTGCAGTGCCACTCTCCTGCGACGTTAAAATATTTTGTGAATCGATCGCTGATCTATCGTTTGGGTCTGGTACGTTTGCTGTGTTTTCCGTTTCGCTTTCATCACTCTCCGAGGCTTCACCTTGGACTACGATACCTTGCCTAGAAGCTGGTGAGTCTGGCTTTGCAACCATCGTGTTTTTCATAAAATAAGATTGATCGATTTCGTATTCTTCGTCCGATTCTGACGCTTCTCCTTGAACAAAATTTTCCCTTCGAGCCGCCATTTTTTACTATTGATAAAAGGAATGACAAGGGATAATGCTGGATAGTCAGGTAAATTAAACGATGAAAAGGGATAAAAGGGGGTAATACCAAATGATGAGGGCTATTAATGAATGAAAAGGAATAATTGGGAGTAAACATGTGAGGCGGTGGGATAGAATAAGATAGTAGAGGGTAATAATGAATAACAGAGTATGATAATGGATAGCACTTGATAGATATTGATATTTAGGTATGGGATAGACTATAAGGGGATAGCTTGTAATAAAGAGAAATATAATGTGATAAGTATGGATTAGTACTTATGATGGTGAGTATCAACTGGTGATGTCGAATGATAGATGTTGATATATAGAAGAAGAAGATTTAAATGCCTGAAAGTTGGACCTTTAAAGACTTCTTTGCTGAAGTAGTTGAAAATGTGAGCGTGGAACTTGGCTATGAATGGGAAGAAACCAAGCGTGGAGTTACCACGTTTGACTAGTTCATTGCGTGCTTTTTCTGGCCTATCCTCGCCGTATTTAAAAGGCAAAGAGTACGGTAACCCCGCGGAATTGAAACGAAAGCGTGAATGGCAAGCAAAACGAGCCAGGAAAGATGATTTCACATGGCAGGACTTGAACCGGTTGGTGAAGAAAAATGTGTCAGCAGATAAAGAGAACGAGGTTAGTGATTTAGACTTTTAAATTAGTCATTGTTGCAATTTGGGACGTTCAATGTATCAATGCTGAATATGGAACTCTCGTGCAGATATTGGGTTTCATAATAATTGCGTTAAGAATGTATTTTTTACAACAGCTTTTAAATTAATGTTTGTCTGACTTAGGTGAAGAATGCGTTGAGAGATTTATTAAACATTGCATATGATATTGGTAAGTCAACAACAGACAGTTCATTCATTGTTACAATTATACAATATAGTATAGTACTTAGTTATACTACCATGCACTAGCTGACCTATATACTAGTAGAGGTCAATGGTACTGACATTATAAACAAAGGGTTGATTTTGAATGGAATGATATACATCATTTGTTCACCATCCTAAATTATTTCCACTCAAAATTATGACCCTTGGACCGGCCCTTAATGAAATATTCCTACAATAAAATATTCAGTATACTGTAGATGAAGTGCCACACAATGTTAATTTATTGAGAGTATATACAAAACACTTTTCAGCTGGCAAAGATGCCTCTTCAGAGGTCACGAAAAGCACGGCTATATTTTTATTTGAACTGCTACGCGAGTGCACCTTTGTTAGCAAACAAGAACTTTCCAAGATTGCTGAAACATTTGGACCATGTCACAGATCATTGATTGACGAAGCTTTCAAATTAACTCAAATTCTCCTGAGTAATATCCCTGATGAGGAATTGAATGCTAAACTAAGAAACTCATCGAACATTAAAAAACAAGTTCCGTTTGGTGAAGGGATCAAATTTGCTTTCCCACTTCCAATGGAAATTGAGGATGATTTATCGTTATTTGACCTTGATGTTGAGGAGGAAAAACCAAAATTTTCTATGAAAGTCAAAACAGAGCCAAGCACGGCCAAGGCTGTAAAAGTAGCTCAAGAAAATTCTGAGAATTTGGTTACTTCGAAAAGTGATTGTGAACAAGGAGAATATCAACTGGTTGAACAAGGAGATATCAGCTGGTTGAAGCAAAAATGTGATTTGTTTTTTGGAAATGCGGGTGAAAATTTGAACAGCGATGTTATGTGTTCTGTCATATTTGACCTGTTGTGCTCTCGAAAAGGGAATGAAGAATTGCAGAATGAGTTGTTCGAGTTGCTGGGTTTCGATCGCTTCGAGTTCATTCAGGAATTGCTTTCCAATCGGGATATTGTCATTGGCGGTGGAAATAGGAGTGCCTATAATAAGAATGGTATGTCACTGTAGTTTTTGCCTCAAACCATTTCAAGGCCTGGTTGCATGTGCCAATTGAATATATTGTGATGGTTGCTTTGTAGTGTACTGACCCAACTAGAACTATGCAAATAAATGACATAGCACAAAGGCAGTATATAGACGAATTTCAATTATGTCATAATCCTTTAAACCATGCAGACTTAAATGACTGTGCAGCATCTCCAATAGGTTTTCAGGGGGATGCAGCATCTACCAAAAATTCTGCAGCTAAACCAAACTTTGGATGTCAGGTTACTATTCAGGTAATCTACTATTTTTATTGTTAATGTTATTGATTATGATTATGATTTATTGATTGATTGGTGCCATTGATTACATGTCATAAAACAGTCAATTCATTCATTATTCTTTTAGTCTGAACAAGAGAAGAAACTGCTAAAGCAGGTTCGTAAGGAAGAGCAGAAATCTTTGAGGAGAAACAAGGTTGATGATCATGGGGCGGAGATCAACCATGAGGACTACCTAAAGAGCGTAGGGTTTGACCCTGAAATGATGAAATACCAAAGGTAGCAACTGACAGACACCAGTCAAGGACTGCATTTTTCATGCCTAAAGCTTAATTCATATAACTTTCAGTTTGCTAACCAATTTTCTCTCGTTTAAAGGGAGCAAGCTTTGCTTGAGGCAGCCAACATGCCATTGTTCAGCAGAAGATCAAGATCACCACGTGACACTGTCAAATACCCATTTGTTTTTGACTCCCTGATTACTGCCCAACAGTCTAGTGCTTATGTTGGTGGCTGTAAGGTATATAACCATATTGTTCCTTCTTGAAAGTCTACTGTATTTAACAGTGTTTCATGATAATCTATTAGATCTTTCCCAGCCATCTTTCACCCAAAGCAAAGCTCACTAGCAAACCAATTTTCAGTTTGTTATTCAGTTATAAACATGTTAGCTGGTGAACAGCCAAACCCAGACGAATTTATATGCAACTGCTTAATATGTTTTAGCTTCAACTGCCTCAAGACACGACTCGAAATAATTGTAAAATGTACGAAGAGTATCATCTACCACCAACACAGACCAAACCACCAAGAGAAACAGATGATTTTATAAGCATTTCATCACTGGATGAGGTAAGATGAAGGTTGGTTTGTAAAAAGCTGAAGGTTGGTGTATATATACTGTATTTTTAAGTCCATTTGTTCATGGAACTGGTCAAGATCTCACTGCAATCGAGAGTGCATGGTAACAATTTTTCTATGCTGTTGTAGGTTGCCAAGATTGGTTTCCAAGGTGTGAAGAAACTTAATCGCGTACAGTCGGTTGTTTTCGACACCGCTTATAACACGAATGAGAACCTCCTGATATGTGCACCCACAGGAGCTGGCAAGACAAATGTAGCAATGGCGACCATTCTCAGAGAAGTCAAACTGAACATAAAACAAGGCGTGGTCATGAAAGATAAATTTAAGGTGTGTGAAATGTTGACAGTACTATTCGTGTAACGGTAATGGTAATGGTAATAGTATTACTGCTCAATAATAGTAATAGTAATGATGGTAACGGTAATAGTAATGGTAAAAGTACTGGTACTACTGATACTGGTAATAGTACTGTGAATAATACTGGTTGTTGTAATGTTAATAATAATGCATGGTAATAGTAAAATGTCTTTGCAGTGGTAGTTAGCTCTTTGGTTTGTTCAATCATTTTTAGATCATCTACGTGGCTCCTATGAAAGCTCTCGCGGCAGAAATGGTGAGAACGTTTGGTAGGCGTTTGGCACCGTTGGGAATCTCCGTCCGAGAATTGACAGGAGATATGCAACTGACCAAGACTGAAATTCTTACAACCCAGGTGAGTGCCCTGGAGGACAGTTAAGGATCTTCGGGGACAGTCAAGGACAATTAGGGGCAGTCCAGGATCTTGGGGGATATTTGGGGGACATGCAGAGGCCCTCCAGGACAGTCGAGGATAAAATTATTTAACCCATGGCCATTAGCTTCAATGAGCACGGATTATATTAGATGAACTTCACTCCAGCACTAATGTACATTTACTTCTCCTAGATGTTAGTGACAACACCTGAGAAGTGGGATGTGGTAACGCGCAAGAGCACGGGTGATATTGCATTGACTCAAATTGTCAAGTTATTGATCATAGATGAAGTGCACTTACTACACGATGATCGAGGATCTGTGATCGAATGCCTCGTTGCCCGAACGCTAAGACAGGTGAGAGTGACAAGGAGGAATTTCGTTTTAGACCAAATAGCAAGCTTGTTCACATTTTCAATAACCCAATCAGAATGCATAGATATTGACTACTCCTGGTAAAAAGGTTCACTATCAGGTGGAAATAATGCTATCTCCAGTTTTCGTGCAACCGGCCCCTGATCTATATTTCACTTCAGGGTGGAGTGTTGATTAAAACGTTCAATACCTCGTGTTTTCCAGGTTGAGTCAACTCAAAGCATGATTCGTATCGTTGGTTTATCTGCAACACTTCCAAACTATCTCGACGTGGCAAGATTTCTTCGCGTTAATTTTCACCAGGGTTTATTCTTCTTCGATGCTCGGTTTCGCCCGGTTCCCCTCGGCCAGACCTTCATTGGGGTCAAAGCCAGCAATATCATGGGTCAGTTACAAGATATGGATACTGTATGTTATGAAAAAGTTCTGGAAAATGTCGAAGATGGATACCAGGTTATTTCAAAGACCACATTTTACATTAAATCTAGTCCCAAGAGTTAGGTCAGCGTGAATCTCCCTCCGGAGCTCAACATAAGGACCATTGTTAAGTGCACGGGGCGAAATCGGAGTTTTCTATCGTGTTACTACAGTGTTACTATGGGAGGAACCTAAACTAAACTAACTTTATTTATACTGGATAGCTCTATCAGTTCTAAACTGTTTTTCCTAGAGGTCCAGTAAGGATCATCTCTTATTGATCCAGTGTTACTACAGGAGGAAACCTAAACTAAACTAACTTTATTTATACTGGATAACTCTATCAGTTCTAAACTGTTTTTCCTAGAGGTCCAGTAAGGATCATCTCTTATTGATCCAGTGTTACTACAGGAGGAAACCTAAACTAAACTAACTTTATTTATACTGGATAACTCTATCAGTTCTAAACTGTTTTTCCTAGAGGTCCAGTAAGGATCATCTCTTATTGATCCAGTGTTACTACAGGAGGAAACCTAAACTAAACTAACTTTATTTATACTGGATAACTCTATCAGTTCTAAACTGTTTTTCCTAGAGGTCCAGTAAGGATCATCTCTTATTGATCCAGTGTTACTACAGGAGGAAACCTAAACTAAACTAACTTTATTTATACTGGATATAGCCGTTCTAAACTGTTCTTAAAGGCCATCTACTATAGTAAACTAACTCTATTTACAACTGCATATTAAAAGCATGGTACCTGTGCTAAGTCACCATCTCTAAACGTTTTCTTATTTTTCAAAAACGCTCTCAGGTTATGGTGTTTGTTCATGCAAGAAACGCAACAGTGAGAACGGCGATGACTTTGCGAGAAAAAGCAAAGAACAACGGCAGCATTGGTTTGTTCCAGTGTAAACAATCCTCAGAATATGGCACAGCAGAAAAACAGGTAAAAAAAGACGAAATACCTTACGTACTTAAAATCTGCACTGGCAAATGTTGAGAGCAATGGTAATTTTTCCCAGGTTCGAAAGTCCCGCAATAAAGAACTCCGGGAGCTTTTCGTCGATGGCTTTTGCATCCACCACGCAGGAATGTTGCGCAGTGATCGTAGTATGGTTGAAGATCTTTTCGCTAAAGGTTTAATCAAGGTCATCGTCTGTACGGCCACGCTTGCCTGGGGCGTCAACCTGCCGGCACATGCTGTCATTATAAAGGCAAGAGATGGTCATGTGGTTATATTTTCGCGATATAATTGGTTGCTTTTGATGATAAACGCGCCCTCATTGGTTAATAATTTTTGTTTCATTTTCTACTCTAGGGTACTGAGATATACGATGCAAAGAAGGGGTCATTTGTGGACCTGGGGATTTTGGATGTCCTTCAGATCTTCGGCCGTGCTGGACGACCACAGTTTGACAAGTTTGGAAGCGGTTACATCATCACAAAACACGAGAAACTCAGTCATTATTTGACACTGATGACAAGGCAGTCACCAATAGAAAGTCAATTCCAATTGAGTCTGGCTGACAGTTTAAATGCTGAAGTGAGTATGACCTTGTGGATCAATAAGAGATGATCCTTACTGGACCTCTAGGAAGAACAGTTTAGAACTGATAGAGCTATCCAGTATAAGTAAAGTTAGTTTAGTTTAAGTTTCCTGCTGTAGTAACACTGGATCAATCAGAGATGATCCTTACTGGATCTCTAGGAAGAACAGTTTAGAACTGATAGAGCTATCCAGTATAAATAAAGTTAGTTTAGTTTAGTTTATGTTTCCTCCCCCTGCAGTGATATTGTACTTGAGACAAGGGTTGACTCAAAACTAGATTGCAACTGGTTAAGCAAGATTTCTTTCCTGACATATTTAACTTTAATACGATTGTCTTATTTTAGATATCTCTTGGTACTATAACGAATGTCGATGAAGCAGTGGAATGGCTGAGTTACACCTATCTTCATATTCGTATGCTGGTCAATCCTATGGTTTATGGCATTGCATATGGCGCTAAGGAGGTAACTGAATCCATGACCTCGTTCATATTCAGCTGGCATAATGACTCTTTGTCTGTTTGACTACATGTATCCAGTATCTTTCTACATGCTAAATCATCTACTTTCTTTCAGGAGGATCCTGGTTTGGAGAAGCATCGTCGTGAGCTCATCGAGAGTGCAGCGAAGGCTTTAGATAAAGCTAAGATGATTAGATTTGACGAACGGACCACGTACCTTTCTCCCATTGACGTTGGTCGCATTGCTAGCAACTTTTACATTAAATATGATACCATTGAGGTATTGTATATTTCGTTCACACTTTGTAGCTACCAGTCCTGTTCTTCCAGTCCTAACTGTTCTTCCTAGAGGTCCAGTAAGGATCATCTCTTATTGATCCAGTGTTACTACAGAAGGAAACCTAAACTAAACTAACTTTATTTATACTGGATAGCTCTATCAGTTCTAAACTGTTCTTCCTAGAGGTCCAGTAAGGATCATCTCTTATTGATACAGTGTTACTACAGGAGGAAACCTAAACTAAACTAACTTTATTTATACTGGATAGCTCTATCAGTTCTAAACTGTTCTTCCTAGAGGTCCAGTAAGGATCATCTCTTATTGATCCAGTGTTACTACAGAAAGAAACCTAAACTAAACTAACTTTATTCATACTGGATAGCTCTATCAGTTCTAAACTGTTCTTTTTATTGATCCAGTGTTACAGAAAGGAACCTAAACTAAACTTACTTTATTCATACTGCTTTGGTTTATCAGTTCTCACAAGTGTTCACTTTCTTGCAGACGATAAATGATCTTTTCAAGCCCCACATGAGTGAAGTTGATATTCTGTATATGATTTCTATGGCTCAAGAATTTGAACAAATCAAAGTACAGTACACAAAAAGCCTTTCTCATATAAGGACATCGAACGCGGAAAGCCTGATGTTACACGAAGTTTCATTGGCTCCTCAAAACTAACGACCCAATCACACTTCGCGTAACATCAGGCTTTCTTCGTTTGATGTCATTATGAGAGAGCTCTATTGAAGAGACTCTTCCTGAGCTGAACATCCATGCGCTCAGCTAAGCGTAAAGAACTGTCTTTAACCATTTCTCTAGGTCCGGGAAGAAGAGTTCGAAGAACTTAAAACGCATGTGAATGAAGATTGTGAGTTCGAAGCTAAAGGTGGACCAGAGAATTCTCACGGAAAGACAAATATTTTATTACAAACTTATATTTCAAGAGGATATGTCGAATGTTTCTCTCTTGCCTCTGATTTTTCCTATGTTGCCCAAGTAAGCGATATTCATTGTTTGATGTAGTTTTGAGTGTTCTCACCGCTTAGGCTAGGCTCCTATAGTAACACTGGATAACTAAATATTATCTTAACTAGATCTCTAGGAAGAACATTTTAGAACTGATAAAGCTATCCAGTATAAATAAAATTAGTTTAGTTTAGGTTTCCTCCGGTACTAACACTGGATCAATAAGAGATGATCTTGACTGGACCTCTAGGAAGAACAGTTTAGAACTGATAGAGCTATTCAGTATAAATAAAGTTAGTTTAGTTTAGGTTTCCTCCTGTACTAACACTGGAACAATAAGAGACGATATTGACTGGACCTCAACCACGTTCTTATCTTATAGAATTCAGCCAGGATTGTTCGAGGTTTATTTGAATTGGCTCTAAAATATGGTTGGCCTCGCATGTCGGCGAACCTTCTTACGTTAAGTAAATGTATTGATAAACGGATTTGGCCCAGTGAAAACCCTCTCAAGCAGTTTTCAATATTGAATATTGAGACAATCCGTAAATTGGAGGAAAGGAATGCTCATGTCGAGAGATTAAGAGACATGTCTGCTGATGAAATTGGTATGTAAAAGTCCAAATGAAAAATTTTGTAGCAACTTGTTGAAGTTGGTGCGTTTTTTGCCGGCGTTCAATCTTTGTATTTTATACCTTTCCCGTAGGTCATCTGATACGTCATGTACGCATGGGTAAGGTGGTGAAACGTTGTGTGGGTGAATTTCCAAGTTTGTCGATCGTATCGAACATTCAACCCGTGACAAGAAATGTCCTTCGCGTTCGGCTGACCATCACTGCAGAATTTGAGTGGAATGACAAGGTGCACGGTGGAACCTCGGAGCCTTGGTGGATATGGGTTGAAGATCCTGACAATGACCATATTTATCATTTCGAGTACTTTCTACTCCTGAAGAAACAGGTAAATCGTTGTAGGAAGAATAGTTCAGAACTGATAGAGCTATCCAGTATAAATAAAGTTAGTTTAGTTTAGGTTTCCTCTTGTAGTAACATTGGATCAATAAGAGATTGACCTCTAGGAAGAACAGTTTGAAACTATCCAGTGTGAACAAAATTAGATAACTCCAGGTCTCCTTTCTACATGTACTAAAACTGTATCGATTACAGATTATCCTTACTGGAGATTTAGACAAACAGTTATATAGAACTAGTACGGTAGTTATCCATTAGTAAATATAAATTCCAAAAGTAGACGAAACATGTCTTGTTGTTTTAGGTTAAAGCCAATGAACCACAAACATTAGTCTTCACCATTCCAATCTTCGAACCACTTCCAGCCCAGTACCTCGTTCGCGCTACTTCTGACCGTTGGCTTGGGGCCGAGTGCGTATGCGCCATATCGTTTAAGCACTTAATCCTCCCGGAGAAACATCCCCCACACACGGACCTCCTGGATTTACAGCCACTGCCGGTGTCCGCGCTGAGGAATCCTGTGTACGAAAGACTGTTCAAGTTTAGCCACTTTAATCCCGTGCAGACCCAAGTATTCCATACACTTTACCACACAGATCACAATGTCCTCCTAGGTGCCCCCACGGGGAGTGGCAAAACGATCGTTGCGGAGATGGCAATATTCCGTGTCTTCAACGAATACCCGAAGAAAAAGGTGAGAAAGTGGATAGTACAATTCTTCAGAACGAGTTGTCTTATGCAGTTATATTATAACAGCTCCTTATATTGTGAAATTTTAGTCGGTTTACATTGCCCCCCTGAAAGCTCTTGTCCGAGAACGAATCGAAGATTGGAAAGTCCGATTTGAACAGAAATTGAAAAAGAGGTGCGTGTACATTGAACAACCTTATTTATATTAGACAATTCAATCAGTTCTTTGTAGAGGTCCAATAAGGATTATCTCTTATTTATACTGGATAGCTCTATCAGTAGTAAACTGTTCTTCCTAGAGGTCCAGTAAGGATCATTTCTTATTGATCCAGTGTTACTACAGAAGGAAACCTAAACTAAACTAACTTTATTTATACTGGATAGCTCTATCAGTTCTAAACTGTTCTTCCTAGAGGTCCAGTAAGGATTATCTGTTATTGATCCAGTGTTACTACAGGAGGAAACCTAAAGTAAACTAACGTTATTTATACTAGATAGCTCTATCAGTTCTAACCTGCTCTTCCTAGAGGTTCAGCTACAGGAGGAAACCTAAACCAGACTATGGGGTTTCTGTACAAAAAATAGGACACTTCTTAAAACGCACTCATTGCACATTCTTCCTCTCTTAGTGTGGTAGAATTGACTGGTGACGTCACACCAGACATGCGCGCCATCTCAAAAGCTGACGTGATCGTGACGACGCCGGAGAAATGGGACGGAGTGAGTCGTAGCTGGCAGACAAGAAACTACGTGCAAGATGTCGCATTGTTGGTTATTGATGAGATTCATTTGCTCGGAGATGAACGAGGGCCTGTCTTGGAGGTGATTGTCTCAAGGACAAACTTCATATCGTCGCATACTGAACAAGGAGTCAGGGTCGTTGGCTTGTCCACGGCCTTGGCGAATGCGAGAGATCTTGCCGACTGGTTGGGAATCAAGCAGGTAAATAATGGTGGATTGTTAGGAGCTGTCACATGAGCTCACAAAGCCCAGATGCATTTGAGGTATTGAAATGAGTATATAACATGATTCTGACCGTAAGGTAGTCATCCCAAAAATAGCATGTGCTTGTTTAGTTTCAAAAAGACTCATTTTAATACCTCAATATTACCTCATGCTTCGCTAAATCTTGGATTGCTGTCCATATTGGCTCATATGAACGGCAGCCCTATAGTTTGAAATCATCTTTAAATCTAAGATGAATTAGCGAGAATGCTGGGCTTATTGTTGCTGGTCTTATTCTGTGGAGGGCCTGCAAAAGTCGTTTCTGAATGCTACAGTATTACTTACAGATGTCTGTCACGCCCTATCCACATGCTCTACGTAAGTGGTTTATTCAGACTAGCGAGCACTTTGGCATTCTTTTCGAAGCTACCAAAACCAATCCTTATCTAGGCTGGGTTGTTCAATTTCCGCCCGTCAGTTCGTCCCGTTCCGCTGCAAGTCCACATCAATGGATTTCCAGGCAAGCATTACTGCCCGCGCATGGCAACCATGAACAAGCCGACGTTTGCTGCCATTCGTACACACTCCCCCGATAAACCCACTCTGATCTTTGTCTCATCGAGACGTCAGACGAGACTGACTGCACTGGACCTCATTGCGTATCTGGCGGCCGAGAGTGATCCCAAACAATGGCTACATATGCCCGAAGAGGAGGTAAGATAGTAATGAAACTAACTTTATTTATACTGGATAGCTCTATCAGTTCTAAACTGTTCTTCCTAGAGGTCCAGTAAGGATCATCTCTTATTAATCCAGTGTTACTACAGGAGGAAACCTAAACTAAACCAACTTTATTCATACTGGATAGTTCTATCAGTTCTAAACTGTTCTTCCTAGAGGTCCAGTAAGGATTATGTCTTATTGAACCAGTGTTACTACAGGAGGAAACCTAAACTAAACTAACTTTATTCATACTGGATAGTTCTATCAGTTCTAAACTGTTCTTCCTAGAGGTCCAGTAAGAATCATCTCTTATTGATCCAGTGTTACTACAGGAGGAAACCTAAACTAAACTAACAACCTAAACTAAACTAACATATGTTCAATCAGTTCTAAAAGCCATTTATTTACTCGTTTTAATATTTTAAAAAATTGTACTGTTTAGATGGCAAATGTTGTTTCTGGTGTTCGAGACGAAAATCTCCGTTTCATATTACCTTTCGGTATCGCGATGCACCACGCGGGACTCCACGAGCGTGACAGAAAAGTGGTTGAGGAACTATTCGTGAATCAAAAAGTCCAGGTACAATGAAAGAATGTGACTAAAATGACCTTGAAGCACATATGAGATCTGATCTGCTTCACACTCAACTGAAATCTTCACGCTCTCGCTTTCTGTGAAATTTCAGATACTTATAGCCACCAGTACATTGGCCTGGGGCGTCAATTTTCCCGCCCATTTAGTCGTTGTCAAAGGCACTGAATATTACGACGGTAAGACAAGACGTTACGTCGACTTTCCTGTGACAGACGTCCTTCAGATGATGGGTCGTGCTGGCAGACCTCAGTTTGATGATCAAGGAGTTGCTGTGATATTGGTTCAGGATATCAAGAAACAATTTTATAAGAAGTTTCTGTATGATCCTTTTCCTGTCGAGTCCAGGTAAACTGCTGTAAACTCACTTTATGATTTCTTGAATAACTCCATCCGTTGGGATATCTTCTTTGTAAATGTCCGGCAAGGATAATCTCTTATCGATTTATGTTTAAGTTAACTGGATATAGTTCCTAGTGGTCCAGTAAGAATCATCTCTAGTATCCAGTGTTACTACAGAAGGAAACCTAAACTAAACTAACTTTATTTATACTGGATAGCTCTATCAATTTTAAACTGTTCTTCCTAGAGGTCCAGTAAGGATCATCTCTTATTGATCCAGTGTTACTACGGGAGGAAACCTAAACTTAACTAACTTTGCAATGGATAGCTGTATCAGTCTATAAGAAACATCTGTTAGCTCTATCTAAGTTCTAAGGGTTGATAATGTTTTTCTTTAGTCTTCCAGAAGTGCTATCTGACCACATCAATGCAGAAGTCGTATCGGGGACGATCACATCAAAGCAAGAAGCTATGGACTACATAACATGGACGTATTTCTTCCGACGTCTGCTGATGAATCCCAGCTACTACAATCTGGACAGTGTGGACCACGAGATTGTTAATAAATTCTTATCTACAGTGGTTCAGACTTGTGTTAGTGAACTAGAAACATCTTCATGTTTGGAAGTTGATGAGGTGAGAAGTGAATGTAATATTTTTCTTAACATGCAGTAGTCTAGGCTGGTGAAGTGTGGACAGACACAGACGATACATAAGGTCCAGTAAGGATCATCTCTTATTGAACCAGTGTTACTACAGGAAGAAACCTGAACTAAACTAACTTTATTTATACTGAATAACTCTTTCATTTCTAAACTCTTCTTCCTAGAGGTCCAGTAAGGATAATCTCTTATTGATCCAGTGTTGCTTAGTATTTTTGTGTGTGTTTTTTTTAACAAAATATTCCATTCTTTCCAGGATTTTCAGTCCATCACTCCTACAATACTTGGACGGATATCTTCATATTACTATCTCAGTCATCTTTCGCTTCGCTTGTTTCGAGAACAGCTACACGGAAATAACACACTACCAGAACTTATGAAGATCTTGAGTGTAAGTGGCTATTAGGTCCGGTTTACACTGTCAACACTTCTATGAACACAATAAGAATTTTTCATTTTACTCTGCCACGCTGCTCCAGGTTATATTGGGACCATCGTTGAAGGGAGATGGTGGTGTAATAATCGTATGCACAGACTGGTTTAAGGCCCTGTTAAACGGTGCAATTTTTTGTGAAACTTGCAATACAATTCTACTTCGAAGAGATGTAAATTAGTGAAGAGTCTTGCAGAAGAAAAGTGCATAAAGTGTAATAAACACAAAAGTTTCGTTGTTCCCAAATATACATCTCTGAAAAGTAGAATGGCATTGCAAGTTGCAAGAAAATTTGCACCGTGTAACAGGGCCTTTAATGAAACGAGTTTTTTATTTCAGAGCGTGGAGGAATATGAGCAGTTACCAGTGCGACACAATGAAGACGGTATTAATAGGTAAAACATATTGCTACAGCATTTGCCGCGATGAAATTGGCAGTTATTTTGAAATAGACAGCATCACTTCTTGACGTTTCGACCTCAGGGCATTTGTCAGGCCTCGTTTACAGGTGCAAATTTATGCGTGATTTTCTTCGTTTGACAGATGTGAACGAGTGAACATTCATGATTGCTCTGTTCTTCAAGTGCCATTGTTTGCACATCAGTGACTTGTCCAGTTATTCACATCTATTAAAAGAATCAAATCGCACATAAAATTCATAGTATCACCGTCTCAGTGATTGGTTCGGTGGTCAAAACGTTCATCATTTAGTTATATTTCATCTTTTTTACACTGACTTGGTGATCAATACGTTCATCATTTAGTTTATTATACTTCATAATTTTTGCAGTGACTTGGCCAAGTCCTTACCATTAGAAGCGGATCAATACACCTATGACAGCCCGCACACGAAGGCATTCCTACTCTTTCAAGCTCACTTTTCCAGGCTAACATTACCATGCAGCGACTATCACACCGATACCAAATCTGTCCTAGATCAGGCTGTCAGAATTTTGCAGGTAATCTTAAAACCCGAACTATTTAGGGCAATATAAACATATTAATCTACAGTTATCCATCCAGTTGTATTTAGAATTCGCGGGATGCGAATTCAACCTTTTCCGCGTTCTACCGCTTTAGGCAATGATCGATGTCTCCGCTGACGAGGGATGGTTAGCGACCGTGCTCCGCACCATGCTTCTGGTTCAGATGCTCATTCAAGCTCGTTGGATCCACGATTGCCCTTTGTTAACCCTACCTGGTATAGAGAAGTCGCACTTGTCCCTATTCAGGGCTCCCGATGACTCGTCCGGCCGCATCGATTGTCTGCCGGAGTTGGCCGAAGTTGTTAGGCGCGATGAAAGATACTTACATAGAGTTTTGAATGGAAAGTTTCCCGCCAGAGATATCGAACAGATAAAGGATGTGCTTTCCATTCTGCCCGTAGTTGAAATAAAACTGTTCATCCGGGGTGTTTGGGAAGGACGTGCTAGGCAACAGGACAGGCGTGTTGACGTCAGCACTGGCCGTGTTGGCCAAGAGACCTGGGTTAAGGTCCACGCAGACCAAGAATACGTTGTAAGAATAGAGTTAAACAGAATTATGACTGGAAAGAAGGTGAGTGATTAGTCGTGAGATAACTTACTACAAGAGGAAACCTGAACTAAACTAACTTTATTCATACTGGATAGCTCTATCAGTTCTAAACTGTTCTTCCTAGAGGTCCAGTAAGGATCATCTCTTATTGATCCAGTGTTACTACAGGAGAAAACCTAAACTAAACTAACTTTATTTATACTGGATAGCTCTATCAGTTCTAAACTGTTCTTCCTAGAGATCCAGTGAGGATCATCTCTTATTGATCCAGTGTTACTACATGCAGGAGGAAACCTAAACTAAACTAATTTTATTTATACTGGATAGCTCTATCAGTTCTAAACTGTTCTTCCTAGAGGTCCAGTAAGGATCATTTTTTTTTTTGATTCAGTGTTACTACAGGAGGAAACCTAAACTAATAAAACTCTATTACTCTGGTGTTATTCAAATTTTAATTATTTTTAAAATGTATTTTGTAGAAGGCGGATTCTAAAGCATATGCCCCTCGTTTTCCGAAAGCCAAGGACGCAGGCTGGTGGTTGATGCTAGGTGTCATTGATGACGGTGAATTATTAGCGTTGAAGCGTATTGGCCCAATCAGGAGTCGTTCAACCGTCTCGCTTGCGTTTTACACTCCTGAGGAAACTGGTCACAAGATCTATACACTATATCTGATGAGTGATTCGTATATTGGATTGGATCAGCAATTTGATATTTGCCTCGATGTTATTGAAGCGAGCATTGAAAGTCAGGTGAATACTGAAGTGAAACTCGACGAAATGTAGAGGTAGTGGAGGCATGTGGTGGTTGAAAAAGGCTTTGTAATTGGAATTGAATGAGAGCGCCTGGATTTTGTTCCCGCATTTTGGGACTCGAATTGCAAACATGAACCAGGTGTGCTGTTTGGCTCGTTTAAAATTTGTTGTTGTTGTTGCTGCTGTTGTGAGTGGAGGCTGTTGTATCTAACAAACAGGTTGGACTTCCAACGAGAGTTAGCAAGCGTGGGTTGGCCTTAGTCGTGTCTTTGAAAAAATGGGAAGATGAGAAGTTGACAGGATATCAGTAGACTTTAAAATCGACGTTTACAGCAAACTTAAAAATCGTATTCTTTAGTTAACTATTGTTATTAGCCGTTGGAACTGGGACAATTTAATTCACGAAAGTGATGAATGAATTGGAAACTATATAAGCTGTCGAAAACCTGTAGGATTTACTTAGAAATGCATTTAAAATTTGCACAATTTAATGTAGCACAATTTAGCGTTTCACAATTTAATGTTGCACAATTTAGCGTTTCGCAATTTAATGTTGCACAATTTAGCGTTTCACAATTTAGTGCATCACAATTTGATGTTGTATAATTTAGCTCTTCACAGTTTATTGTTTTCAAATTTACGACTTTCACCATTTAGGGTATCACAATTGCAGAATATAGTACAACGTGACGACAATGTATCACAATTCAATATTTCACAATCGAATTTTGCATAATAAAAAACTTTCGTCTTTCACCACAAGCAGCGGTGGCCGAGTGGGTGAGGACAGTGGTTAGTCCATAAGCGGTGGTGGTTCAAGCCCTTGCAGTGTAAGAACATGAATTGCGAATTCTTATTTAATTTAAAGTCTCCAAGAAAAGGATTAAGTAAAGTAAAAAACTGCTGTCTTTCACCACCAGCAGCGGTGGCCGAGTTGGTTTGGACAGTGGTTAGTCCATAGGCGGTGGGTAGTTCAAGCCCTTGCAGTGTCAAAAATTAAGTTGCAAATTCTTATTTAATTTCAAAGACTTGTAAGGATAAGGTGAAAAAATTCTAAGTCTAAAAAATTCTAAGTCTCACCACCAACACTGATAGCCGGTGGTGAGACTTAGAAAATTTAAAAAGTCTTAAGTCGAAGAAACGATTAGGTAAAATAAAAAACAATCGTCTTTCACCACCAGCAGTGGTGGCTGAGATGGTTAGGACTGTGGTTAGTCCGTAAGCGGTGATGGGTTCAAGCCCTTGCAGTGTCAAAACATGAGTTTCAAAGACTTGGAAAATTTAAATAGTCTTAAGACGAAGAAAGGATTAAGTAAAATAAAAAACTGTCGTCTTTCACCACCAGCAGCAGTGGCCGAGTTGGTTAGGACAGTGGTTAGTCCATAAACGGTGAAGGTTCAAACCCTTGCAGTGTCAAAACATGAGTTTCAAAAATTGGAAATAAACACTGGAAAATAAAAAAGGATAATTGGATGTTTCAAAAAATTGGATGCTTCAAAAAAAAAGGAAAAAACTAAAAGTCAAAAAATAATTGGACAATTAAGAATAACCGGAATTTCAATAAAAATCGGAATTTCAAAAAAAAATTGGAAGTTTCAAATAGAGAAAAAGAAATCAATGTAAAAAAAAAAAAAAATTCGACAGTTGAAAAAATTCGAAGTTTCATAACAAAGTCAGAATTTCAAAAAAAAATTCGAAGTTTCAAAAAAAGAGAAAAATGCAATCAAAGTTTCAAAACAAAATTGCAAGTCGGAAAATTAAAGTCGAAAAGACAATGCAAGGGCTTGAACAAGGCGGGGAGGGAGAAGAGGTGAGGAGGAAGTGGGGGGGAGGAAGTGGGGGGGAGGAAGTGGGGGGGGAAGTGGGGGGAGGAAGTGGGGGAGGAAGTGGGGGGGAGGAGGGGGGAAGAGGGGGAAGAGGGGGAAGAGGGAAGAGGGAAGGAAGAGGGGGAAGAGGGAAGAGGGGGAAGAGGGAAGAGGGAAGAGGGGGAAGGGGGGGAGGGAAGGGGAAGAGGGGAAGGAGGGGAAGGGGGAGGGAAGAGAAGAGGGGGAAGAGAGGGGAAGGGGGGAAGGGAGGAGGGGAAGGAAGGGGAGAGAGAGGAGAGAAGAGAGAGGGAGAGCATAAAAGGGGAGCATAGGTCCCCCGGGTGTATGCTTACGGGGTCCCCTCCTCTCCCTTCCTCCCCCTCTTCCCCCCTCTTCCTCCCCCTCTTCCTCCCCCTCTTCCTCCCCCCTCTTCCCTCTTCCTCCCCCCCTCTTCCCTCTTCCCTCTTCCTCCCCCCCTCTTCCTCCCCCCCCTCTTCCTCCCCCCCTCTTCCTCCCCCCCCTCTTCCTCCCCCCTCTTCCTCTCCCCTCTCCCCTCTTCCTCCTCACCTCTTCTCCCTCGCCTCCCGCCTTGTTCAAGTCCTTGCATTGTCTTTTCAACTTTAATTTTCCGACTTGCAATTTTGTTTTGAAACTTCGATTGCATTTTTCTCTTTTTTTGAAACTTCGAATTTTTTTTTAATTTCGAATTTGTTATGTAACTTCGAATTTTTTCAACTGTCGAATTTTTTTTTTACTTTGATTTCTTTGTCTTTATTTGAAACTTCCATTTTTTTTGAAATTCCGATTTTTTTTGAAATTCCGAATTTTTTTCTTTCGTTTTGAAACTTCCAATTTTTTTTTGAAATTCCGATTTTTATTGAAATTCGGGTTATTTTTAATTGTCCAATTTTTTTTTTTACTTTTACTTTTTTCCTTTTTTTTTGAAGCATTCAATTTTTTGAAACAACCAATTATCCTTTTTTATTTTCCAGTGTTTTTCCCAATTTCCAATTTTGAAACTCATGTTTTGACACTGCAAGGGTTTGAACCTTCACCGTTTATCGACTAACCACTGTCCTAACCAACTCGGCCACTGCTGCTGGTGGTGAAAGACTACAGTTTTTTATTTTACTTAATCCTTTCTTCGACTTAAGACTTTTTAAATTTTCCAAGTCTGAAACTCATGTTTAGACACTGCAAGGGCTTGAACCCACCACCGCTTATGGACTAACCACTGTCCTAACCAACTCGGCCACCGCTGCTGGTGGTGAAAGACGATTGTTTTTTATTTTACCTAATCGTTTCTTCGACTTAAGACTTTTTAAATTTTCTAAGTCTCACCACCGGCTATCAGTGTTGGTGGTGAGACTTAGAATTTTTTAGACTTAGAATTTTTTCACCTTATTCTTACAAGTCTTTGAAATTAAATAAGAATTTGCAACTCAATATTTGACACTGCAAGGGCTTGAACCACCCACCGCCTATGGACTAACCACTGTCCTAACCAACTCGGCCACCGCTGCTGGTGGTGAACGCAAAAGTTTTTTATTTCATTTACTCCTTTCCTTGGAGACTTTAAATTAAATAAGAATTCGCAACTCATGTTTTAACGCTGCAAGGGCTTGAACCACCAGCGCTTATGGACTAACCACAGTCCTAACCCACTCGGCCACCGCTGCTGGTGGTGAAAGATAAACGTTTTTTATTTTAATTTATCCTTTCCTCTTTGGCTATCAGTGCTGGTGGTGAAGACTTTGAAGTTAAATAAGAAGTCGCAAATTATTTTCAGGCACTGCAAGGGCTTGAACCACACCCTATGGACTAACCACTGTCCTAAACTTCTCGGCCACCACTGCTGATGGTGAAACACGAAAGTTTTTTATTTCTTTTGGTCTTTTCTTCGACTGGAAAAGATGGAATATCGCACCTACAACTTATCAAAAGGGGTCCATCAGTGCTGGTCGCAAAAGTCCAGACTTCTTGTTTCACCTTTTCCTTTTTATGGAAAAGATGGAATATTGCTAAACGCAGTGTTTATGACTCCAGTCACCCCATCAGTGGAAGGCTTACTATATATAACATTGCCTAATGTGGTGATTATGGGATTATTACTCGCTTACTGCGACTGCGCGAGAAATGAAGTGAATGAAGAACATTTGAACCAACTCTCTCAGTCTGCGAAATTATTGTCTTAAGAACCAGGGGCAATTGTATCAAGCCCGTTTAGCTTAAACGGCGGATAAGTTCAAAATACAAAGCAAGTCTATCGTTTTTCAACAAGCAAACTAAATTGAGAACAGTGCTTACCACAGCAGTTATTGATCGGAAGAAATGCAAAAAGAAGGTAATGGATATAAACCATTCATATGAGGGCTAATGGTTACGGTGCAATTGTTTGCATTTATAATTCGTATTTTATCACTGATGCCTTAGAGCGTATTTTATCACTGATGCTTTACAGCGTATTTTATCACTGATGCCTTACAGCGTATTTTATCACTGATGCTTTACAGCGTATTTTATCACTGATGCTTTACAGCGTATTTTATCACTGATGCCTTACAGCGTATTTTATCACTGATGCTTTACAGCGTATTTTATCACTGATGCTTTACAGCGTATTTTATCACTGATGCCTTACAGCGTATTTTATCACTGATGCCTTACAGCGTATTTTATCACTGATTCCTTACAGCGTATTTTATCACTGATGCCTTACAGCGTATTTTATCACTGATGCTTTACAGCGTATTTTATCACTGATGCCTTACAGCGTATTTTATCACTGATGCCTTACAGCGTATTTTATCACTGATGCTTTACAGCGTATTTTATCACTGATGCCTTACAGCGTATTTTATCACTGATGCCTTATAGCGTATTTTATCACTGATGCTTTACAGCGTATTTTATCACTGATGCTTTACAGCGTATTTTATCACTGATGCCTTAATTAATGCGTATTTTATCACTGATTTCTTACAGCGTATTTTATCACTGATGGCTTACAGCGCATTTTATCACTGATTTCTTACAGCGTATTTTATCACTGATGCTTTACAGCGTATTTTATCACGGATTCTTTACAGCGTATTTTATCACTGATGCTTTACAGCGTATTTTATCACGGATTCGTTACAGCGTATTTTATCACTGATGCCTTACAGCGTATTTTATCACTGATTCCTTACAGCGTATTTTATCACTGATTCCTTACAGCGTATTTTATCACTGATTCCTTACAGCGTATTTTATCACTGATTCCTTACAGCGTATTTTATCACTGATGCTTTACAGCGTATTTTATCACTGATGCTTTACAGCGTATTTTATCACTGATGGCTTACAGCGTATTTTATCATTGATGCTTTACAGCGTATTTTATCACTGATGGCTTACAGCGTATTTCATCACTGATGCTTTACAGCGTATTTTATCACTGATGCCTTACAGCGTTTTTTATCACTGATTTCTTACAGCGTATTTTATCACTGATGGCTTACAGCGCATTTTATCACTGATTTCTTACAGCGTATTTTATCACTGATGCTTTACAGCGTATTTTATCACGGATTCTTTACAGCGTATTTTATCACTGATGCTTTACAGCGTATTTTATCACTGATTCCTTACAGCGTATTTTATCACTGATGGCTTACAGCGTATTTTATCACGGATTCCTTACAGCGTATTTTATCACTGATTCCTTACAGCGTATTTTATCACTGATTCCTTACAGAGTATTTATCACTGATTCCTTACAGCGTATTTATCACTGATTCCTTACAGCGTATTTTATCACTGATTCCTTACAGCGTATTTTATCACTGATTCCTTACAGCGTATTTTATCACTGATGCTTTACAGCGTATTTTATCACTGATGCTTTACAGCGTATTTTATCACTGATGCTTTACAGC